AACGAGCTAAGCCCTACACCGCCATGACAAGCTTAATGCAATGAGTTTCCGGTACCTGCGGACAGTGCTCTTCAGCACGGCCGTCTTTAAAGCGGGGCAAACGGGGCAGCTGCCCCGGGCCCATTTACTCCTGGGGGGCCCAAAGCAGCTACCCCGTGGGCCCCGCTGTCCGCAAAAAAGAAATACATTTATTTGCCCCCTGGGCCCGCCGGTGCTGCGGCTGCACCGGGAGCCCCCACACTAAGAGGCCCCGGTCGGGCACTTTGGCCCCATGGTTATACCGCAGCAGGCTGGGAGGAAGTGACTGCCGTGAGTCACTTCCTCCCAGATAGAACGAAGCCGCGCGGGATGGAGGAGGAGGAGGAGGCCGTCAGGAGGTAGCTGGAGTGCAGGAGCCTCACACTCCCAACGACCTCAGCCTGCCGCTGGACCCCAGGGAATCCATAAGGTAGGGCTGGAGGGTGGCTTTATAAATGTAAACTTTGCATGTGTGTGTGTCAGTATTTGTGTGAGTCAGTATGTCTGTGTGTGTCTTAGTATGTGTGTATGTGTGTGAGTTTGTCTGTCAGGGTATTTGTGTGTCAGGGTGTCTGTGTGTCTCTTAGTATGTCTGTCTGTGTGTGTCAGTAAATCTGTGTGTGTGTGAGTATGTGTGTCTTAGTATGTCTGTATGTGTCAGTATGTCTGTCAGGGCTTATGTGTGTGTCAGTATGTCTGTGCGTGTCAGTTTGTCTGTCTGTGCATGTCAGTTTGTCTGTCTGTGCGTGTCAGTTTGTCTGTCTGTGTGTGTCAGTATGTCTGTCTGTGCCTGTCAGTATGTCTGTGCGTTTCAGTTTGTCTGTGAGTGTGCATGTCAGTTTGTCTGTCACTGTGTCAGTATGCCTGTCAATGTGTAAAAATGTAAACGTTGCATGTGTGTGTCAGTATTTGTGTGTGTCTTAGTATGTCTGTGTTTATCTAAGTATGTGTGTGTGAGTATGTCTGTCAGGGTGTCTGTGTGAGTCTGTGTGTGTATCAGTATGTCTGTCAGTGTGTGTCACTATGTCAGTGTGTCATTATGTCTGTCAGTATGTATATCTGTGTATCTGTATTTAGTATATCTGTGTGTCATTGCATGTGTCTCAGGTTTTGTATATGCATGTCTGTATGTGTGTCAGTGTGTGTATCTGTAAGTTATCATTGTATGTATTTGTGTATCTGTATGTTGTCAGTGTGTGTACCTGCGTTTGTATATCTGTGTGTGTGTGTATCTGCATGTGTGTCAGTATATGTATCAGTGTGTCTGAGTATTCATGTGTTTCAGTGTTTGTATATTTGTCTCCGTATGTGTGTCAGGTTGTGTATCTGTATGTCTGTATGTGTTAGTGTGTGTATCTGTGTCAGTCTGTATTTGCTTGTGTGTTAGTGTGAGTGTCAGTGTTTATATCTGTGTATCTGCATGTGTTTCAGTGTGTATTTGTGTATCACAGTGTGTGTGTGTGGCAGTGTATGTGTACATACATCTCATCATTCAAATCGCCAACACTACACACAAGTACACCCCTGCATTCAACCTTCAACACTACATACAAACACAGTCCTGCATTGAAACGTCAACAATACATACAAATACATCTTTGTGTTAAACACCAAAAATATATCTAAACACACCCAGCATTAAAAAAAAAAAAATACACAGATGCATGCTTGCATTCAGACACCAACACCACCTACAAACACACCCCTACATTTACACAAACACACTCCATACAAAAACATGCTTCCATTCAAACACACAAACACAACTCAGTGCTAAATACAACTCTGCAAGCATGGGAAAATGGTTCCGTTACTGCGTTGGGAAGTGGAGATCGTGATTGCATGCCAGGGAGTTAGGGTCAGGGGGCCCTATCAAATGCTTGCCCCGGGCCCAATCATTATTAAAGACGGCCCTGCTCTTCAGACCACTTCCCCTGTGTGGTAGTTACGCATTATATTTCAAATAACAGTCATGCTTTTCTTTCTGTGAAAAGAGTGTAGTCCAAACAGTACAAACTAGAGCAGCCTGTCAACTGAGATAATGTATCGGTGAAATAGTAGCTTTGTATCAACCCCATTACTTCTTGATAACTTGACAAATTCACTGCTGCTAATTTTGTCTAAAATCACTGTATTTCACACACTAATAAGAATATGGCCCGATTTAATGTTTCTGGATTATCTTTTCATTTTATTTTTCTCAGAAATATATATCATGTGTATATAAAGAACCCAATATATATATATAAAAAAAAGCTAAATATTAAAACAGTTTTCAAAATATTAAGTCATTTCTAAAGTTTACCCAAAATATTAAATATTTTGCAGGCTTATCCAAAAATAATAAATTGACCCCTATATCAGATGTGTGCAAAGAGAACTTACACCACCCAAATATTTATACATGTGAGTAAATTCCTTATTATGACATTAGAATGAAAGGGGAGGCTTTTAGGTGCCGGGGCAAACCTCATTTTTTTTTTTTCTTTATAAAACTTGAAAGAAGTTTCATAAAAACAAACTAAGGAATGCACCCATATCTCCATAATAACCATTCTAATAAGATGTAGTGGCTATAGTGGATAGAGTGACGCTTTAAATGAATACTCCATGGGAACTATGACTGACCACCCCCATGCGTCTAATAGTATGTATTGTGATCCAGCCATAAATATGTTTCCTTTCATGATACATAATTTCCTTTTATTTCCCCAGAGGCGAGGATATTCAGTCAATCCTGATACGAGTAAATAATGAAGTGAGCAAGGAAAAGGCACCGCAGATGCCACAGCCATGTACAACACTATGCAAGCAACTCATCTTATGTCCAGCTGCCAATCATCCTGCATGTTAGAAATCTAGTCTTCACACCACGTGAAAACCAATTCTTGTTATTCTAGGTGTGGATGATGAAGGGTGGTGGTAAATTGTTTTAAGAGTGTGAAATCATATTGCTACATTGGAGAGCTTATCCAATGGGAAAAATGTCAAACACAGAAGAACTGAATTACTGCATGCATTGTCAGCTTGCTTCTCAAGAACAATATACTTATATACTTGGAATCTAGCAGAAACACCCATAAAAGGTTGGGTGTCTTTGTATTGGTAATACGGATTGTTATCTTCTGCACTTATTACCTGTGCAGCTACAGAGGGGCCATCTGTGCTTTCGATGCTGGCAGAGCCCTGATTTTTGTCAAACTGCTCCAAAACAAAACCCCATTGCACCATGGCTGCTACAGTAAGCAAAACGGCTTGCCCCATTACCAAGGTACAGCGCTAGGATATTCCTGGCATCATACCCACCACAGCAGGCTGTAGAGGTTATGATGCTTGGAGTAAACCTTTAAGATTTATGGTAGAGGGGACCTCTGCTCCCTATCGCATACATTTCCATTACCACTGACTAAGACAAACCATACACAGCACTTACCCATTGCCACCTCTGAGACCCTTTGAGTCCTAATGCATGCGAGACATTACACCTCCGCTTGGAATCTCATGCACTCCATACTCCTTCAAATATCCTCAACAGACTTACCACCCTTCAAGGCCAAATGGGAGAAGAAAATCTATACAGACAAGCAGTGGACGAGAATCTGTTTTCTTACCTAACAGTGCACAGCGTCAATTTCCCCCTCCTCCATTTTTTCATCTTTGAACATATATTTGGTGTTTGTGTTTAGCTGTAATTTTCCTCTCTTTACTGTGTTATACATTTTTTTTCAGGATAAGAAGGGCTTTCTTTACATACCATTATTTGTATGTCATATAATTTACTTTATAAAAAAAAAATATGATAAAAAAAACATGTTTATTGACTTTTACTTAAAAATCTTTTACTTATCTACAAAAGCTAATGAAAAAAACTGCTAAATAGATTCAAAATACCCAGTGTTTGCATGCTTTTTTTTGCAAGCTATAGGGCTATAAGTACAAGTAGCACATTGCTTTTTTAAAATATGTCATGATTCCCTTTTATTCCAGAAGTTTGGTCCTTGAGTGGTTAAAATTGATCAATAGTGACATTGTAACACTGTTATCTGTCATAAATCTCTGAATCACACCTCACATGTACATATTTTTTTTTAAAGTAGACAACCCAGGGTATTCAATATGGGGTATGACCTGTCTTTTTTAGTAGCCACTTAGTCACAAACACTGGCCAAAGTTAGCATTTATATTTGTTTGTGTTAAAAATGCAAAAAACAATTATGAACGCTAACTTTGGCCAGTGTTTGTGACTAAGTGGCTACTAAAAAAGACTGACCATACCCCATTTGCAATATCTTGGGTTGTCTTCTTTTGCAAATGGTTTGCCATCATGGAGGTAATTCTCATTCCTGGGCTACCATACGCTCTCAAAGGCAACATAACCAATCTGGCAATTTTCAATGTTAAAAAATCTGACCCTGTAACTTTCGAAAACACTATAAAACAAGTACATGGGGGGTACAATTATACTTGGGAGACTTTGCTGAACATAAATATTACTGTTTCAAAACAGTAAAACGTATCATAACAATTATATCATCAGTGAAAGTGCTATGTGTGAAAAATGCAAAAAATTTCACTTTCACTGACAATATCATCGCTGTGATATGTTTTACTGTTTTGAAACACTAATATTTGTGTTCAGCGAAGTCTCCAGAGTAAAACAGTACCCTCATGTATAGGTTTTAGGGTGTCAAAGAAAGTTACAGGATTAAATACAGTGCTAGCAAATTAAATTCGTTGGACTTTCAGCCTGGGTTGTCCGGCAGGTCCCTCAAGTTGCAATCAATAAAATGACTTACTATGTATATATTAATATATGTATATATTGATATAAAAATACACTTAGTATGACATTATATATATAAGTTATATAGACATATATTATATAAATATAATAGATGTCTATATATATATATATACACACACACACACACATCTAATTATATTTTTATTTATTAATATTTATTTTTATTAATAACAGATTGGGAACCACTGTGATACAGGAAAATTTACAGTTGAACAAGCACATATCAAAATTCTAGGTTTTGTTTTGATTATGAAATGAGAATATTGTCTTGGTCCTTGAAGAGCTAAACTGTACCTGTCATGTCACCACACATTTGTTATATTTAAAGTAAATAAAATGTAATCTGGTCAAACAGGGTTTTTATCAACAAGTTTCAAATATTATATATCACAACAAACAATAAAAAAATAACAAGAACATAAGAAAACAAGAAGAAAAATAGAGGAATAACAAAATGGTAACATTCTTCCAGTGATAAATGAAATACATTCAAATGTCTTAAATATCATGAATAAAATTATTTACCAAAAGAAAAGGCCTATCGTTAGTATGGAGTTGTAAATTGGCGGTTTTCCAATAACAAGGGATGGTTGATGTAGCTGAAAGTAAGAGGTGAGCCAACATAATTTTTGGTATTTTGGCAAATCAATAGGGATTTGTTTGAAAAAGTAGAGTTCGGGTGATAAAGCTACAATTGAGACAGTAATGGCTTTCATTAAATCAAGAATAAAGTTCCAGTAGGATGTAAGCTTGGGACACGTATGTGACACAACGAACCTACTTGACCGCATCCCCTCCAGCATGCGTTTTTATGCGACAATTGTAACTTAAAAAGTCTGGAGGGAGTGACTTACCAGTGATAAATTACAGGCATTTCTCACATTATGAACTCCTGCTTTATGAACTCCCACCTTTATGAACTTTTTTCTGGATGCATCGCCATTTTGTTTCACCGACATTTTGTGTCAGTGGTCCACGAATCAGGACCGAGGAGAGTGCTTTGGAGCACAAACAAGAAGAGAAGAAGAAGGTGTGGCCAGGAGTAGACAAGAAGAGAGATGAGGATCAGGAACACAGTTCCTGAAGATAAAGGGAAGTCTAAAAAACAGGTTTAGATTGTACTGTATTCTTTTTGTGCTTTCATGGACATACATTACAGATCCTGTAATATTATTGCACTGTGTGATATTGAGAAGAGATTTGACTTGATTTGTCTGTGTGTCTGGCATAGCTGTCTGTGTATACGTGTGTTTGCCATTGTGCCATGTTTTGGCAGGCAGCAATAGTAAGGAGCAGGAATAGGGCTGAAAAGCCTGAAAAAGTGGAGAAGGAAGAAAGTTTGAGAGCTGTAAGAATAAAAGGAGTAACAGAAAAGAGCTAAACAAAAATGCAAGGTTGAAAGTAAGAGAGGAGAAGGAGGAAAGTTTGAAAGCTGTACAAATAAAAGGAGTAAAAGAAGTGATAAAGGAGAGGGGGAGGCTGATAATGAAGAAAATGAATCATTAGGAGGGCTTAAGAGAGGTGCCCCGATTCAACAAGTGCAGCATGTCTCTTCATTGAATTGTACGAGGATTGATGATAACTTGATGAAGATTTCAATATGGTATGCATGCCTTTAAAATTCTTACAACATACAAGTATTTGCTTTGCTTTCATTTTGTATTTGTACTTAATAATTTAGGTTTCAATGGTAAAATTTGTTGGTCAGGAACTGAACCTGTTTTTAATACATTGTATTTATGGGAAATTAGTTCTCACTTTATGAACTCTCACTTTATGTACTAGACTTCGGAACCAATTAGTTCGTAAAGTCGGGAACTACCTGTATTTTATAATGGGACTCCAAATGTGTCACGCACTGCGTAATGCCCTTCAACGCAGATACAAAAGCAACCCATACCTATAGTCCCTACTCTGTGCCTAATTCCCTTTACCATTTTAACATATAATAAAATTCTTGAACATCTGGTTAAATATGAGTAGCACACAGAGATAGTGCGTCTCAGGGCAGGGTCCAAATAATATCAGTATATGATGTCCCTGAGTGGAACTTGGAATTTTGGAATTCCCACTCTATTTCACATTTAAATGTTTTTATTTATCTTATAAGCTAATGCTGTTTACCCAACTAAAAGACACATTTAATTTTGATACTTCTGATGTCATTATATATGACAAAATTGTAGAATCTTAGTGAACACTGTGGCCTTCACAGGCAGGATCTAAATCAATGCAAATTAGAAATGTTAAATTTAGAAAAAATAAAATGTAATCTATACATGAATAGATTGGGAAAAGTCTATAAAACTGTAGTTCCTCCACCACTTGTCTACAATTTTTTTGTAGCATAAAGTCAATATAGATATCTATACCAGCAGGGCCTGACTTACCCTCCTTGCTGCCTCAAAATCATTTTCAATGCACCCTTGATATAGATATATATATAACGCAAAAGTAAGGCAAAAGTTTAAAGTGGCTCAGTTGGGTGCCTTAATTTGACTAGTTTTGTAGTATGATTGAATGGTGAATGTGACTAGGTGGGTGGTTGGATGATAAGTGGAATAGGGCTGGGAGATTGTGTATTTATATGGAAGCTGCTCTTGGGGGTGCATGTGTGGGGAGATGCTGTTTATGGGGTTGCCTGTGTGGGGAGAACAATTATTAGTTTGGATGCATGTGTAGTAGGGACTCGGGAGGCCATTGTGGGGTTGTTTGAGTGGATGGGGCTGCTTGCGGTGTTGTATGTGTTTGCATGTAAACTGGGGGGTGCAGTGTGCATGTAATGTGTGCAAGGAAATGATAGTGTGATTCAGGTGATAGTGACTGTTGTGTTTGTTGGGAGAGACGGGGCTGTGATTGGGATATAGGGTATAGTGAAGGGATGCAGTAGTTGGGGTTATAGTGGCGGTATAGCAGCTGTAGTTTGGAGGATAGTGGCTGTGATGGAGGGATTGGGGTGGATAGTGGATATAATGGTAGTGTAAGCCCTGTAGTTTTGGCTTATAGGAGATGTAGTTTGTGGGATAGTCGCTGTATATATATAAAAAACTGAAAAAATGCATTTTATTCCTCCCTCCATGAGGCCTACCTTGGGCCAAATCCCTGGTGGTCAGGTAATGCTTGTCTGCATCTCTGGTGGGTGAAGACAACATTTTCCGGCGCTGAAGGTGTATATCAGCGTTGTTGTGATAAACCATGGCCTGGCTGGTTAGGGAGATCCTACTGACCATGCCACCCTAAGGTCATGTCCTCAATGGTCTTCTGGCAAGTCTGACCATGTAAAATACCAGCAATTGACAAGGGAGAGCAAGGGAACACTTCTACAGGTTGTTTCCATGCATTGTGGCACATTGTGTCTCTTATCTAGCCAGTGCTTCTAGTGTAAACACAGCATGAATACATATAAAAATTGAAGAGGCAAAAGGAGATTGGTGCCAGAATAGGGACAATCCCTCATAAATACTTAACACAGTAATGCATAACCACCGATTTTAGTCTTAAATGTGCCACTTTGATTTCATTTGCTAAAATCTGAAGTTTACGGAATAACAGATGTAAATTTCTAAATTTAGGCCAAATTAGCACAACTTTAAACCTTATTTGCTATATTTTAAGTTTGATTGTTAAGGCCTAACAGATGAAATTCTGTTTTATTTCACTTTGAATTCCTACAATTCACACTTTGGTGAATTACTCTAAGACAGATTTCCTTATCAGTAGGAACCATAAGAAGAATGATTTTAAAAACCCTTATGAATTAAGAAAAAATAAAAACAACTACAAAAAAGGTGTCGATTTTAAAATATACGGTTTATTGTCATTTGAGCCCCAGCATATTGTTTCTTCAGACAGTCTGATTTTAATGTTATGGTTGCAATATAGGTTTCATTCTTCGAGTCTCAGCAGGTTTATTGAATTCTTTCACTGAAAAGTTGTTCGTTCTTTGCGATAAGTTTCCTCCTGTATCATGCAAAAAATTACTAAATGAAAGTTTGAATGGAGAGACTGTCATGCAAACATTTTAAGTTTTCTCATGGAAAAATGGACTGAAGTTAATCACCAGCAATCTACAAGATTATTCACTACATTTTAACAAATTAGAATCCAAATTGCAGAAAGAGCCAGGCTTTCACTATAGCCGAGTTAGAGAATGTTTGCGTACATTTTACAATAGATATTTTTATTTGCTCCCATTCTGATTTCAGTGAATAATGGTTTGTGTGTTACGAATTAGCAGAGAGCTTTGTTAGTACATAAATATGTACTCGGAGTCATGGAAGTAAAATATAGCTTGCAAGTGAAAGGATGAATATTTTCATTTTATAATAATGAAAGCATGATGTAACAAATTCCTACAGGGATCAAGGGTTTGTTTATTTGTTCTTGTAGCTAGTGTTTGCACAGTGAATGAATATATGTTCATAGGTGAAAGAATGGATAAACAAAAACAGAGTACTTTTGCCTCGCTTACCTTAAATCAGCATTTTCGTTCAATAAAGTATGGATTCTGTGGTTATATTTTGCCTCAACTTTGTTTACTTTATCGTCAAAGGACCTTCTCAGGTCATCTAATTGACTTTTCTAAAATTAAAACAAAAATTAAAAAAAATCTTATTAAATCCAACCTTCTAACATTATTAATTCAGAGAGTAGCCTATAATGAGAGTTTTTTTTTTAAATAATGTTATCTTTGTATTGTGAATGTTAAATATACAGTATCATTACCTCTACAGTTATAAAAAAAAAAAAAAGCTTCACATTGTCATATTAACTATTTGTTAAATGCTTTGTGAACATAGATAAATGAAAAATGGATACAATAAACACAAACATGAACAAACAAAATCCAAACGGGTTCTCTAAAGTAGATGGGTAAAGTACAGAATCGAAATGAGCAGATTGTAAACAAATTAATAACGGGTGAACTATCAAACATAACTGTTGAATCTGGGAAAGTTGTGAGGTAAGGATGTACTTTAGTGAAAAATTCAGAGACCACTGTGAAAATACAGGACCAATCTTCAAGACTTGGGGTTGGGGGGGGTTACATGCTCCACCTGACAGCAAATTACATCACAGTGTTAATTTTGTCGACTAACAATTTTACTCAGATTTTAGTTGGCAAAAATTTTCGAGATTTAGTTGACTAAAATTAGACTAAAACAATGCAGATGACTAAAATACGACTAAAACTAAAATGGTTCTTTAGTCAAAAGACTATGACTAAAACTAAAGTTGCCACCAAAATTAACACTGGCGGGTCAGACACCTGCTGAGGGAGGAGAAGAAATGAGACATATAAGGAGCTGGGGGAACACAAAGAGACACAGAGGGGCCGGGAAGGGGCATAAGAGACAGATAGAGGCTTTAATTAAACCCATTAGATGTTAGTCGTGTCGACTAAAATTTACTTGCGATTTAGTCGACTAAAACAATTCAGATAACTAAAATACGACTAAAACTAAAAAGGCTTTTTAGTCAAAAGACTGTGACTAAAACTAAACTGAAATTTGCCGCCAAAATTAACCTTGCTGGCGTACAATCCTCCAGTCCCAGTTTTGTATCTGCAAACATGGGCAGATATGGATCCCCCCTGTGCATCTGATGAAAATGTACTCTCAAGCAGCAGTCTAATAACATTAGCGGTTACGTTGTATTGATAAGGGGGTACAGTAAATATCAGTCTGTAAACACTGCAATGGCTCCATAATAAAAGTGGGGATAACCAGCAGTGGCACAGCCAGTCCTTACACCAGTGGTGCTCTTTGAATATTGTGTTTCAAAAGTCAAGTCAAACCAAATTGATGAAACAAAAAAACAAAAACAAAAAATAAAAAAAGAATATTGGCCTCAATGTCCCTTATTAGGGATATTGGTCTCAATTTCCCTTATTAAAGATATTTTCAAATATACAAAGAAAATATAAAAATGCCAGATAAACCAATACTTTTTTTTTCTAGGGAAGAGATAATGCAATATCGTGATGTTGAGTTGCAAAAAAGTACACAGGGAGATATTTGTGTGAACTGTTAATAAATTCATAGTTTTCAAATGTAAAACTATTAAAATAAATGTTTGCTTTTCGGATTTGCAATGTGATCAAAGTTTTCATTTTAAAATTTTATATTAAAGGTTTATCAAATGACTGCTCAATCTAATTCAATTCTGGTACAACCAAGGAAGTCTCTCATTGCAAATCAGCAGAAGAAACATTGTTTTATTCCCCTCTTTAATGTATGCTTTCTCTATGATGACTGTCAGATTCAGAACACAGAGGTTTTTACAAATTATTGCCAGAGAGCCAAGATGGAGGTGCCCCATTGTTAAAGTTTTTTCCATCCTCAAATCGAAGTCGGTTTACTTCTCTTCATAATAAAAAGAAGAATGGTACAAGAAATATAATGCACAGTGCACAAAGTTTAGAGATTTCGCCAATATTTATGTATAGCCAATACACACTGGAACAACCAGACCGGAACAATAAAAATTATAAATCAACAATAATGTGTACAAAGTTGCTCAACCACCCCATCTAACCTTCCCATGTAAGCCTAAGAATTATTTTCAGGACTCCAGGGTTAGCCTTATTTGAGTGGATCAGGTGCAATGTCACTAGGAGGAATCCTACGTATCTAGGGTGTCTGAGATTTGTTTCCTACAGAGCCCACTTCTATGAAGGAAGACCTTATCATGGGGAAATTTTTTAGCCAAGATGGCCAAATTTTCTCAGCTGCCCTCTTCGGAGGGATCATACATGCGACCATAAGCTCATACTTGCAATTAGTATGTATCCTATCCTTTAGTTTTCTTATGGCGGGATTTTTTTGGCTCTTACAATTTAGGGTGATTAGGTATTTTGCTGCCAATATAACATGTGTTGCCAGGGGGTGGAAATATCATACATAAATATGTTGCTGGTATCAGTGGCAAGCCGGTGCCGCAGGTTGTTGTGATCAAGGTTTGAACTTGTGCCCAGATAGAGCGTATCTGTGGGCATACCCACCAAATATGGAGCCTTGTGCCTGATTGTTGTTGGCATCTCCAGCAATATGGGTTAGATGAAGCATTTATCTTTTGCAAATTTTCTAGAGTTTAATACCACCTGTATATGAGAACATACAATGTGTCTCTATGTGGTTATACTTATAACACTATGTAATGCCTTTTAAGCCGTTGAGCAACTGGATTTCACTTATCAATAGTTAAACATACATCTTTCCATCTCATTTTTGGAGTTTCCCTGTTTTGAAATTCTTGTGTATAGGCATTATAACACACAGAGCTTTATTTACAAATGGACTAGACCAGCAGTGGTGAAATATTCTATGAAACCATAATTGTGCACATACATTCCAATATGAATTTACATATTTTTGCAAGACACTTTTCAGTTGTAGGTTTTAGAACATATATTTGGGAGACAATGAGAAGGTGGCCTGCAGAGAGGTGAAGTGAAACACCCCATCTCTCTTAACCACCAGGAGTATGTCGGTGACTCCCCTTCTTGCCATTAACGCATCACAGTATCTCAAACTCTAATTTAAAGGGCAATGATCAGATAAAGTGATCTGATTTTTTCCCCATAGCTTGGTGTCAAAATAACATTTAGAAGTTGCAAAGGAGAGATATGTGCCCTCCCTATGTCTACCCATTGAAGAGATGCCTCAGGTGCGTGTAAGCAAATAGTTTGTGCTAGGATAGCAGCTTTAACCCCTTAAGGACACATGACATGTGTGACATGTCATGATTCCCTTTTATTCCAGAAATTTGGTCCTTAAGGGGTTAAAGAACATTGGGGCTCCCGCACCACCTCTAGAGATTTCTCAGAATCTTGCTTTCTTTTTAGCCCATGTAAAGGAGTAAAGAATTTTCTGGACTTAAAAATGAAAAGACGGTGTAGGTGCCAGAGTTATAGTACGGAAGGTTGCTCTAACTGAGCTATCTTTGAATCCTTGGCAGTATAGACATCCACCAGAGAATTATGAGCTCCTATTAATTCCTCCATTCCTCCATGCTGTGTGGTCACCTAAAGTCTCAATCTCAGCTTTAATTTCTGTAGAAAGTGTGAGGAGGTCAGCTTTAATTGATGCCTGCATTTCAGTCATCATTTTCTTTACTGAGCGACCTGTGGCAGGGGCTGTGCCTGGATTGGAGATACAGGTGTTATCGCTCCCTACTTAGAGAGACGCGAGAGATGGAGTGTGGTCTGCGCCATCTTGAATCAGGTCTGCTGGGGGCCTGTGGGTCATAACTTGTACGGAGGTAATTGCTCCCTTCTGCTTTTTCAAGGAGCGATTTGTCATATTTGGTGGAAGGTAGGTATCCTCTCAAGTGGAGGATTTCAGTATTTCGCTGCAATACTAGCTGTGAGCACACTGTGTGTCTCCCTAGTGTTCAAGAGCTACTGACTACTGATCACCATTAGTGTCCAGGCCACACGACCTATAATTGTTACATTTGGGGAATAAGTAAACATAACATTAAAAACCCTGGTATGTGACTGTTCCTCTTTAATCTGCTAGTATTAAAAACCTCAGACTAGGGGGTGTGGCCTGTCCAAGAAAAGTAAAAGAAGGGAGAGCACCTAAGTGCAAAAATCCCAACTTGAGTGTGAAAGCAGACTTAAATAGGGGATAACCCTTGTATAAATACAATAGTGCTAAAAGAATCAGTGGTCCTGAGCTAACATAGCAACAGGAGCACTGTACAGAAAAAGTACTGCAAGGATATGCTGTCTAAAGTAATGAAGTCCTTAAAATAACTTTATTGAGGTATCTACTGGAGAAGTATGATCCCAGAAAAAACGAGAAAGAGAAAAAGTCTAAATTAAACTATACACACCATAATGGCTAGAAAAATAAACCTAAACATAAGGAGGAATGGACTCTATCTAGAAATAGAGTTGGTAGGGCTGGAAAGGTGGAGACCTATCGTTCAAATAGGTCTCTAAAGCAGCCTATCAGGAGGAAAAATATCCTCAGTGTAGATAAGTGATCTCTAAAAAGTAGGATCAGAGATAGAGATTGGAAAAAAACACTGTACACCAGTGTATTCTTAGACAAAATACAGCGGAATATAACTGTGTCTAACAGATTGTCAACAAGAGGTCTAGATATTGTTACAGTATCAGTATAATAGTAACTTGAAATACATAAACCGATACAAGGTGTCCCCTCTGTTTGAGACAAATCTGTGGCAACAGTATGTGCAGTAATAGCCTACAGAAATCCGGCTTTGTAACTGCTGTCTGTATTGAATAGATCTCTCTAACACTCTCTACTGGCCTGTCCACCACGCTGAAAGGTCGCAGGAGATAGCAGCTCCAACTATCTTTCGAATTTCTGCCCACAAAAGCTGATCCTGTACCTACCTGGCAGCCAGAAGCTATGGTCCTGTACACAAGGGAGTACTGGTTCGGAGGCAAGGCTTGCAAACTCTGTTCTAGTCCCTCGGGAGGATATTTGTCGTCTTCCTAGAATGAGGCTTACTCGGGCGTTGTGTAGGGTGGACAGCTGCTGTCCTGCCCGACTATATCAAGTTGGACTCCCAAAACTGTGTGCACCTGGCCCTGTCTCCCCCTGTCTGGACCAGTTGGGATGATCCAGGTCCACACCCTATGGCCCCTACCATGACAGCGACTCTGTACCATTGTACCATTATACCGCTATTCAGACCAGGAGTCATACTTAAAATGGTGAAAGCCACAAATGCAACAGCTTGCACCAGGGTGGACACCAAATTTCCCTCCTCGCTAGATAAAATCCTCACAGACTTTTGGCGGAAGCTCACTACATGTCTGCGGCAGCCTATTCAGCAGAAACAAAGTGGTATCCCATCCCAGTATTTGCCAGACAAGACCCAACGTGAAGCCTGGGCTCCAGCCCTGGGGCGGCCCACAAGTGGCGAAGAAGGTAGAGGTACTGCACGTCGGCGAACGCGGTACAGAACCAGCCAACACACATCAGCCCTAGAGGACTTACCCTCATGCCTGCCCAGACAGCTGGATCACAGCGTGAGACGTTGCTTCCTATCCCGGTTATAACCCACTGCACCTCCCTGATGGGGCCAGAATGCTTGAAGACAGCCAGATTACAGCAGGACTATACCAGAGAGTATTGGCTGAATTGAGTTCTCCCCTATATATATCGGCCTTCACTGTCCTCAGCCTTCATATTACAAACCTTAGTTGGGAATGTTTTAAAATTATGTTCTGAGCCTAATCTTATGCTTATGTCCTGACTTTCATTTTTCCTGGGGCCTTACTATCCAACTATACACAGTAGGGGTATAGGGGGAGTTTACACACTATGCTGATGTTGCAGTACCCAGCTCAATGCAATTCATGTGCACTTACCTCGTTATCTATCTCTGAGCTGGCCAGTTTAATTTGTTCTAACTTTTAATTTTTACTTTATTATTAATATCACTGCTGTCAGCACTCCTCAATCTTGGTCACAGTGGGTTCCTTTATTATGATTGTCACATGACATAGCTACCCCTCTCTGACCGCTGTGACTTAACCCTCATTACAATACTATTATAAAAGGTGCAGTTTATCCATTATGCCATATAAATGTCTTACTATGCTATTTAAAAATACTTGCGTTAGCTGTTCTGGCTTTGGATGCCTGCTTGTATACCTATTCACAACATAAAATAAAGAATTAAAAACTTTGTTAATGGATATATAAACAACATTATGTTCTCTCAGAAAACATCCCATGGCTAGACTTTCACTGCTTTTGCTACACCTTTATACTCCTGTAATATTCTCAATGTAATAATTTCAATCTCTGGTAATAATTTCACTCTACCACAAGAGGGCAGCAAAACCAATAATTTAACATACAAACGTAGCATTAGCTCATTAAGTTTTCGATTGTTAGTCATGTTTTATAAGAAACAGAAAAGAAACACAGGGATACTTGTGACACATTCGGATTTGACAACACGTCTTAATCATTTACCTAACCTTGATCCGAAAGTGGATAAAAACAAGGCTCATTTGTAAGAAGTTTCCAAATCAGATAGCATACCTCTCAAGTGTCCTTATTTCGAGCCCAAATCCCTGTGTCCCTATATTATATCCTAATGTCCATCTTTTCTTGGAGCTCCATATTCTTGGTTTGTCTGAATTTACCCCAGCAAAACAACTCCCAGTTATGTGCATTTAAAATACGATAAATGTGTTTGGAAATCATCCTGTTTAAATAGGATACATTGCTTTATTATAAATTACATTTTAGTTGTATAAATGGTAATTAGGAACACACCTAAAATAATCTGTGTACCCTCCATGTAACCTCTGGGCACCAACACAACTTAAAGTGCATTTGACAGGTCTTAGCACCAAATATATTTAGTATTTTAGTGTTGCGGCATGTGCAAAAAGGAGGCAACATTATTTTTTTTTAGCAAACCTAATAGGCTTTGAATGCAAAGAAGGCAAATAATGAATGAAACCAAAACCTGCACTTGCATCTTGTTGGTTTTACTTTAAGATTTAGGTATTTGTTGAATCCACATACCACAACTGTCCCTAAAAGGTTTAAAGGCAGTGTCCTGCATGCACACACACAAATTCACACTGACATTCAGGTACCATGAGGAGAGGGGATGCTGTTCCTAGTGAATAAAATCTATTTTCTCCTACTTTCACAAGTCCTTGCGAGGGGAATTTCACCAAATCTGCTATTCTGCACGTGATAAGATCTGGCTGGAATTTTTTCATTCATTCATAATTTTTGTGAACATTCATCCATACATACTAAGTGTGTGCATCAGGGACGTAACTAGAAATCCCAGGGCCACGGTGCAAGAACCTGTTAAGGGCCCCCAGTCCGCATGTGAATGCAGGGGTGTGTTTGTGTGCAGTGTTGCCATTTGAATGCAGAATTGCTTTTGTGTGCAATGTTGGCGTTTAACCCCTTAAGGACCAAACTTCTGGAATAAAAGGGAATCATGACATGTCACACATGTCATGTGTCCTTAAGGGGTTAAATGCAGGAATGTGCTTGTGTGTAATATTGGTGCTTGCATGCAAATGTGTACTCACAAATACATATGCACCGCGCGCACACACATACAGGGGCACAATCACATACACAGAAACACACATACACTGCCATACAAAGATGCCCAAAGACACAAACACACAGATTCACTCTGAGAGATACACAGATTGACACACATACACAAATACATTGACTAACATACATGCACAGATTCATACACCAGCATACGTAAACACTGACACACATAGACACACTTACCCTCTGTCTCAGTCCAGCTCTCTCTCCTATGGTCTTGTAGTGAGCATTTTAACTGCCTCCCCCTAGACACCAGGGGGTTTCACTCCAAAGGAGCCTGCCTTCATCCCATGGCACGTCCACCCCAATTAAAGGAAGACCTTCTCCAACCTACCTGTTCCCTGGATATACAGGGCAGGACAGGTTTCCCACCCCAATTAAAGGAAGCCCCCTCCAACCTACCTACCCCCTTGAGATACAGGTCAGATCCCACCTACCCAATTAAAGGAAGCCCCCAATCCAACCTACCTGCTCCCAGGAGATACAGGGCATGGAAGGTCTCCTGCATGTCTTGTCGCTTCCATAGTAAGATGAGGTCTCTCACATGGACACACAGATGGATCTGATCACAGGCTCCTTGTCTTTCACCATGGTGGCCCTAGATGCCTTCCTGATCTGAAAGAAGTGGATGAAGCCCAGATCCAGCAGAAAACCCAGCAGTCCCAGAAGGCATGCTCAGAGGGCTTGTGGCAGGGGGCAGAGGCTAGTGAGAGCCACTAGCCAGATCAGGCTGGAAAAGCCCACGACCTGCATGCTTTGCCTGAGCTGCATGGCCTGCTAGAGGGTGCCCAGTACAGCACAGCCAGACAGCCCAACACAGCCAGGAGCTGGGCTACAATGTGCAGCAGGTCCCTGTGAGAGTGGATTATAGTAGGTCAGGAAGAAAGCACAGGCTAGGAGGAAGAGATAGCTCATGGCATGGAGAAGTGCAGCAGGAAGGATTAGGGGGCCCTGAGCAGCACCTAGCCAGCTCAGCTCCCCAGCACGGCGAGGGACGCGGCCCACACAGCGCACCCGGCGGAAGTTACGGAGCACGCAGCTCTTTACATAGTCATTCCGGGTTTCATGTCAGCAACTGCCCTAGGACCCATGCACTGGACAGCTCATATCAGGGTGATCTCACATCCAGCAGTGCCCCATGCTCCCCCCGAGCTCGCTCTGTTCTTCATACTAGTGGAACTCACGGACCGCCTCCCAGCCTGGGTCCCGGACCTCTCACGTTAATGAATCCCATTTAGCAGGGGTTAACAGAGTGGCCGTGCCCCCTGGAGTGACAGGCCTGGTCACACCTGCGACTGTGGTAGTCCTGCCACTGGTGTGCATTAATTTCTGATATGAAACCTAGTGTAATGTCACACATGAGAAATTAGCCACAAGCAACAGTAATTTGTAAGAGAGATTTGCTTTTATTTTTCCGGCAAACGTATTGATACATATTAGAGGATTGCTGGGGGAAAAAATTTACTCAAAAAATGTTTTACTACAATTTTGACGGTGTATTTTTTATTTAGAATTATTGTACTTACCATCTTCCCGATCTGCGAGCGTGCTTGTTGTATCTCGGCGTTTAGTGTGATAATTGTCTCCTTTTTTTCAGCTAATTCGCCCTCCAGAACCTGCATGAAAACATACAGAGTCAGTTGTATAGATATTATTAATGTAATACATTATCCATAGAGGGGCAGATCCAAGACTCAATTACTGGAAGATCACAGTTAGAATATATATAATTATACAGTAATTATTTTTATTAGTTAATTATATATTGCAAAAGAAAATAATAAGATGCAAACGCTCTCTGATAAAATCATACTTAGTGCCCAGTAATTTGGATCTTTGTCATATTCACAACAGGTTTCCGAGGAGCTCTATAATACATTTACACACAATGCACATTCTTGTATATCACATTCACCAATCAATTACAGTTGTAATCAAAATTATTCATCCCCCATTGAAAATAAAGTTTGTCAAACTGTACAGACTTTCAGCTGTTTGCAATGAACTAATTAGGCAAAATCAGTTAAATAGCTCAACACAATGAATGTTTCAAGTGGTTTCCCTAAATTCAAGTGAAAATGCAACTTGACTTCTCCAGTCTCAAAAGTATCTAACCCCTTCATGGCAAGAATTTTTAGTACTTAGTAGAACACTATTTTGCTGTTATGACCTGCTGCAAACTAAATGTATGTTTGTGTATTTTCAGTGTTGAAATGTCTATTCTGATTGTTTCATTTTAGGAAGTGATATTGTTTGTTGCTCTCTCTTATCTGTTATTTTGATTAGTCATATCATTAACCAAGACATGAAATGGTAACATAGCGAATGGAACACAAGAAGAAAGGAAATAATTCAGAGATTGAGGAGAGGGTGGTGAGTAGGAGAGATAAGTGGGATTAACTGGCGAGTCAGCGTGGTGAGGTAAGTGTACGTTTTAAACTGTACACCTGCTGACATATCTCTCACTGACACACACACAGCATAACAGCAACTTATTCCTATATTAAAAGAAGAAATTTTAGTTGCACAGTTTACCTGAGAAAATCTGACTGCTGCTTACCCCAGTGTTAAATCTATTTCTACCATTTTATTTGTGGCAATATGACTTTCCCTAAATTAATATACCGATTGTAAACAGTTACCATTTTCAACACTTCCTGTCTCTTTGATTCCTGCAAGGTTTCTTTGTACTTTTTCCAGGTTTCCTAAAAACACGAAAAACACAGATTAGTTCTAATACAGGAAACAAAAAAATCTCAAACAGATCACAAAATATTAGAACAGGATAGAAGTATACAGAATAAGGTTAGCCAAATGTTAATCGTTTAATATTTACGGTTTTTACAAGCTGAAGATGAGGAAGAAAGCCTCTAATTTTCCATCGTTTTAAATGAGTTGCTATCCAAACCAGATACTTCCAACCGATTAAAGGGGGACTGTCACCTTGTGATATTAGACACCAGAATTTATGATATTTTGTTTACTTTAACTAATACATATTTGTGAAATGTGAATATTGAAATTAAAAGAAAAACACTCCAAGTACCATAACCACCAAAGCGATCTACAGGGTTATGGCACTTGCATTTGTAAACGGTTGATAACTTACCTGGTGTGCTCCAGACAGCCTTCAGGAGAGCCAGGAGCTCCTGCATGGATCTTTCATTGACTCTCCAGAGTTGGCTCATTAGCTGAGTGGGTCAGCCAAGTGCTCTCATCCAATGAGCTAGGTCCTGCACCACTGGGATAGCTCAGTGCAGAGAACTTCTGGCTCTCCGGCACGAGGTAACTGGTGCCTAAAGGACCCCAGGTATGTAGTCAAGTTTCTACATACATGTAGAAATTATGATGCTTGGAATTATGAAAAACACACCTCTTTATTCTGCAACGGGGCATCTCCAGATTATCTCCCAGTCAATTATTGTTACAAACTCCAGACTTTGTGCCTGCCTTCGACAGAGAGCATACAGAGAAGAGGAAAATTGGAACAATGCTTCTCATTTCCACCGTTTACCCCCAGCTTTACCTTCTCTGAGCTGGACCGTGAAGTCATTTGTTAAATCTTGCATGCAAATTTGAAAGAAAATGGAGCATCTCATGGGTAAGGAGATAAACTGTTCTAAATTATTTTCAGTGTTTTATACAACCGTAAAAATTCAAAAAAATAGATATTTCTTCTTTAACAGAATTTTATAACTGCTATAATGTATCTTCTTATCTACAATATCCAAAACACAAGACACATATATGTACAAAATAATTTCAGCATAAACCTGGAAAACCATGGTTGGTTCCCCTCTCTGAGATACACAAGCTACATATCCTCCCTCTGTGCTATGGCTAACATGTAACTACCTGTATAATACGGGTACCAGGTTTCTGAATTACAAAAATAGGGCTAAAGGTCATTGTGTAGTGTTGCTGCGGCAGTTCTATTTACACTGTAAAATGGTGGCACATAATAACCTCTGGAATTTGGTGAACTAAAACTTCTTAAAGATTTGAAGCGATTCCAATTTAAACTCAGTACAAAGCACTTTATCATAAAGAAATAAGCACTGCAAATGGAAATTCCCATCTCATTGCCTTTTCAGTGTTTGAAAAACAAAATCATAAATTAAACATTGCAGTCCGTAACATCCAATATAATGATCTCTTATTGCTGCATTTACAAGGCTCCCGAAGTCTAAAACTGTCAACAATGATTTTCAAGCAGCTAGGTAATTCTCAAACGGTTGTAAAGCAATAGCGTAATAACCACGGGGCTATTCACCACAATGTTAAATGTCAGGAATTCAAATTGAAGTCATTGTGAAATTTAGCTAAAACGATTCAAATTGGGAAAAAAAACACGAAGTCAGCAATGTTTCCATGACCGGTGTATCGTTGCCATATGGACATCCGGAACCTTGGACAACCCCCCACATACCTACGCCAATAAAACACGGACATTAGGGTATATGGGTAAAATTGTCCACAGCTTTATTAAATATATAAGTAATAATAATAATTTAACATAGAAACTTATGGGTCATTGCCCTATGCCCCGCCCTGTTTCCGTATCCTTCTGTTAGGTATAAAAAGGCAATGACCCCACTATAAATAACATATATATATCAATTTATATATAACATTATACCAATATAACCACTTAAAATGCCAACCATTTATTATAATTTAACCATGGTAGGGGTATACCCGCATACCCCTTCCCCACCAGGTTCTGAGCCACCGACAGGACTCGAAAGCTACCAAACATACCAATAACCATTAACATAACCCTCCTACCGGGGAGCCTATTTCCTCTCCTAGAGCTCCCTATCTCACCGCTGTGACAAAACGGGAACCCCACTATGACCAACAACCCAGGGAGGGAGGGTGGGACAAACTCAGCCAGGTAGGCAAGTTAAAAGTGATTTTTCCAAGATGTCTGCCTACTTATATAGCCCAGCCCCTTAACCCTCAATTAACCAATTCCATTAGCTTCCTCCTATGCCCGCCTCCTAACCCCTGTCAAGGCCCCTTTCCACTAAGCTGTGCTTTTGTTACATGTGGCTACAATTTGTCTGTTTTTTTTCAAAATAATTCTACATTACTGAGTTTTCAATAAATAAGCACGTTAGTGAATAACCCTGTATGTGTACGAGCACATCCCCTGTTTAAAATGATCTGTCTTTGCATGTTTTGGAGCATAGTCATTTGTTAATGGAATACTTACTTTCTGTCCATTTTAAAAAATATATATTTTTCAAAACACAGCCCAACGTGGAGGTAGCATCTTGCAAAATAATAAAAAGCTATTGTTACAGGAAACTATTACCATATAATATCAAGAATAAAGACCCGGTATATGAAAATACAATCTTCCACCCTATAAATAAGCTACCTCCATTTTCTTCTCATAGCTCTGCTGAACCATAGATACATCTTCCTGAGCTCTCTTCCTCAATTCACTTTTCTGTTCTTCAAACGCATTCATCAGAGAAAGCTCTGGAACACAAAACACATTCAGTCTAAATGTATTTATTTAGAATTCTGGAGTGTTCCTTTACAAACATAATCACATAAGATCATTTAATAGACTCCTCTCACAAATGTCACACGATTCTCACTTTGCTTTGTCAACTCCTTCAGTTTCTCATTTTCAAACGTTTCTTTCCATTGTGCCTCCTTCAGGAGCCATTCTGCATTCATCTCCTCCGACAGACTTTCCTATGACAGATAGCTATAAGGTTATTCTATATCGTGTATATCTAAACAGTAGTGTAACTCCATATGGGATGGAGACAATATGGAGCTTTCTGTTAAGCTGTGCAGACAAAATCTGCTTCATATAGTAAAAAAGGTTTTCTGATAGTGATATAAATAATTCTATTCAGATCATATTTTGTATTATAATTGTACATGAAAGATATGTATAAGCTATAATGCACGTTGTTACCTCTTGTAACCTACCTTGGGGTTCTGACATTGGCTAGTCCAACATCACCACTCCTATCTCATTTTTATAATGCATGTTGTTAAATGGTCACTCTAATCACCATAACAATTCCACGTCCAAGATTGCATAGGTGGATGTGCAGAGAGTACCATACACTCAATTTCAGTGAGAGTAGCTTATAGCCTCAGTAATTTGTTTAAAAAACAAAACAAATCACCGCAGCTATAATGCATTGCACTTTCTGATCTCACTCCCCCATTTTTAAAATGTATTTATTTATTATCAATCATTTATAGCTTGGAGTAGCTGTTTAGCTTTGTGCCGATATCACAAGTGGAGTCCATAACATCATAGGCTCTACAGTATTATGGTATAGATCGATTTTCATATTTTGATCACCATGGTAATAAAGCGTTACAATCAATCATGTGGTTGTTCACCCAAATTGAGCGAACATGTATAATTTTTCGATCTGCACACTCCTCTATGAATAATTTCAAAGTTTGCCCCTACTGGTACTTTGTGTTAGTGAGCCTTACCCAGTGTCTTATAATATGGATACTTACCTGGTATGTTCTAAAGGAACTCTGCAGCAGGACGTTCTCTTTTTGCAATTTGTCTGTACAAAGAAAATACAGAATTTTAGCAAGACTAACAAAAACTGTCACATTATCCAAAAGTCAAAGGGAATTAAACAAGACTTCTTCAAACTGAAATGAAAGTTATGTTTAAAGATTAAAATTTGTTTTCTAACATAAACTGCTGAGAAAAACTATTTATGTTTTTATGTATTTTTCCAACTGAAACGTCTGCATTGTATAAAAAAGTGTATACCTTACTACCTTCTTGTTGACATCAAATATAATTTAAACCCTCTGGATATTTGCTAGTATGATAGGGCGATAGGGCTTATGACACATCTACATCAAATCTGAGACTCATCTAAACTTATTCAACATGGTAGTCAGAAAGAGTGATGTAGTGGTATAATAATCAAATTAAAAGATCCCCAGATATTCATACTTTTAACTACATTCTTGTTATATTTTTTCACTTTGTTATTTTTTGTTTGGGTCAGGTTATTTTCTATGTGAGTTGTATAGGTTTTACGGGTACAATGGGTCATCAGATAGAACCTTTCAGCTCACACACTTTCATACACTCAATATAATGCATGTCTAATATAACGGCTCTTAAAATGTTATGACATTTTCATATTGAGCAAGAATTCTCATGACAAATCTAAAATGACAGTTCGTATCATAGTCTATTATATATTTTTTTAACTTTGCAAGAGTGGGACTTGTTTGATTTTGTGTTCATCCTACAGCATTTCTTTAATCTGGTTTATAGCACAGCCAGTGAGCATGCAAACTATGAAATCACTGGCTACAGTGTGCTAAGGATTGGATTTCGTATTAAAGACAAGCCTCTGCAACAATCAACAATCTTTTGTAAAGTCCACTACAGTAACAGGAATTTATTTTATTATTTTATTCAAAACATAATTTTACTGGTGGGCAGAATCTGGCATCTATCCAAACTACACGCCATACTGGGCAGCTCCTGCAACTTCTGACTAATTTTGACAAATGATACAGTCAAAGAGACCGGTATCGATTTTACTCTACTGGAATATTGCTGTACACATCTCCAGCTACAACCTTAAGGTTTTTTTTATTCACTTAGATAAACTAGAAGCGACGCCGAAGATCTGGGTTCTTACTTACCTACCAGTTTAGAGGAGCCATGTGTTTGGTAGGAACTTACCCCAATTACAGTGGTTACTGACACAACACAATCAGCCACAGAGATGAGACGCCGGTCATAGAGACCGGCGTCAGGCACCCTGGCAGTTAGCCAGGATATAGGCACATCATTTCAACGTCACTAGTCTGTCAAAATTGTGGATTCAGAGGATTGTGAGGCCTACTTGGTGGGTGACACTATTGACAACTATTGAGGAGGTCTCTAACCAAGCTCCTCTAACAGGAGACACAGCTTTGACAACACCTGCACAAAATAGGACATTCAGAAATTATTAGCGGACATCTGGGTTTAATAAAGGCTGATGTGCGGGTGGTTACTGATAGGCGTAGGGCTTAGATATCCTCGACACCATCAGGGCATGTTCTCTATTAAGGGGGACATTCAGCCACTGCAAACAACTTAAGGTGTTACACTCAAGGTAGATGTGTTGGAGGAATGCAGTAGATGAAGACATCCCAGGTGACATCAACATGGAAGAGCTTCCACACTATGTGAGAAGTATAATGGCTTCCATTCTACCCCCAATTTTGCCAAAAAGCTAACACTGGATAGACTGCACCACATTAACAAGGCGGCAAAGGCACCATCATCGGCCACTCGGGATGTAATACTCCAGTGCCAAACATTTCATGACAAGCGAAGAATCATGACATCGGTACAAGGCAAACCTTCACTAGTCTTTGAAGATAGTCAATTTATCTTTTATCAAGACCCGCCTACAGCAATTCTGCAATGGAGAAGATTTCTAAGTGGATTCACAGTCATTGCTGGGGTCCAGCGATGGAATTGTCCTCACCATCAAGTCCGTGGAAGAAGCTCCATTCTTCCTAATGGCCCTGGGACTTTCTGCACCAACTAATCTGTCTCAACACATTGATGGGATTTACGCAGAGTGATTACATTTGTTCCAAGAACGGGAGAGGGACAAGAATCCTCAGCATGATCCACACTCCATACTTGCTATTGTTTTTTTATCTTTGTATGTGGCTGACTTGTACAATTTTTTCCTGCTTAAAATAGGGGTTAAACATTACTTTTCAGAGCCAACAGTCAAGTAACAGAGTGTGATTTTATCATTATGTGCTCACATTGATGCTAAATATCATACAGTCTAACAATACCTTCCGCACTGTTGGGGACATCTTACCTGCTATCCCTGCCACCATCTTGATTAAGGGTATTTCAATCCTGTCAATCCCACTTTATAGCCTTGAGTGGGCAGATTTGTTATAGGATATCTAACTCATCCATTTCACCCTATGCCGTACCATTTTTTCAGTTTGGGGATACAGGCTCATAGTACTAGAGTAATATGTTTGCAGGATACTGTACTATCATAACATCATAACTTGAAAAAAGAGGAAATGGAAATGTTTTCTTTTATATTGATATTGCTGTTCTTAATGCAAATAGAATTGAGATGTTATGTCTTACCTGCAAAAAACTAAATAAATAAATTTAAAAAAAACATAGTCTTACCAAACTTCTTTTCAGCCTCGTCCTTCTCTTCTTGTAGTTCAGTATTGTGTTGCTGTTGAAGCGCAAGAAGTTCTTCCGCGTGTTTCATCTGAAGATTCCTGAACAAGCCACAACATTCGGTCAACCCTATCTCTGGCAGATAGCCCACAGCACATAGATTTTAGTGTTACCATTATTATTTATAGAGCACTATTACACTACCATATAACAGGGTTACAAACAAGATTACATTGAATAAACATTACATAAAGTTTCATGTAACATACAGCTTGCTACATACTGGCAGAGAAGGAAAGGGGGTCTTGCTCTTGGGAACTTAAAGTGATTGGTGATATAAACAGAAGAAAAGGGGCTGCAGGGAGTAGGAAGTTGGACAGTAAAGGGCAAAATGTTGAAGGAAGTGAAGGACATTAGACGTGGTAATTTTAGCATGTAATCTGTGTAATAGATTCAAAAGAAAATGGAAAGGAGATAGGTTTCCCGGAATAGGTAAATTCAAGAAATGTTTTAAGCTGTGGGTTAAGTGTGATAGAGCTAAATGAGGAATTCCAGAGGACAGGTATAGTTTGGGAGATGGCTTGGATAAGGCAATGGGAAGATATAACCAAAGAACAGAGGATAGCTCTGCTCAGTATAAAAAGGGCAGGTGTGAGAATTTTTAGAGCAGGGAGCTGATGCATAGGAAGATAGTGTTAGATTGCCCCAGGAAAACTGAGGACAGTGAACTAGTTCACCACCCCTCAATCCTTCACACCTCACCACCGGTCAAAATGCAGCACAGTGCTTGAAATATTTGGGAACACAACCTGCACAGTGAGATACTGAGAAGACATACATTCTGTATGTGATGTTTACCTTATTTCCTCTTCATTATTATGGTAGCTGTCTTCCAATTCCTGAGTTAGCTGTAATTTAGTAGAGCGTACAGAACATATAAAATGAATCCAGTTAGCACATTCATTTACATGTCATTAAGTAATAACTGCTGTCTTTAAATATCCATGCCATGAGAAAGTAATTAAGAGGAAATATGTGTGTGATTTAAAAGCCAGGGTCTCGTTACACTGATTTCTGTAGAGCTTACTTTATTTCACTATGACAGTAGGCAATTCAAAATGTCACCTGGTGGGATGAGCACTCCGCAGCTGAGCGTGTAGTTGTTAAGAGCAGATCTCATCTGGTGTAATTACAGCACAGAGTGGAATTTTTGCAATATAAGAATTACTTAGCAACCCGACCTATTACTCCTAACCTAAAACCTAATAGCTAAGATAGTTCACATTTGGATTTTTAGATTGCTACTCTGGGCCATCACTTTAAAATGAATATATTGGAAAGGTATTTTCTTTCCTGTTTACAATTAGATGCAAGTACCATGGACAATTCTACAATAATGACCTGTACGCCTCTTCAGATTCATATAGCATTGCTGTTCCTGGACTCCAAAGGAAGGGAACTAAAGGAAGAAATTATGTACACAGACATAGCAGGAAATGCATGTGTCCATGGGCAGATATCTGTACCATTTGATGTTCCATGCTTATATGGGCACCACCCTGATGGAGACCGTAGGGAAAAGGAATGATATGCACCTATCATCAGCACAGGCATTTTAAAGGAAAACTACACGTATCTGAAGCCTGTCACATGTGTGACATTTAAGCCAGAGAGGTATTATTCAACTTCTGTAAGCTCTGTGAAGCTAACAGAAGTGGCAGGCAAGCTGTGCTAGTGCACACCTGCCTTCCCCCTTCTCAATGAACTGTATGACATACTATAAATGCTAAGGGTCAATTTTTAAAACTGCCCAACAGCCTGGTCCTTTTGAACTCACTCGTCTATGTGTCTTCTGATGTTCCGTTGTCTCTTGTTCCAGAAGTACAGTTAGTTTAGCAATTTGTTCTTGCAAATCTTCCACAATATTTTCCCTGCAAGGTATCAGATAAATCCTGTATTATATACCAGTAATGACATTGAGGCCTAGTCTCAATTCCTAAAGTTTTAGTTTGACAAAACTGCATGGAAACTCATGATCACAAGTTCACTATTTGTTGAATATATCTTCAAACTTTTCAGATATCTATAGGGACTCTTTGGAATGCAACCACAGGAAATATTGTCAAGTTCTAAATGGACTAAGAGACATTAAGAGATGCTCAACAAAAAACAAGAGTTCTTAACAGGTGAAAGGACAATACATACTGCAAATATCACAGAAAGTATAAACTAAACAAAGGTGTCCACCTCTAATTCCTTATTTTACTTCTCTCTTTTTTCCTCCTCTGATCCTATTTTATATATTGGCTCTTGTCATCTAATAGTCTTAACTCCTCACTGTATTTTGTATTTATGAAGTTATGCCCTTTAATGCTCTACTAACAACTGGAATGGGTTCTTGGACATACTGTCTATAAGCTCACTGGGTGTAGACCACCAAAATGTGTCTATTGCTGTATCTTCATTTAGATTCTTGTTTTGTTTTTTTGTCTTGTGTGTTAATCAAAATGTTTATAAATAAAGATTGTAAAAAAGAATTCCATGTGAAAGATAAACTGACAGATAATTATGGGAGTTGTAACTTCTGGGGTTCAACAGGCATTGGTCTCACTGATATCGTTTTCCATACCTTCTTATTGGCAGTTGTTCCCTTTTCTCAGGTTTTTGTGCAGTTGCTAGGCGACTTGTTTTCACACTGGGTCTATTGGTGCAATACACAATGTTAGAACCATCATTACTATCGTGAAATAGATCACTGGTGTGTGTAAAAATGGACGACATGCTTGTGAATAAATATACACACTCTTTTTTTTTTTTCAATTCTTTATTTAACAGTTAGCATTGACATGACAAGCAGATGCACATATGACACAAGCACCTCGGTGACATACATCGTTTTTATATACTATGCAAAAGAAAAAACCCTAGATATCAGCGTGTGTATATCCCATATCCTCCCCTGCATTCTACTGTGCCGTGCGTCGAGTCTTCGAATGGAATGTGCGTCCATCTGGCTCGTATTCAGTCACTGCCCATGTCAATGCCAGTTTTCTTAATTAAAAAAGAACAAGTATCTCCACCCCCTATTTCGCTGCCCCTGGTCCTCTATCCCCGTCTTTCCCTCCCGTCGACTTTCCCCGTGTGACATCTCCTCACTAGGCTACACCCCATTAGAGGTCCCTCCCGTATGTCTACAGCAACCCCTCATTTGGTGTTTTAGTCTTCTCTCCTTATACCTGATTATGTATATTTCATTCTGTATACTTGAATAGTGTCCCTCCTGGAGGGTCAGCGGGGGTACCTCAATTCCTCTTGCCTAACTAGCGGGCCCCGTGGACACAAAGCGATCAGGCAATTGTTGCGGTGGAGACAGAAAGAGAGAAAAGTGGGGTGAACAATAAGTAGGGAAGGAGGGGGTGGGGAGGGTATGTGGGGGGCGCGGAGCGCCACACTCCCCTCCGCACTCTATCCCCCTAATGGGGAACTTTCCCACGGCTCCCATATTCTCTGAAAGGCCTTATAGGTATCTCTTATTCTGGCGGTTAAGTCGTCCATGAGGTGCACTTCCTTAATTCTGGTTAGAACCCCTTGGATCGTGGGGGCTGTCTGTTTTAGCCAATTCGCCGCTATGGCTCTCCTTGCTGCTAATGTGATTTTATGAAGGAGTTTCTGCTCCCTCCGGGTCCACCCCTCTATTGAACTGCTCAGTAAGTAGACCCACAGGTCTAACTCTGGGGCTCTGGAAAAGACTTGGGTTATCACATCTCTGACTTGTGTCCAGAATTTGCTTACCACTGGACAGTCCCACCACATATGCCTATATGTTCCTATGGCACCACACCCCCTCCAGCACAAGTCCGTGGGAGCAGGGGCGTTTTAGCCGCGAGGCAAACAAGGCATTTGCCTTGGGCGGCATTTTTCAGGGGGCGGCAAAAAAAGCCGCCCCCCAAATGCCCAGGGCAAATGTCTTGTTAGCCTCGCGGCTAACAGACATGCCGGGCGCTGGTCGGCATTGGTGGGCGGGCGAGCGAGCGAGGGAGCTCTTCCTGTGAGCTGTCTGCTCAGCTCCCTCGCGCGCCGCAGAGTGAGGCTAGGAGCCGGAATATGACGTCATATTCCGGCTACCAGCCTCACTGTGCGGCGCGCGAGGGAGCTGAGCAGACAGCTCACAGGAAAAGCTCCCTCGTCAGCCGCCCGCCCGCCAATTCCGCCCACCCAGCAGCCACTGGACCACCAGGGAGATAGAGAACCCCTTCCCTCCCCAGCACTCCCAAAGGTAAGGAGGCTGGAGGAGGGGGGGGGTTTAAAAAGTACATGTGTTAATGTGAGTGTGTGTCTGTTAGTGAGTGTGTGTGTGTGTGTCAGTGAGTGTGTGTGTGTCTATTAGTGAGTGTGTGTGTCTGTTAGTGAGTGTCTGTTAGTGAGTGTGTGTGAGTGTTAGTGAGTGTGTGTGTCTGTTAGTGAGTGTGTGTTAGAGTGTTAGTGAGTGTGTGTGTTAGTGAGTGTGTGTGTCTGTTAGTGAGTGTCTGTTAGTGAGTGTGTGTGAGTGTGTGTGAGTGTTAGTGAGTGTATGTGTTAGTGTGTGTGAGTGTTAGTGAGTGTGTGTGTCTGTTAGTGAGTGTGTGTTAGAGTGTGTGTGAGTGTTAGTGAGTGTGTGTGTCTGTTAGTGTGTGTGTGTCTGTCTGTGAGTGTGTGTTTGTGAGTGTGTCTCTGCTAGTGAGTGTGTGTGTTTGACTGCGTGTGTCAGTGAGTTTGTGTTTCTGTTAGGTAGTGTACGCATATCTGTCAGTGAGTGTGTGTGTATTTAGAAGGCGGGGGGAAGGGATGGGTGGGGGTCGCGCGCGCAGAGGGGAAGGGATGGGTGGGGGTCGTGCGCGCGCGGGGGGGGGGTTGAGGGGCGCCTGAGTTTTGTCCTGCCTAGGGCAGCACAAAACCAGGATACACCACTGCGTGGGAGTCTTCCTCATGCGGTATAGCTGTACGGGGGTAGTGTACCATCGAAGCATTGTTTTTACCGACTGCTCTTGCATTGTGACGCATACCGAAGAGGTCAAATATACACATTCTTATTATGAAATCAGAAGCAAGTAATCAAACCATTCCATTTCAATAAATAGAGATATAACTAAACAATACATAGGTTAATACAAATATGGGATTGTAGATCATGTATTTAAATATTATGTAATAAAGTATTCTGAAATACACTACGATAATACATACTTTGATAAAAATGTGTATATAAAAAAACCCACAGAATTAAATGAAAAATCTGTTTGTTTACTATTTCAAGTGTTTTGTAGTAATACTTACATTTCATCAGGATCTGACAATCTAGAAGTGAAAACAGAATATGTCAGACAGACAGTAAATATTTTCTATTCTATTTTATCCTGATCCAATCCTCGTTTTGCCTTCCATTATGAATCGAATTATGTCACGGTTTGGCTTACGATAATTTCTCCATAACTAATGCAACTATGGAAAATAACTGAAAAAGATTTACTTACTAGACCTTATTGACAAAAAGCCTCATATGTCTAGAATTTTCATTACTTTTTGAAAGTCATAGGACGAATATTGCAAGGATTGAATACGATCCACCATGAAACTTGGATGCTATTTTTAACTCTATCTAACTTTTGTTAACCCAAATCAATGATATCACTTGGGGCATCGACAAACAGCCTGGCCTCGACAATCACAGCAAGACCACCAGCCCTTTTGGTGGTGACCATACAGTGTATATCAGTCGATACATAGTGCTTAAGTAGAGTGACATATCCAGTATGTCGTCCATCAAGAAAGGGTTAAAAGGCAAATTAACAAAAACAAAGGAATTATTCGAATTGGTTAACGTTCTCTAAGCAATGCTGCAATTTATTTCAGTGAATATATTTTACTGCGAAAGTCACTAGGGCATCGAATTTCCTTTCATTTTATTTTGATATATGAACCTCAGACACTCACTAAAGGAGGACAAATCCAAACTCTGTTTTATGATTTTACCTGGATCTGGGAGGTGTGAAATTGTTTTTTTCTTCAACTTCCTGGGCAGCACCCCCAAAAAACTCTTCCTCTTAGACCGCATCATTGTATAGCCAGTTGATATGACCAAATACTCCTTCTCACTCTAAACAGATGAAAAGGAAAATTAAAATGACATAAATAAAAATGAACACTACTTTCTTTCTTAGCAACCTTTTTCCTCTTTTGTTTGCAATTTTAGGGCAGTGGTTGCATTCACAGTGGCTCCCGAGGCAGGGTTCTACCAGTTTTGATGCAAAAAAAGTCATGATCTGCAATCATGCATGGCGTAACTGTTGATGAACAAGTTCGAACTCTATCCAATGGTTTACAAAGCATATCTGATTGTTCTTTTGAAATCAAGAAGGATTCTGCCTCTGTTTGTTGCACAATTAAAAAAAGGTTCAAAATCGGGTTTTTCACCTTCTTTAGGCTCAAATGCAGAAACGGTTGTGTGGAAGATTGAACTTGGACCTGTGTTGTGTTAAACCTACATTAGAAATTATGGTTTTGTAACTTGAAAGCTTTCGTAGAAAGCTAAAACGTACACCAGGCTTTGTAATAGGTGCATGTTAAAACTGTGTTGTATCTTGGGAAGGAACTACCAGTAAGGCAGCAGATGAACTGGCACTGGCGCCTCCAGTGCCACCAGCCGTCCATAAGAAAAGGAGTACATTCAGGATTCCAGTTAGCCAGGAGGCCAGGCTGCACTGCAACAGTGCATCTATTGAGCCACCGGTAGCTCATGATGATCACTGTGTTAATTTGACCTTAATAGCTGTGCTGTCACCTAGCTGACCAGAACTCTCTCTGCTCTCCCTCCCCTGTCAGATTGTACATTTAGCAATGTGAAACAGATTCATTAAGGTATACTGTTCTTTGAACTGCTGGAAATGACTATTCAATTCTCAATATTTTTTCCAGTTAAATGAGTCGGCCCCAAACAGGGCAAAGCAATAATCCAAGGGAATAGACCAGGGTTCTATTATATATTTTATATTTCTGCTACATGAAAATACACGTAATACATTATGGGCATGACAGGGGACCTCCAATAAATATATTCTCTACTGATTGGTTCTACCACTGGTTGTATCTGTTAATGATTTGAGTCCTGCAGTTTTCCTCTGCCCTCAGATTGGTGGCTGTCTAATGATGCTGTAGAGTAGTGGTAGGCAACCTTTGACACTCCAGATGTTGTGAACTACATTTCCCCAGATGCTCTGCCAGCATTATGGCTGTAAGAGCATTATTGGAGATGTAACATCTGAAGTGTCCACAACATCTTAAGTGTCAAAGGTTGCCTATTCCTGCTGTAGAGCATCAATTGGGCAGATCAAAATCATATTAAAAAAACTTCAGGCATTGAGTCTCATTTAAGAAGCTATTTCCGACGTATCTATTCAGTTTGATAGGGGATGTCAGAGCCAAGATAGTACCAAGAAGAGATCTGTGTTTTGGCACTTCTTCTAGGGCCGCCATGGACTCACAATATCATGGGGGCCCTAGAATAGCACAAAAAACAACTGCTTGGCAGGCAGCAACTCGTTAATGACTAGTTACTTTAGCGATGTCTTGTCTCGCCCATCAACTGACTGAGCATCTCTTGGGATACCCAAGATTGGCATTCACGGAATGTGTAAGTGCTTATTTCCAACTTCTAACTACTTTTCAGGAGGTTGCAGAGCATTTTCTATAAACAGAAATAAAAGTAAAGTGGTGGCATACAATGGGTAGCTCCCTCGAAGGTAGTTAGAACTTCAGATCTTATTTGAGGACTGCTGTGACTACTGCATAAGGCAATTGGTAGCAATACTTTCCAAGTGTTCCTATTTAGGAAGAACAGTCCCTATATTGGGCCCAAATCCCTCTGTCCTTTTCTTTCCTAATGTCTGTCTATGTGTTTAGAAATCTGTGTAAAATGTTGCATTTTTCTTATTCTAAATTACATTGTATTTGCATTAATTGCTATTAATATATCACCAAAACATCTCAGAATAGCCACGCCCTTGGTCACACCCCACAAATTAACATGTTCTTCTTTGTCCAATTGAAATGTAGGGAGGGGTTAAAGATAGTACAGGGTTGAAGATTAAAGTAAGATTAGGGTAGGCATACAGTTCAATTTAGTGTAAACGTTGGGTAAGGGGTGTGGTTAGTTAAGCATTAGTGTTAACTATCAAAAATGTACTTAGATCCTAGATATATTAGGCATTTAACAATCAGGATTGATGTACTAATCTAATTTGAGTTCTTTTTAATTAGTTTCACTGGATGTGTAAAAATGATAGGCAAAAGTGTTTTTAAAAAATAAATTCACATGTAATATTGTATTAGGTGTACATATAGGTTTGTTAAATGAAACATCTGTCCTTTAAAATATTATATATAATACATAGGGGAAACTTAAAGAGAAACCCTTAAATTACAGGTTCAATGTTTTGTTTTGGTTTAGAATGCGGACCGTCACCTCTGTCCTTGTGGGGTTAAGGGAACAAATATGTATTCCTAATGCTATAGTGTTCTCCTCAATATTTAGATGTTTGAAATGGTTAAAAAAAAAGAAGAGATTTACTTACCCTATATCCTGTAGAGCAGTGGTCTCTCCATTAACCCCCATCTTTTTGGCTGAGATCATCAGTGTTAATGATCTCAGCCAATCTAAAGCATCGTCATAGGGGAGAAACGGAAGGCAAGTGGACATACACAGCAAAAAGCCAGACTGAGCCAATCAAATTTTCTATACAAGCACCATATGATTGACTAACCGAGTGTGACTCAGTTATTTAGAGGAAGTGCCTCTAGTGTCTGTCAGGAATACAACCAAGAGCAGTGTGTTAACTTTGCAACGAAAACATTGCCCAATCTACAAAAGTGCAATGTTTTACATTGCAGGACTAAATTAACCGGGACACTGCACCCAGACCACGTCATTGAGATGATTACGTCTGGGAGTCCATAGTGGTCCTTTAATGATGTCAGAAGCAGAGCTGGGTAACCTGCTACAATTTATTTTCAGTTGGATACTTCTACATTGCTGTTTGACGGATTGTATTCTGGTTTATAGAACACTTGCTAGGTAACCCATTATAGATACACATGATTAGATAACCCATTACAGTTAAACTCACTGTATTCTGGGTTACATAACACTTGCTATGTAAATTATTTATGCCCAATGAGATAACCCATTACAGCTTGAATTATCTTATTCTGTTATCAGAAGTACTTGATATGTAAAACATTAAATGCCAGTTTAGATAGACTGTACAGTTTAACTCACTGTGTCCTGGTTTATGAAGCACTTGCAATGTACCCTGTTATGTGCTGGTTTTGGGATGGTTTACATATATAACATGGAGTCAAATTCCAAAGGAATCTTAAAACTTCACTAACCGCCAATTCCGCCAAAACTTCTTCACACACAAAATCCAGCTGTAATGTGCTTCAAAATAAATTTTTTAAAAATGATAGGCTCTGACACCTAAAGGTCCCCTTAAAGGAACACTATACCAAATCCACAGATGCCTCCTTAACACTTTGGCATCCTTCCTGAAGAGCGCGGTTACTGGTCTTTGGGGGACCAAGCTACACACGATCAAAGATTCACCAGATCATGTCCCAGTTCTGATCCGGTGAATACTTCAATTTCACTGATTAAAGGAACAGTCCAAGCACCACAACCACCGCAGCTCACTGTAGGAATCCTTTGTGTCCCCCCTCCCACCATTGTAATAAGTCAAATCATTTTAATGTTGTTTAACGTACATGTGATGATTTACCTGGGATCTACTAGACACACTGCTGCCTGCCTCCACTACCAACACTGGAAAGCTACCGTAACTCTTTCAGCCATTGAGCTAAGCCTTGCACTGTAGGGTTGAGCTCAGGAGAGCGAACGGAAGTTCCTGCTAACAAAAGTTCTGGCTCTACTGTGTTGGCAGTAGAAGCAAGGAACTGAGCCCAGCAAACTACTCAGTGCAAAAACAGTTTGACTACTTACAGTGGAGGAGTGCCAGGGAAGTCCTGCCACCATAACCACTACAACGAGCTTTAGTGGTTATGATGCTTGCAGTGTTCCTTTGAGACATCATAGTTGCTTTATGCAAATCTCTATTTATTAATTAAGATGATGATGATGCCCTCCTGTGGAATTCTGTGTTACCCATATAAGTGTTAAAACGGCACATTTAAATAACCACAGCAATGGCCACTAAAAAGTAACATATCGCTTCAAGGAAAATCTCTTAGGTAGGTCTTATGGTAACAATTTCCGACAAAAAACTATATTTCTAATGAGACGGAAAATAATATTCTTATTAATCCCTACAAATTAATTAACAATTTTTAAAAATAAAAATCATTAAAATACCTTAGCGGGTTCCTTGCTCCTCATTCTACAACCAGACTGCCTGGGAGATGTCCACTTTCTGTATAAGAGAAAGTAATAATTAAGAATTATTTCAACAGAGTTGTATAATTGAAGTAAAATGCGGGGACGTGCAAATTCTCCAATGTCAGGGTGACTAATTATAGATTTAATCCCTTCTCTGTCTTACATTGCAATGGAAAGCAGGCGCCAATTACAGCAAAGAGATTCTAAAAGCCAAACACACAACAAACAGTATGCACACCTGGTGTTAGTGGATGATTTTAAAGACATGACTTCTCTTCCTGGGTCTCTGAATGCAGTGCAGACAGTCGGAGAAGTCCTGAGGAATACAAATATTATCGGTGATTACTGGACACTGTCATTCAAACATAAAATAAGCAATATTAGGCAGCTACTACAAGGATTTTAAACCACATATAAACAATAAATGCCAAAAATGAATTAACAAAGTTACATTTACAATATTGTCCCAAATAACATTCAGAGAGCAACTGATTTTCAATAAGAATTGCTGTAATTTCTTCATTAAACTGCTAGTAGAGAAAAAAAATGTAACAGCAGTCGGATCTAGACATAGGATTTGATTATAACAGGAAATTATTGATCAGATATTGCGGATTAAAGTAACTAAACTTTGCATATTCTTTAAAATGAGGACCCTTGTGTATTTAAGTATGCTTTCATATTCACAAATTTCAGTCCTCGATCCGTGTTATTCACGTCTTGTGTCTCCAACTGTCCCCCAACTGACTATTCCATTCTATCCGGAGCTGGAGGCTGTACTGGAGGAGTATCACCGTTAGCAAGGAGGTGAGTGATCATTATTTAACTTTCATTTTTTAAATCCATAGGGGTGGACAAAAGGCAGCCTATAGTTCCGAAATAATAATAATAATAATAGTTATTTTGGGGACTATAGGTTCCCTGACTTACTCATGTACACCTTGCATGGAGTTCAATAAAGTTTCACACTAATGTATAAGCACTGTGTATGGTGTGATGAGATGGAAATATTTGAGACAGACAGACAGACACAGACAGTTCACACGCCCTTACCTTGGACGGTTTTTGCTCCCAGAGGACTTTGGTGCAGAGTGTTTCCCATGTCTATATCCTGCAGCAACAAAATAGGCCTGAGGGGCCCCCACACAAGAGGACATGGCAATAAGATCCTAGATTTAGTCTGATATGACGAGTGCCTAGCCAGCATGTATGCTGCAGCTTTAATTATAATATCAGGCTACCTGTAAATAAGGAGTGTAATAGGTTTTGTAAGACAGAATAGAGGAGATCTGGAATTTATGCAATGATGAAACAAATACAATTAATATATTGATCTGACACACAAAAAAACCAGTGTAAAGAAAAAGCCTTGGTAACCTAGCAACTCATTATGCATGGGGAAATTCACCAAAGTGCAGACTGCGAAGTGTCTCGATTTTAGCGGGTCAGTCCCTATTTCAGTGTCCTGTCCAGCTATCCTGGGTTTATTCCCCGGTGTCCCGCTTTCAGGTACTCCAGTACTTGTATTAAGTCACAGAGAGTGCTGTAACAGCTCTTTCTTCATGGGACCAGCCAGTGTGGTTGGCAGTCAGCCTGGCATGTCCGGGCCTCCCAACTGTCTTAATTTAGGCAGGACAGACATGATTTTAGTTATGCAAAATAAATAACGGTTCAGGCACTCCGGGATAACAGAAATAGCAGCTTTATTGAGGCAAAAGCAGCAACAATCTAAATTACCGAGCTCATAAAGACCCGGTAGGGTTGAAACGTTGCAGCTTTTGCCAGAGTGTATTTTGGATCTGTGCTGCCCTAGCCATGACGGAACTCAGGCACCCCCTAATTTACATTTGCCCCACAAATTCCTGTCAATGCCACACCTCTTCCTGTTAAAGACTAACACACACACACTTTGACTGACAGACACACACTCTCAGATACACTGACATACACACTGATTTGACACAATCTGACAGACACACCCACTCAAAGGCATACACAATAACTTAAACACACACACATTCACTGACAGACACATACTGACAGACACACACAATCACTCAGACCCACAGGCACCCTCACAGACATACACACTCACAGACACACTTACTTACAGACAGACAGACACACACACACACCTGCGCCCTCACAGACACACACAGTCACTCAGACACACAGGCTCCCTCAAAGACATACACTCAGTCACAGAACACACACTCAGATACTGAGACACTGACAGACATACACACACTGCCACCCAGCCAGACACAGAAACACACTGCCAGCCAGACACAGACACACACACATCCCCACCCAACATTCACAGATAACTTTTTAATTTTAAAGTCATATTCTTCGTGAAAGTGCCGCCCAAGGCAAATGCCTTGTTTGCCTCACGGCAAATACGTTACAGGCTTTTGCCCCAATAAAGCTTCTTTTTCTGTGCCTGAACCGTTATTTATTCTGCATATCTTGGAAGTGAGGCCTGGCTAGCCTTGGCTTCAGAGCACCTGGGTTATTTGGTGAGTGAAGTATCCAGTACATCTCTAGACATGATTTTAGTGTCCTAACTCCTGCCTTGACGTCTTAACTATCCACAGCACATCTCATGATTCACTCACGCTTTGCTCAGGGCATTAGGACTCTGCTGAGTGCCATGTAACTGTGTTCCCTGCATGGTCTGCCTGTGGTGGGCCGGCCAACTTGATTGACAAGTGGTCTCCCTCCTCGGTATGTTCAATAGGCACACAAAACTGAAAATATATTTTTGACCTGGATACATTTAAATAGCTGAATTGAGAACAGTTTTCATTGTGTCGATTTTGGCCTGCAATTTTAAATTTACTTTGAAATCAGTACAGAAGTAAAATGTTGCTGTAAAAATATAAAAGTAGCAATAAAAAAGAACAAACAAACAAAAACATACTGTTCTACCCCCAACAGGTAAATGTCACTGCATATCAATAAAATTATTACAAATAAACAGTTAAGCATTTTTGTAGATTTAAAAGGTACAAAACATTGTTTTAAAGTTTTTTAATCTCCATGAAACATTATCTCGCAGAAGAAAGTATTACAATTTGCTCTTTAGTGGATTTGTTGTTAGTTTTGCAAAACTAATATAAACAGTACACACTGATATTGAAATTTAATTATTTTTTAACTAATGTGTTCCATCAGATCCACCACGTTTCCTGGACACATTTCACCAAATATATAATTATGGGTTGCACAGGAAAAGTGCTCCCCTGCAGTATCTGGAATTCACATGTTGCAGGAGTAAAATCAGTATAACATGAATGCTACATACTGCAGGGCAGCACTATTCATGTGCTGTGTATCGAAATGATAGAAGGTGTATGAGTCCCAGGAAAACATGGCTGATCTGGCAAAAAGGAAAGGGTTAACTAATCCACCCCACCTACCTGTGAATGATTCCGCATGCTGTTGTGAGACACACAGGGTGTTGGCAAACAGTCTCTTGTTTGTGATTTCTTAATTCTTGTGATTCAGTTGTACACAGTAGCCATGGACACAATAAGGCTTCACCTAACTGGCCCTATTCAAACAGGCTGCCTGGTCACTTGAGACACTTTGCACTTAGTCTGTAAATATGTACTCACCACTCCCACTTGCTAGATGCAAAGTATACCAAGTATTGGCTCTTTGAAGGAAAATAAATTTTTTTTTTAAATCATATTGTGACGGATAGGGAACTTATCTGACATGCAAAGAGTATATGAGTACATTTTAAAAAGTGTACATATTCTCATATACAGTATTTTTCCGTGTATACGACAATGTTTTTTTATATATATATTTTTTGTCTAAAATTGGGGGTCGTCTTATACACAGAATTTCACAGCAGGGGTTAAAAACAAACAAACCACACACTTGTGCAGAGGGGGTAGAGGGGCTGATTGACAGCCAAGTTAGTCGCATGTGGCTGGAGGTCCTTCAAAAATCTAATTATTAAGCAAAATACTTACGGTATACTTACTCAGCGCAATTGTAGTGTGGCTACTCACTGACAGAACACTCAGTTGACTGTTGGATTCGCTACTGCCAGCTTCCTGCGGGCATAGGCTGTGTTGTACACCTCTACGGCCTGCTGACATATTTGAAGCAGAGGAGGTGCTTTTCTGTGAATTTGATCTATTGCGTGCGTGGGTCTGGGAGAATTTGCGCAACTGCATGCTTCCTCACATCACTCTGGACCATGCCAAAACCTCATGGCTCCGGACTAGAGATAGATACCACAGGGTGAGGCCTGGATATCCCCCATAGGGTACAAAATGCAGAGGGCATCGTTGCCGCCAACAGGAAACCAGCGCCTGCATGTGACGGACCTCAGAGAGCGGCCTACCGCAGTGCGATGGGGCATCCTCATCAGCCAAACTGGACTTCAGTGCTATAGATGTTTAAAATATCTATTTCTTAATTTTGGGCTAAAAAATAGGGGGCGTCTTATACATGGAAAGATACGGTACATTGGCTGCTTGCCTATCGTGCCACTGACTACTGGCCCAAGTTCTCATATGAGTGTAGTGGTGGGAAGGTCATAGTATCAACGAAATTCGGCAACATTTCACTGGGTTTAGGTTTAGAAAGTGTTTAGTTTTAGGGCATATCAAACGGAAGGTAACTTAAGGAGGACGCCTAGGGCCCAAGGGTTAAATTGGGGCTTGTTAAACAAGCATAATTGGAAAAGTTTTTCAACTTGAGATTTTTTTTTTCCAATTCATCTATTTAAGCTTTAAAAAAATCCTTGAAAATAGTCCACTGTACTGGTTTAGTTAATAGACCATTGCAATACATTGGTGAATTCCTGACAGTTCATGGTTTAGTTGCTCTGTTTATAGATAACTGTCAGTGTATACATTCACGCAGAGTGTGGAGACGCTGAATGTCAGTGCTGCATATGACCCAGGAAGCACCTTTAGTAGTCATCTGAGTGACTGCACCTAGAGGCGTTACTAGGCAGTGTTTACATTATAAAGTCTGCAGGGACAGACTGTAGACACCAGAACAATTACAAGCTGTAGTTCCGGTGACTATAGTGTCCCTATAAGCATTGAGAACACACTGTCCATTAGCCACGATCTGCTAGTTTAATACTACACTGAATCTAATGTTTCTCATTTAGAAGCATTGGATTCACAAAGTTTCTGGTGCGGGCGTGCTTACTCCAATGTCCAATAAATTCAATTACTGAATCTATTACAATGTGGAGTCCCTAGTGGCTGTCAGCTTGGGTGGAAATTGAAAAATGCAAACAGTGCTGTTTCTCAGAAATGGCACTGGTTTTATTTCCAAGGCTGCAGAACAGATCTACCCAGAATCACTTTATTAATTTGAAACTATTTTTGGTGCCCATACTATCCCGATCCCTTTAGAGTCTTCACAGTTATTATGCAATGGAGAGATGGCACACCTACTAATCAACCTGCTCTTCTGAACTCTGCATCAATATAAACAAGTTAGGAAACTATAAAAAACATCAATCAGTAACCAGCCAGGGAGATGACACCACATGCTGGCAATTAAATTATTATGGGCTGATTCTATAAACAATATAGTAAAAGGATTGAAAGCAGTCAAGTGGAAATTCTGAACTACTAAATATATCCTTTTAATTACCACTCCACTGCCCAAGTCATTGTTTAGTAGATATACCCAAACCGTCCCCTTCTAACCCTGCCCAGACTTTATGTGGCTGTCCAATCACAGACTTCCCAATGCAGTTCAATGAGAAGTCTTTGCAAAGCAGATCATCTGTTACACTTGCTGAAGAGGACTAGTAATGTTGGGGTTATAGTGAGCACAGTATTATTGATAGGAAATTAAAGGTTACTCTAACTCTTTAATTATGTGGGATTTTTTTTAGATATTTTTTTTTTTTTTAACTTTTTACACTGGGTGAGGCTCCTACGCTGATCTCCCTCCTTATCTGATGTCATGAAAGCCCTTGTGTGGTCCAATCATAGGCTACTCATAGAGAAAAGATTATAAAGGGTAAGAGGCAGAGATTTGTAGTTATATTTAAAAAAAAATAAAAAATAGCTGTAATGGAGGGAGGTGGAGGGACCGCAAAGAAGGAGGGGCTGCTGGCTATTCCTGCAAAGAGAGAGAATTCTGGACTACCAAAGTCACATGTGCCTTGGGTGTAAATATATTTCTGGATGTGCAGCATTCAAGCAGAGATGCTGCACATCCAGACTCCTACTACCATGACTGCTTCAAATCACCTAAATGGGGATGGTGGTTGGCATAACCTGTATACACTCTTATGAGTACATAAGTCCCACCACCATACTCTACCACCCATTCCTATATAAAAATTCACTCACTTTTAGAATAGTGAACATGACTATGAGCTTCATCCCTGTCTTCTGGAGAACATACTTGCAAACTGCAGATTTTAGGCTAAAGGGACATTACAGACTCCTGAAGTTCTTCAGCTTGTATTTTTTTTTATTTTTTTATTTCAATAGAAATTGGAACTTTAATTAATCTTGTTAAACTCGTCTGGCTGTCAGACAATCTATCCTGTTACTTCCTTTTTAGGTTAGCTCAATAGCGCTAAACTCAAGAGGCAGCACCTGTCTTGCAAAGACTTCTCATTGAGCTGCATTGGGAAGTCTGTGATTGGACAGTCACAGAAAGCTTGGGCGAGGTTAGAAGGGGAGGGCTTGTAAAGGCTGCAAACAAGAGAACTGCAGCTTTAGCAAGTTGTTTTTAGATCTACCTCAAAGAACAAATGCATAATTAAATGCACATGTTTTCATTGGAGGTATATATATATATATATATATATATATATATATATATATATATCGTAAAATATCATTTTTTTTTGTATTTTGGCACTGGAGTGTCCCTTTAAGATGAAAAAACAAAGTAGAAGCATTTTATAAGTAAACTTTGTTTTCGGCCAAACTATTTTGGTCAAAGATTTGCAATTGAAAAAAAAAAGACAAATTCAAGTAACAATGGCGCTAATAAACAGACCAAAGAAACATTCAAATAAAGCTGCACCTCACACAGTGTATTAACCCCAAATGACACTCAGTACAATATTAAAAACAAATAAGGTGCGCTGTGTCTATAAGACACGTACTTAGTAAAATATATAAAATCTTTGTATAGGTGTTATTTGCTAAAGTGCATATATCTTAAAGTGCAAAAATAAATGTGCACTAGTGCAATAGATAAATAATAAAGTGCTGCAATTCTTGTGCAAAAGAGCAGTGTAAAGTGCCACATTTTACTTACACACAATATACATTAGTATGAGTTGACTCCACATAGAAGGTCCACATGTAAATAAAATACAAAAAAACAACCTCATACGGCAATATTGCACAGTAAATTTAAAAAGGTATTAAAGATTCAGAAGGGAGCACTCACAAGTGTAGAGCAGAGGAGCCTTCTCTAACTGTGAAAGCCTCAGGATATACCACTATGGACTCTGCTGTGGTAAAAAGTCAATCTTTACTAGAACACATTAAAACCAGCAGCAACTAGCTGAATTTGCTCTTAGCCTCTCACCCCACCGATAGAGTTCTTCCAAGGTCTCACCGCTGTGGGAAACCGGTACTTGGACTCCAATACTTTTGGGGGACGTGGCCAACGTTGCCATATAATCACTATATATGTCCATAGAATGGGCGTGAGACGCCCAAATCAGTCCAAATTGGAGAATGTCCATAGGTTAGGGCATGATTATTCAGCAGTGCTCATAGGCTAAGGCTATATGCCTCATACATATACATAAGTACCAAAGCCTTATCAGTTCATGAAAAAGGGGTATATCTTCTAAATGTTGGAAAATATACATTTTAACTTGATCCAGCATACGGATATATCAATAAATAACCTTATGAGCATGTATTTAAATATTAAAATAGCCTACTATGGGGAGACCAAAATTTTAAAGAAATATTGCACAAGCAGCCTAAAAATAGAATAAAACATAAAATCAATTATGTATAATAACATCATAGGTGTAGGCAAGAAATGAATTAGGACTTAACAGTAAGAAATCACTACAATCTCATACTAACGCAATGATGGAGAATAAAAGACCCTAGATAAAAAAATATTAAAAAAAATAAAAAAAATAATAAAAATATTTTTATTAAAAACTAAAACATTTAAGAGATCAAATTCTTTATTCAAACCTTGGGGGTGAGGTTTTATGTCTATGCACCCACTTCATTTCTTCTATACCCATCTTTTGCCCCCCCCCATGTGATTATTCACTATCTGTATACCCAGAAAAGTGAGCCGTCTATGGTCCATATTGTGATGGTCTTTGAAGTGTGCAGAGAAACTGTGCTGTGTATACCCTTTTAAAACATTATTAACGTGCTCACTGATTCTCACATGTAATGAGCGAATCGTACGACCCACGTACTGTAAGCCAGATGGGCATATTAACAGATGTTTTGAATAAGATTTTCAATTGCCTTGTAAATTCCCAAGTCCATAGTTTAGACAGAGAATAACTCTGTTTATTTATATTTTTACAGAGTTTATTGGTTAGCAAAGGTTAACTTACCGAGACAAAACATCTCAAAAGTCGACTACAGAAAAAAAGGTTTATTGGTAAATTCAACTTAAATGTCTTCACAATCATTATGCAATAAACATATTCACGTTTACTAATTATCCTGCTCTCATGAACTCTGGATCAATTTACAATAAAATGTTAGGAATCTATAAAATATAAATCAGTAACCAGCTATGGAGAAGAGGTCAGGTGCTGGTAATTATGGGATGATATGCTATACAAAGTATTAAAATGTACAGCAAATAAGTGAAAACGCTTATCATATGGCCTGTTTTAAGTTGATTAAAACAGCTGATTTATGAAGGCGTTGTCACTTCTGTGGTCCCTGATTTGCATAGTTTCAAAGACCTAGAGACATGCCTGTTGGCTTGGTGACATGTAAAGAGAGAAATCACATAGCCTTACTTTAGGTTAGGACTACACATAGCCTTACTTTAGGTTAGGACTAAAAAAAATCAAGTTCTATGCTGCTAGGCTAGCCAGACCTAAAAGTAGGTTGCTACTTTAGTGGTTGAAGGTCCATGGCACCCTCAACAGGAGTGAATTTTAACTCATTAATGGGTAGTGAGCACATGGAAATTTTAAGCTCTGCCCTAGGTTCTCCCTCCAAATTGCTGCCATCATCTTTTCTCCAGCTCCAAGAGTGTACCAGGAGTTCATCACCGGAGTTTAAATATATAAATAAGTACCTAAGAAGGCTTCAGAAAGATCATGAGATCCTCAGCTGGTCTTCTCACACATGAGCAGAGAAAGACCATAGACATCGACTGGCCATCACATAAGATGTCTGCTTCCCGAGAAAGAAGCCACTTTTTACTGCTACTTAGTGATACCCAAAATATAATGTACTGGTAGTACCTTGAATTTACACAATGAATTTTAAATACATACTAAGAAATCAAATTTGTGTTCATTACTTTTTGGCATGTTTGTGCACCTACAAACCTGTGTATTATGTCAACTTTGGAAAGTCTGTGTGAAAATTAGGACCATCCTCTCTAACATAAAATGAAAATTAAGTTTCAACATGACACTTGTTGCCGTTCGTAAGAAAATTATAAAAAAAAATAACATTCTATTTCATATTGTAGTCAATGTATTTTATTCCTAAAAGTGGTCTGTGCATGGCACCATAAATCTATTTTGTCTTTCCACAAACAACTCTTAAGCAGTTAAAAAGTACAAAGATCAAAAATGTTTATTGGAGACACATAAAAACAAGGTATTCAATATTTTGAAAAGGCAATGTTTTTAAAGCAACAATGCAACAGGATAATTATACAACGCATTAAATAGCAATATATAAAACAAAACCAGGTCTCTTCGTTAAATAATTGGTGCAAAATGTAAAACAAATAAAAACAAAACATTTCCCATTTGTTAATTCGGCTTTTAGCTTACATTACAGGAGTACAGGCAGGTTGCCGATCCTTACACAGTGCAATGGTTCAAGGGACATTAGGGAGAGGTTGTTGGGTTCATTAAACCACACAAACAATTCAACTCACTGCCATTTTAAATTCCCTTGATTAAGCAATGTGTTGAAAAATTACCAGTATAGCAAGTTCCTTCTAAATAAAAACAAAACAAAAAAACACCTGTGGCTGATCACCCGTTTTATAGAATTTAGCAGTGCTAGTTTTGTAATTTCTTCTTAGATTTGTGATTTTACAATGATAAGCAAAACGGTGACTCATTAAACATGCTTATTCTAGTTTTAGAACTAAAATATTTGATGTATGTTTAAGTTGAAGCTATGAGTTTTCTTTTCAGTGCAGAGTGCTTAAATGAAACGCGTCTGCATTTAAAGGGACACTTCAAACAGAGCAACCGGTGTCCCTTCGGGTACAAGAAGCTCCACTGTATACAATTCATCACAGTTGCAGCACTTTGCATAACTACTATATAAGCATTTATAAACTGCTTCAAAGTATTTATTAGCGTGCAAAATAAACTCAGATTGAGGTTTCTGAATGACGTTAGCGTGGGACTGCTGAACTAAATATCTCTTTCTGCTGGAAATAAACAAACAAAAAACAGACACACAATGGAAGGGTCAGGACTCTCTGAAAACGTTGAGCCGAATCATGGAGAAAATTTCAGATTAAAACCAAACGAGGAAAATTTAGAGATAAGTTTTGTGTTGCATATTTTGTTTTGTGAACCACATCCACAATATATTAATATTGCTGAAAACTGGCATCCGGATAGTATATAATTGAAAAGAGTGTATTTTACGGTTATTGTCTATTAAAATATAATAATAGTAAAAAGGGGTCAACTTCAGCCTGGCGTATCCCTATAAAACAGGAAATGCAATCCTGTCTGAAAAGGTTCAATCAATTAAGTCTACCAAGTGAGTAAACAATTAGTGGCTCTGCAATCTGTAAATGGACCCCAGCATCAGTGAAGAAGAGCCACGGTGATGCCTATACAATACTAAAGGAACACTATAGGGTCAGGAGCACAAACATGTATTCCTGACCCTATAGTGTTAAAACCACCATCTAGCACATTGTGCAGCACTGCCCCAGGAAGCACTTCTGAAAAATATAGTGTTTATTGCAAAAAGCATGCAGTGACTGACTATAGTTACCAGACACCAAAACAAATACATTAAGCTGTTGTTTTTCTGATGACTATAGTGTCCCTTTAAATAATTCCTATGCTATGGATTGATGAGATTTTCCCTTTGATTAGCTAGAAGTGGATGGAAGAGAGATTTTTTTTTTTTTTAGAAAAGTGCTAAATACTGGATCACAGTGAGGTTTTACATGGTGGTAAGTGCCAGTTTACAGTAGTATTTTTTTTATTTTTTTTTAAATATGATGCTCAGTTGTCTTTCCTAAAAAAAAGAGTTAAATACTCAGTCTAACACAAAAGTCATCTTGCATTATTAGAGAACTCCAAGCCTATGCTGATAACTAGCACTTGGCTATAGGAGCAGCAATTTCTAAAAATTGTTGCCGTTAAACAACAACAACAAAAAATACTGGAGCTGTCAATCAAGCAGCTCAGAACATTTAGTTCTGTGTTGCTTATATCAATTTTGTCCATGTTGTGTTTGTATCACTCTCAGAAGAAAGATCTGCAGCACAGCCCATGCAAAAAAAATTACAAATTCCCAGATGTAAAACAGCCTTTAGTAAAATCTATCCTCCAATATACACTGTATTTTCTCATCTTCACACTCCCATCAGTAGGTTGGAATATGTAACTCAAGAGAAAAATATACAGAAAAAAATGTAGTGCGCTTCCAGAGTATAATAAAAAAGAATTTAATAACTTGCATATAAGCATAAAACAATTCGTTTGTCACCACTAGGCGTCAAAGACGCCTAGTGGTGACAAACAAATAGTTTTATGCTTATTTGTAAGTTATTAAATTCTTTTTTATTATACTCTGGAAGCGCACGAGGCGCCAAGTGGTGACAAACAAATTGTTTAATGCTTATATGTAAGTTATTAAATTCTTTTTTTATTATACTCTGGAAGCACACTACATTTTTTTTCTGTATATTTTTCACTTGAGTTACATATTCCAATCTACTGATGAGAGTGTGAAGATGAGAAAATACAGTGGATATTGGAGGAGAGATTTTACTAAAGGCTGTTTTACATCTGGAAATTTGTGAGTGGCCAGTTGTAACTAACATTTTGTTACTTACTCTCACACAGTTAAACGCTATGTTATTTTATTTATTCTGTATTTAGCAGATTATCCCCTATTCTATTTGTATATATTCTGTTGAAGACAGGAGGAAGTATTTGGGGACCTATCTGGATACTCCACCTGGCACAGGGAAGCTCCGGTCTGCTTTAAATTATACACTTTTCTCACTGGGGTTGTGTTCACATATCTTGTTTTGCTTTTTGTAAAAAAATTACAGCCTAGTTCACTAAACAGTAATGGCCGTTTCCTTAAGGTAAATATCGATTTCTATTTATTTTATGCCAATATTTTAACGCATTAGCTATATAATTACATTTTTTTTAAAAGCGGGTCAAATTTCAAATAGAAAATATCTTTAATATACCAGAATACTGAGATTTCAGGCTACTAAGGCAGTGATATCAACACACCATTATCAAATATCTATCATTATCAAATGGGAGAAAAAAAAATAAAATAAAGCTACGAGCCAATCAGGAAGGCATCAATAGTTTTTCTTTAAAGTCAGTTATATAACTTGAAATACATAATACCAGAGAGTAAAAGTTGTTGCTCTTTGGCATTCTTGCACCACTCACTCATCACTGGATGTCAATGTCAAGATAAAACAGCCAGAACTGAACAGAACATACAACACAAGTTAAAAAGTAAATATACATATATTTCATGCGTCTAGGTTGAAACCCATTTTGCCCCAGGTTTCCGTTTTCACTTTGTTGACACACCAACAATAGCAATAGTTCGTTAGAAGAGAAATACAGTCACAAAGATCATTTCTGCATTAGCTCTACACACGGCACTAAAGAATGTTTACTTTCTGGTTACTATTTACAGAAATGTACATAGGCGGAGGGATTTGATAGATTGCACAGGGTTGTTTTGCACAAGATTACAAAGGGTACAGATCAATAGGCTGATAAAATTCAAAACAAAAACACTGCGAGACCTGATAATGTCAGCAATACAAATAATTCCTTCACTCAAACCAAGGAAAAGTGCAGGCAAGCCCGAAACAGCTTCATTGAACGACCATATATCCTCTCCCACACTTTTTTTAATCATTACAGACATCTTTAATGCAGATTTAAAATGGGTTGCTTTATTTCTCATTTTATTTTTATTTTTAACTATATTGAAATTCACAACCCAGCTCGTCTGCACTGTAAGACAGTGATATCATAGGGCACCTGCAATTCTCAATTGAATGCCACAAGACAAGCAATCTAATGCACTTCTTGCTGTAAAATTATTTCAAGAAACCATTGTGCTTTATCATCATACAAGATGTTTACCTAAACCATGAAAAATTACCTTTGCTCAAGAGGCAATACATTATACTGGGTATTTGTATCCACCTATCATAGTCTTTATGAATGTTGCCCACGTATTTCATACGACCAACAATTGGCAAGATAAATATTCCCATAACCCTCAGGGAACAGAGGGTCTTAGCTTACTTATTCCTCCCAGCACAAAAAGAACCCCAAACATTTAACCTTAGTGTAGCTACACCACATTATGAGGCATGAACAAGTGGCTATTTCCTCCAATGCATATTTTGAATGTATTCTCACATGTGGATATAGATTTTCTTTTTGTTTGCTGTATTTTTATTAACCATTAAAGCTATTCAGACTCCAAAAGTGGTATAATAATATGTGTTTACCATATTTTACTTATTTATTTATTAACGGCTAACACTTCATGTAACATAGTTTTGGTCCAAAGTGTGCTAAATGCATCTATCTTACTTCAATTACACTCTACAAAGTATTTGAAGTTCCACTTACATTTATCTTCCACTGTCCTCTTAGGACATTCCACAGTCCTCTTAGGACATTCCACAGTTTTTGTTGTTTTTTTTTTTTACTGGATATTTCAGTGGCAACTTTTTAAAATAGGTTATAACACATTGTGCACTCCTATATTTTCATTTCAAACTCTTTAACTTTGCTTACTACAGTTCTATACCAAGATTTCTAAATCCTCACATTTAATAAACCTTTCTTTAACTTATCTCCTACTTGTGCTTCATTCAATAATTTCCCAAATTCTTGTTCCTTTATAAAAAAAAAATATTTCTGTACCATCAGTTCTTATTCTTCTTTTCTACATGCTCAAACCTTCAACAACTTTTCTTTAACAAACTCCGACACAGTGGACTATTAAAAGCAAATGCCAATCTTATCAGCAATCTTCCTTCAAGCTACCCATTTTTGGAGAAGACGTAGATACCTGAGGAACCATGCCTCCAATTAAAGCGGGAAGACTCTGGTTCCTCCTTAGCCCCCCCAACAAACTACTGCTTGGGGTAACAAACACAGCAGACTCTTGTCGCTTCATCCCGTTACGTAATGTTGAACTCTCTTCTTGGGCGCTGTTGCTCATTTGGTTCACCACTCTTGCAATACCCAATCTTTTCAGTCTTTCTACCAAGTTCATTTTTAACTGTCCCAGATCAGGCTGGTTCCTAGTAGGTTTTAAACCATATACTTCCTGCAAGAAGCTCTCAGCTGGTCTGGAAACAGCTAAGAAACTTTCTGATGGATTTGCACGCAACTCAAATTTCAAAGGGGATGGACATGGAGAATGGGAGGGTGAATTGGGTGGGGTTGAGGGTAGAGTTAGTTTGTCAAGTTGTGGTTTCCCTATGGCAAGGTCACTGTTCCCCTTGGCAGATATCCCTTGTTCCTGCAGGAGTTTGGCCAAGTTCCTTTTGCTGCTCAAGTTGTTTGCAGGCTCTTGTCCTTTGCTGGGAGATTCTCCTACACTCAGTCGGCAGGACATAGCAGGGGAACTAACCATTGTGCTGGTGGAACAAGTATTGCTGATGCCAAAAGATGAAGGAGTGTACATGGAGCTAGAAGGGGAGGAAAAAAAAAAGTCAATACCCTATACATGTATAAGAGAGGATGTAATGAAGGCTATTTAGTATTAATAGCCCCAAAGTCTAAATGCAGGAACAACTTTAATGAGACACTAATATTTCATATTAAGGTTTCAAAATTGTTGCCTCACCTGGGTGTAACCTGAGTGATGTCTGACGGATGGAGGATACGGCAGGTGGTAAAAGTGAATGTGGAGAATGTGCCACAGTGACACTTGCCAGGGTTTGAGGCTAGAATATACACAATATAAACTTAATGTTACTTATATACATATTATATAAATGTCTATCATATTAAAAACCAATATATGCATAAATAAGTGTAGGCAAATTTTGTCTCAAATACTTTATCTTGCCATTATACTCCGTAAAACGAAGATCGTAAAGATCATTGTAACGCTGTGACACCTGCACTAAATGCATACAATATATACACGTTGTAGAGCATTTCTTTAAATGGTCTATAAATTAGATTTACTCCTGTACTAACTTTAACTCACACTTTTGTGCATGTGCAGATGCTAACTCCATACAATTTACAAAGAAATAACTTTAGCTGATGGGATAGAAGCAATGCTCATATGCAATTCAAGTCATACCAGAACTCGGGGCTGAAGACACACAGATGGGTGGCAGAAATATATTTATTGATGGATTTGGCACATCTTCTTCCCTTTTCTGTACTTGAAACGTTATCCCTTCTTCATCATCCTCCTCTTTTTCATCCTCCTCCAGGTCACAAAGGTGATATTCAGCATCCTCTGGTAGAGGCTTGAAGCCTTTGGTCAGAACACCAGGACGTGGATCCAAGATGGTACCCAAATTAGGCTGAGCCAACTGTTGCCACTGATGGAGAGTCTGAGAGCCTGAACACAATATACAGAAATACAAAGTTTTTATTTTTGGTGTTATTTTGTTAGGAGGTATTTGGTGATTGCAGAGACTTGTCGAAAAGTCAAGCTGCCATCCAACAATGACCAACTGATAGATCAATAGGCAAGAAATAACACATACTACATGGGACTTTCATATGGACACAATATATGGTTTGTTATAAATCCTGACTATTTGATACAACTAACAAAGGCAAATAGATAGACAGAGTAAAAGGCAGAGGGAAAAAGTGTGTATTTTTTTTCCAGCCAGTAGAAAGAAAAGCGGAGACAATGAAAGAAGGAAAGAACTAGAGGCAGACAGGTATAGGTTAGATCCTCACCTTCAATAGGTTTGACAATCTGTAACTTCTCTGGCAGCAAGCTGCGCAAGGTACTTGAGGTAGCAGAGCAGTCTGTGATGTCCGAGTAGTGAGTTGCCATGGAGAGGACACTTCCAGTTGGAGTACTGCAGCCACTGCTGTCCCACTCATCCTCTAGAAGCTTCAGTTTCCTCTCACGCTCATCCTGAAAAAACTGCTTCTCACTCAGGTAATTCTGCCGCCGCAGGTGCAGTCTGTGAATGGCAGTTTCCAAAGCATGGTCTTCCTGAGTTCCAGACCTTCTACTATTTCTACACAAGACAAAAAAACAGTAATACATGTGAAATTAGAATTGCATGAAACGCCCATCTTGAGGTATGTTTTTTTTGTTTTGTTTTTTAGGTTTCTTTTTCTTTTTGTTTCAGTTGCTAAATGTAAAAGACAAACAGTGGGTCTTGCATGTCTCCAATAGCAGTAAAGAAAGTCTCTTCCGATGGTAGAATCAAGATAAACATTAGAAATGTAAACTTTATTGCGCAAGTCTCAAGTTAAATGAAAAACAGGTAGGATGATGTGCAGGTCTCAGGTCATGTATCAATTTTAATAAAAACACAGATAATAAGCGATATGGGTTCTCGGGTCCCCTATGTATCTTACAACTCGTTATTCCCAGGTCTTTCTGCGTGACCCTACATATCCACAGATCTGTATGTTCAATGGTGACATTGAGAGGTGTGTAAAGCGGGGGTGCGGTGCATCTGCATCGTCCCAATCTGAACAATAATTATCTAATTGGTGGGGCTTTAGATGAATAGGGAAGTAAGAAAAAAAAAGGGGGGGGGGGTTGTAGTTTATCGTCTTAGGTTTTCCCGTAGTTCCATCTCAGTTAGACTGGTGTTGGATTGGTTTTGTAAACTCGGCTCTGGTAGTCATTAGCAGCCAATATATTCAAATCTCCGAGTAGGTCGATGTATGTTTGAATAAGTAATAGATTTTTAAGAGCAACATACTGACAAGTTCCTTTTATCTTTAATTTTGCAAAAAAGTGGAACATTTGTTGTGGCACAAGATCCAGCATTTAGAATAGGGAAGGTTCTGGGAATTCCAACAGCGAAAAAAGGATGATGATGCATAATGATCAAAGCATCAAAGGTATGTTTACGTGTGGCACTTAAGCTAATAAAAAGAATCTGCATCTTGCACCTCAACAGATGTTTCACTTTTGGAACCCAGGAGCAAATCATAACTAACTTTAATCACATTCTAAAGATTATTTCAATAAATCTATGTTCATGTGTAAACATTTTCTAGACTTTGTCAGACATACTTAGATTGCTGGTTCTTTGTCACATCTTCCTTCTGCTCTACTTTCGTAACAGATTGGAAAGGCAAAGGGGTCATCACTACACCGGATTGGTTTGAGCCTGGAATTGGCAAAGGAAGAGGAAGTGTGGAAGATCTGGTGCGAAGCTCATTTGCAACCTTTACTGTATCAAATACACGTTTTGGCTGGGCCCTGAAAGCACAAATCACAAGAAAAGATTATCAGTTAGAAAACTGTGTACAGTTGTGGATTCCAAACTCTTCTTTCTAGAGAAATATGCATACGTATTGCCAAACTGACTTAACATTTTTAATTATCTGCCAGGTAGGGGTCCCAATTTAAATCCTGGCAGACTGTAGTCAACCTAGTACAGCCCTGATGTCCGTGTGTTCATGGCACAATTTGAGGTGCCACTGCACAAAGGTGGTTCCCAACACAGCACTCAAAAGAACCCAACTAAATAGGTTTTGCCAATATCCACATTGAAACTGCATTGGGAAATGTATAAATACTGGACTGTTTGTGTGCTTTGAGGATTGGGTTGGGAACCACTTATCTACAGACATCTGTTCATGCTTCTCTTCCAACCCCTAACCTACTGCCTTCATAATGTCAAGACATTACCAATCATGTTTTGTTAACATTAAAATGGTGTGTTACTAAATGTACTTCACAGATTATCAAAATGGTAAAAAAACAGCTGACGTTCTGAACTTTCATAGAGTTTTGCACGTGTTCTGAGCATTGTGAAAGATGCACTCTATGTATGATTAGTTAAGTATCTCTAAGGCTTGCTAAATACAGATTGGTAAAACTTTTGTTTAACCATTCCCCCCCCCCGCCCAAAAAAGGAAGAAGAGACCGCTCACCAATTACATCTTATTGCTATTATTCCACAAAAATTCCACTAGAGCTTTTAAAATAATTTTTACCTTCTTTCCCCAAAGTTCGACTCTTCATCCAAACTAAGCTGTCTCCTCATGGTGCCCTCAATTTCAGCTGCCAGGGAATCCTAATATGAAGACAGTATATATATTTTATTTCTACTGGTAAAAGCATGTTTTATTATTGCTTAAATATATCATAGGATGTCCATACCACTGGAAACACACTGCAGGACTGAGGACGCCTGAGAAGTGCAGAGGGGCTGGCTTTGCATTTCAGCATTTTCAATTCTTCCCGAGATTCTTGAAGCATCCCTTGGCATTCTGCATTGCGGTCTTGCAACTCATGCAGCTGGAGCAAACAGAGAAGAAAAAAAGAAAAGTTTGAAACTTTTTTATTGCGTCTTTGTGTGGATAATTTTATAGACAGATCCAAGAAGTGGCACTGTAAACAAAGCTCAGTCTTACATTTTGAGAAGAATTAATGGAACTTATTTTAAATGTATAATATCCATCATGAACTTGTTTAATCTACCTTGGCCTTGGCTGTTGTTAAACTATTGAAAGGTGGTTTGACAAAAAATAGGGGAACAGCACACAATATCCCTTGTATCATTAGCACTACAATCAGTTGTAGTAGTTATGGTGCTTACAGAGCATTAGATTTTCATTACGCTTTGCCTACCTCGACTATAAAGTTACAAAAGAAGACTATTATTCTGATATAGTAATTAGAAAATGTTATGTTGCCAGGCTGTTTAAAGGGTTTCAAAACCTTTTTAAAAAGCTCATAGTGAGGTCCCCCGCACCCCCCCTCCAGTCAGCATTGAGATTAATGATATACATAGTACTGGACAATCAGTGTCAGTTTCCACATCCAGCACTCAGCACGGATATCCAGGTTGGACAAGTTTGACATTGATAAGATGGAAGTGTTAATATCACCACTGAGGAGGGAGTGGCGTCTGGATTACCAATATCAAAATTTGCACAACCAAGATATCAGTGATGAGCTAACACTTGTCCAGGACTCTCAGTCAAATAATTAAATGATTGATTGTGTGGTAATGTAACATTGTAAAGCGCTTCAGAATAAGATGGCGCTATATAAACGCCTATAATAAACTATATTCAGTACTATGAATGCAGACGGGGAGGGAGCAGTCTCCATGAGCTGTGGAGAGCCCCGTTTTGTCAAGTCACTATCAAGCATCTTGGCATAAAACGCGACGAGACCACCAAGACACCTCAGGCAAAATAACCAGTACTATGAGCTCCAGTAGTTATCTTGGTATGAAGTGGTTGTTTTGTTTACATCATATGTTACTCTCAGCAAACAAATAATAAAATCACTATTAGTCACATTTGATCTGCATTGTTTTGCTGGCAAGATGCCTCACCTCAGCAGTCAGTTGCCTCTGAGCTTCCTTAGATGCCTGCAGGTGTATCCTTAGCTCCTCCTTCTCTATAGCGCTCTGTGAGTAGATGATACCATGGCATTAGAACATAGAACAGAATTTTCATGATGGCTAGAATTGGCTATGCAGCTGTTGTGAAATATATTTCCCATGATGCCAAGTCAGACAAATGGTTGGCTAATTGTCATCAAGTGGAAAATGAAGTCCACAGTAACTACATTGATAAAAATGATTGATTTCTGTACTAGAATATGGTTAATTAAATGGATGGGATAAACAAATTACCTTTTCACACGTTAAGTTATTTTTTGATTTTCATTTACATATATGTCTTTGCAAAAGCAGTTTTCCTTTGAGACACCTAAACAATTAACACATTTAGGGCTTTAGACTCTAACCAGAGCCCAGCAAGAAGATATCAGCTACTACATAGTCTAAATTTTACAAGTTAGATGATTGATCCCCAGAAGTATGGTTATTTTTTGGGGGGGGGGGATCCTCGGCCTCCATCCAGCTCACACGACCTGCCCTTTCCTCTCCTTTTTATTGACAAAAGGCAGTGTAAATGGTCTGGGTTTGTTTTGAACAAAATGTGTATGAGCTCAATGTCAATGTAGATAAATATAGGTGATCATCATTGTACTATTTTAGGTTAGTATTATATTGTGAAGATCAAACAATATTTCACAAATCTTTGCAAATATGTTAAAGGTCTTATTTAAAGGGTTACTCCAGACATCATATCCACCACAGCCCACTGGCACCAATTCCCGGAAATGAGGCAAAAACACTTTAAAAACAGTTTGCCCTATTACCTGGGTCGCTGCAGGGCACTGGTTCTCCTGTGCAGCAGGTCTATGACATGTGGATTCTGATGCTCATTCATTGGTTGAGAGCATCAGCGCCCACTGCATGCTGGCAAAAGATGTATTAAGCTTCTCCCTTGAAGGTGAAGCGTGGATGTCCCCTCGCTTCTTGACTGCAGCCCCCTCCCCAGTCTCCCTATAAGCTTGGTTATTTATTTAGGTAGCTGGGCTTCAACCGGTGTTAGATTTCAGGTAAGTAATACCTATATTTTATTCTTATTTCAGGTTCTTTTAGAGGGGGGGACCTTAATAATAATGACCAATATGGCATTATTCATTTAAAAAGAAACAGGGAATTTTTAAAATGGCATAGATTTTCACCTTGTCTATACATATATTCCTGCCCGGTGCATTCAAAATTAACAGACTATAAAATATGCCATTTTACACTTTAGTTTTTCTTTTTCTATTATCTTCCTACCCCTCTGCTAAAGGTTTATCAGCTTGAAATACTTAGGCAACAGGTCGTTAATTACATTTCTTCTCAAATTTGCAAAACGGGCACACAGATAAAAACATGCTACCTATTTAATGTGTATCTGCAAAGTACAATACAATTCACAAGTTATATTTTACTGTACTTGAAAAAAACCTATAATACTCCTTTATTCAAGATTACGGCCTCTGTACAGATGTGGCGATCAGAAAACAGAACAAGCTAAAGTGAGCACATCCCTAACGTTAAAGTGGTATTGTTATTTCGGGATTTACCCATTTGTTAATGACTCGTGGACATATACCTCTCTTAATTTGTGCTGAAGGTCAACAATCTCAGCTAGAAGAGTAGAGATCTGCTCCTGGTATTGTACTATTGCTTCAGACTTACTGGACAACTCATCAGTCAGCTGTTCAATCTGATGGTTGGTTTCGCCTAAAAGTGAACAAGTTTGACAGTTAAAATTCTGCTGCAGCTATGCAAGTTGCTTAGTTGGGTTATAGGCATATTTTGCAAACAAAAATATTTTTGCAACAATCAAGTTTAAAATGCAAGGGCAATATATATAAATATAGATCCACAGCACACACACAAAAGGACAAGATAAATATCAGGAACTGGGCACCTATTCCATGTTACTGTGGAACCCAACCAACGCTATGGATACCCTCTCTCAGGCTACTAAAAAGAAAACCATTCAGGTTGGAAAAAAATAAATGTAAGTAAAAATTCACGATCACACATAATATTTGCATATGAACAGTAGTCCTTAAAGGAATACTAAAGTCACCCAGTGACCCTATATTTTTAACCCTGTAATGTAAAACCGCTAATGTAGAAATTGCAATGTTTAACACATCTCTGGTGGCTGTCTTCCAGATGGCCAATAGAGGAGTTTCCTCTACAACTGCTGAGTGAAACTTGGTCAGGTGACCAAATAAAGCGCATAGCAAAATATTGAATTCAATGCTTTCCTATGAGAAGCATTTGACTGGATGTACGCAGAAAATCACTGCTCTTGCACATCACGTTTCCAATGCTCCTTAATTTGACGAATTAATAGGTTGCGATGCCTCCACGGGAGGTGGAGCGGCCCCAAGAAAGTCTTGATGCTAGAGAAGAGGTAAGACAAACCTTTATTTTACTCACTTTTCTTACACAGGGGAAGACACTAATGCAAATAGTGCCAAGGACACTATAGCAATAGATATACAGGTTTGTACTTTGAACACTATAGCGCTCCTTTAATTTCAAAGAAGAATTAGCGAGTATGTGTCTGTATGTTGGACAAGCTATCATTATTAAATGAATGGAAGGAAGGAGATAAAGATTTTAATCCTAGCAAAAGTTTTTTGTTTTTTTTTACAAATAAAATATTCCAAAGATCAATGTAATTGTGTGTTTCAGAGAACCCATGACTTTAGCAAGAGCTATTAAGTCACCCACTGTAAAAATCAATTACATAACCTAATAGGTGCCGGAAGGCATCACTAATGTGTCTGAGTATCCATTAGTCCTACTCACTTATTTGTTTAACGCAGTCTATCACCAACTGATGCTCTTTTTCCTCATATGTTATAGTTTCTGTTTTCAGGTGTGTCGCCTTGGAAGAAATAGAAAAGGCCATCAATAATGTTAACTTGCTCGAGAAAAAGCAAGATTAATATAATCACAGAGTGTATTTCAACCAAGTGCACAAAATAATGAAACCATTTATAAAAAATAAAATAAATAAAAAAAATATAAAAAAAACTGCTTGAGTAGCAAGCAAAGTGGCAAATGCATAGATTGTGAGTTCAGTTTTCAATATACAGCTTTGATTTTACTGCACGGAACATAACGTTACTGTTGTGCGAATAAGGAAGCCAAAACAGTCATTTAAAAAAATACAAAAAAATTGTTTGGGTAACAGAATGTCAAAGATCTCATGAGATTTTACAGAGGGATATTCATACCAGTAATGTGTATGCTTAATTAAAGAACAAAATAATACATTTAGATGTTCTCTGCTGACCCAGCTAATGCAATGTAAACAAACACAAACTGTGCTATCCATTACTAGAGTGAAGTGTCAGGAATTTACAATAAGTTGAAATAATTGGGCAATTGTGGTCTTTTATTATTATTTATATGGCGCCATCAGATTCCGTAGCGCCTATAATTTTAACCCCTTAAGGACCAAACTTCTGGAATAAAAAGGAATTAGGACATGTCACACGTCATGTGTCCTTAAGGGGTTAAACCGATTTTCAATTCCCAACACTCCGCTGTTTGTAACCAACCCCGAAAGACTATAGTTATAGCTGGAAGCTCCTGTAAGATAGCATCAGTTATTCCGTTTTGCTTGTTTTTTTTGACGTGGCATACAATCATCATTGAACGAGATTCCTCTACGAGGTGAGGTGGACCATAATAATTATTTTCACAGATACATGCATGGTCATTCAATTTACAGTAGATGGTATAAGAATTTTATCAAAAGGAAAAGTGGATAATAAAATGGCTCATATAACACAGGCAGAATAACCTGTGGTCAGTTACAAGGAAAATACATTTGTCTTCGTGACATTCTACAGTCACTGCCAGTTAATGTAGGATCTATGGATTGAAATATTTGTGCAAATATTTAATGTTTATCTTATTAATCTGGCTTGAACTTTAACAGGCAATAAATACATCAAAATCCAGTTATAGAATTTCGTGCAAATCTCACTCGCCCATCCCAAAGCAATTAGGTAAAGTCAATCTATCATAATCTAATTCAATAATGATTATACATCGTAAATCAGCCTCTTTGCAGCACCAACAATTACAACTCGATTAGGATCACTTTTTTATTTTGTTTTATTCTTTTATAACTACACCAGAAAAATATGAGAAAAACAAGTCAGTGTTTTGATTTGCTTTGATATTTGAAGCACCCAGTCAACTTTAGCTTAAGCTTAGTGAAACAGTTTGGCGTATAGATCATGAACCTGCAGTTTAACCCCTTAAGGACCAAACTTCTGAAATAAAAGGGAATCATGACATGTCACACATGTCATGTGTCCTAAAGGGGTTAAGGGGTTATATAAAGTGATATACACTTTATTTTGGAGTCCTAGTTACACCTCCCATAGCGGAGTTTCTCACAGTTTCCATAAAATAAAATGTAAAAAGTTTTATTATCAAATGCTTTATCTACAAAAGTTCACATTTTAATAGAGACTTTAGTATATACATTATTTTAAAAGGTTTTAGTTTTTTTTGTTTTTAAAGGACCACTATAGTGCCCATAGGCGTGCGCACGGGGTGTGCCGGGTGTGCCTGGGCACACCCTAATCCCCGTGCGCACCCCTATGGTTTGAGTCCTGCAGGAACAGCGTTCCTGCACTCTTTTGAGCAGGAACGCTGTTCCTGCAGGCACTCAGTGCCCCCTGTTTCACCTCTTGCCCCTGTCATGGGAGGGCAAGAGGTGATGATTCCCCCCCCCCCACCCTGCAGCTCAGCCGCGGCGAGGGAGCTCTCTGCTCTCTGCTCTCTGCTTCCTCTCGCCGCGCGCTGATGCCGGGAGCCGGAATATGACGTCATATTCCGGCTCCCAGCTCCAGCAGACAGCCCGCGCGGCGAGAGGAGCAGAGAGCAGAGAGCTCCCTCGCCGCGCGCTGACCTGCAGAGAGGCGCCCGCCCCCACTGGACCCCAGGGACAAGTCCACCAGCACTCCAGGTAGGAGGCTGGGTGGACATTTAAAAAAAAATTTAAAATATAATAATTTGTGTGTGTGTGTGTGTCTGTGAGTGTGTGAGTATGTGTCAGTGTGTGTCTGTGAGTGTGTGTCAGTGTGTGTGTCTGTGAGTGTGTGAGTATGTGTCTGTGAGTGTGTGTCAGTGTGTGTCTGTGTGTGTGAGTGTGTGAGTGTGTCAGTGTGTGTGAGTGTGTGTGTGTCTGTGAGTGTCTGTGAGTGTGTGTCAGTGTGTGTGTCAATGTGAGTGTGTGAGTATGTGTCTGTGAGTCTGTGAGTGTGTGTCAGTGTGTGTCTGTGAGTGTGTGAGTATGTGTCTGTGAGTGTGTGTGTGTCAGTGTGTGTGTGTCAGTGAGTGTGTGTGTCTGTGAGTGTGTGAGTATGTGTGTGTTTCTGTGAGTGTGAGTGTGTGTGTCTGTGAATATATATATACGTATATATATATATATATATATATATATATATATATACACACATATACACACATATACATATATACACACACACACACACACACACACACGCGCGGCGTGTGTTTGTGCTTTAGGGTGCACACCCTAATGCAATAGGCTGCGCACGCCTATGATAGTGCCAGGAAAACATACTCGCTGGGCTCTAGGGTGAGGAAGGTGTTAATCCCTTACCTTTTTCCAGCGCTGGGCCCCCTCGCCGCTGGTGAATCTCCTCCTCCTTTCCCATTCATCGGCTGAATGCGCATGCTTGGCACGAGCCGCGCGCGCATTCAGCCAGTCCATAGGAAAGCATTTCCTATGGACGCTGGCGTCTTCTCACTGTGAAAATCACAGTGAGAAGCGAGGACACGCCTCTAGCGGCTGTCAATGAGAGAGCCACTAGAGGCTGGATTATCCCTAAAGTAAACATAGCAGTTTCTCTGTGGTCTACAAACACCAATAGATTTCATCAAAAGGCATAAAAAGTATTGTTAGTGTAGATCCTGACCTGTGAGCGTAGGGCAAGATTCTCTTCCTCCAGTTCCTTGAGTTTCCCATGCAGGTTGTCTAGCTGGAGCAGGCCATGTGTCAGGGTGAATGAGTCATTGGAACGCAATGGGGTAGAGCAACTGGAGTCCGTTTCACTCTCCTCTGAAGCAATGGAGACCACACGGAGTAGGTCTTCTTTTTTAGATAATTCGTGCTGGAGCTGATTGACCTGTAAAAGCGTAAAAGGAAAGATGGTAATTGTACTGATAAGGTATAGTTCAACTGCAGGGTGAGATAGAAGTGGAGCCTTGTAAAACGACACAATAAAAATATTCCAATATAAAACAGTTATACAAGGCTATAATTACAAAACACAAAATGATATCGAAATAGGCAGACACTGACTAAAAGAGTAAATGACGGTTGTAGGCATGGATGATAAGGAATATGATATGACTTAATATAAGGCAATAAAATGCAATTGATAAGAACTTCTGATAAGTTTGGAATGGAACTAAATAAGATGTGCAGCAGTGTTGCAGAATGTAAGGTACGCAGTAATAATAAGAATAATTTACAATTAAATAATCTACTATTATTATAATAATATACATACACACAATAGTCGGATGGATACATTACTATTCACCAAAACACCAGGAGAAGAGTTCTGTAAACACTAATAAATTATTAATATAACATTAAAAAACCTATATCAAATAGGTGACTGAAACTTGAACGGAGACTAAACTTAAAGGACCACTCTAGGCACCCAGACTACTTCAGCTTAATGAAGTGGTCTGGGTGCTAGGTCCAGCTAGGGTTAACCCAGTTTTTCATAAACATAGCAGTTTCAGAGAAACTGCTATGTTTATGAATGGGTTAAGCCTTCCCCTATTTCCTCTAGCGGCTGTCTCATTGACAGCCGCTAGAGGCGCTTGCGTGCTTCTCACTGTGAAAATCACAGTGAGAGCACGCCAGCGTCCATAGGAAAGCATTATGAATGCTTTCCTATGTGACCGGCGAATGTGCGCGCAGCTCTTGCCGCGCGTGCGCATTCAGCCGACGGGGAGGAGAGAAGATGGATCGGAGGAGGAGAGCTCTCCTCCCAGCTCTGGAAAAAGGTAAGTTTTCCCCTTTCCCCTTTCCAGAGCCGGGCGGGAGGGGGACCCTGAGGGTGGGGGCACCCTCAGGGCACTATAGTGGTCCTTTAAGACTGTAGAGCATTGCATGCTTTATATCGCCAAATATATACTATATATCAAACTGAAAAAATTGAGGCAATTTTTCTTTTTCAGTTTAATCAATATGGCCTAGAATGTGCAATTTCCTGGGTCACTGCTCTAAATTTCTTAATTCGCATAAAAACAAAAAAAATACCCCACAAAACAAAAAACTAATTTTAGATTTAGAACACCAAAGAATGTTTTGAAACTCTATAACTTTGTCTTTGAGAAGTTCAATAGTGTAAATCCATTTGATTACACTATTTGAGGCTGTGACTAAATGAAGCTCACCCCCATACTTTGCAGTTATTTTTATCATTTGGGCAAAATTGCCCAAAATGTTAAATGAGCACGTTATAAATATATGATATTGTATAACTTGAGTAAAAGACATGGCATTACTCATGCTATACTCCACAAATGCAGGTTTTGTATGGGATGTAAGATTGTGCGTGCAAGGCATCATACGGTTGAAATTGTCAGCGCTCTGAAAACCTATCAGATCCCATCATCAATACACTGACCGAGGACCTTTTCAGATGTAATTTAGTTCCTTTATTACACTGATACCTCCAACCTCCCAAGCTGTGACTGCATTGGTCTGAATTAAAATAGCCTGTTATAGCACTATAGCTGAACTAGTACCACTGCACATTTAGATAATACTCACTAGATCAATGGCTGGAAGAGTGACAGGGACTACTTAATAAACACTGCCAATGTATGGAGCAGATTTATCGGGTCCATGCTAAAGAAGCGGCCAGAAACATTGGGTGGAATGAGTAAGGAGATGATTTGGAAAACAAAAATGTCTAGGTAGAACGTTAATGGGCCACTGATATGGTAGAGTGGAGGTGATGCAGCTCTGAGACAGCCACAGAGCTACATCTAAGTTATCTGCCCTAGCATAGAGTGGAAATGGCAGTTACAAGGATCACAACTTGTATTTTATGCATGAGATACTAGACAAGTGAATTTGCTGCACTCTTCTTTCAAAGAATAGATTTGTCCAGCATGGAAAGCCTTTCAATTAGTTTGTAAACTTAGCAATCAGTTAAAAAAATTAATTAAACAGGATTCTACGATGGGCACATCAAATGGTCCTCCAACAAACCGATTTGTTTAAGGGAGAATGCGAGAAATGCACATGCCTACTAGTTACTGCCTTTACAACACATCAGGGTGGTCATAATGTTCATAAACAGACGTACCCAAGAATTCTCTGCATAACAGAAGTGGGAATATTTGTTATGTGGGTAGTGGGTATTTTTACTCTACTACAATAATAAGATACAAAAGTTATATTTCTAATCATCAGATTTTTAACAATCTTTTTTGACCAATACTTGAGGATCCTGCTGCCCACTACAATGCCTTTATTATGGGCCCCTTCCGATGCTGTACATATATATGCCACAACACACACTATTATCTTAAATTCTTCTATGGTATGAACTGTTTACCTGATACACTATTAGCCTTTAGACATTAAATATTTTGTGCTTATCAGAATAATGCAATAATTATTACCTTGTTATTACTCTGACAATATACTAGGTGCTGAGCAATCCCTAAGAATGTATCTGGAAAGCCAGTTCTAGTAAAGTCCGGGTTTATGTTTTAATACTTAGATGGCAGTTGTCCCGGGATTTCTGGACAAACCCATGTGCAAACAATATATCCACACATTTCATAAACAGAACTCACATGGTCCAGTGCATTTGTCAGTTGTTCCTCCAAATACTCATTCTGCTTCACCAACATGTGGTTCCTTTTCAATAGAGCCTGCCCAATGTGAGCTGCTAGTTCTAGGTCCTTGTCTCTCTGTTCACAAAAACACAGGAGGAATTACAATGCTACTCAGATCATTTAACAATCATAGCTAGCATTTCAGAACAGGTTGAATCACATCAAAATCTTATATCAAGTTGTAGCACATGTTGTAAAAACATTTGGATGGGCATCTGAGTATAATATAAGTACACAATGCAGGTTATTTACCATTACCGGATTACATATATACAATATAATATTATCCACATGTACACAGACTATTAGTGAAGAGTTTGAAAAGAAGACTATTCTTAAATAACTGAAATGCGAAAGATTGAGTATTATGTTATGAAACCTTAGCAAAAGTGTTGAAAAGAAGTCTCCATAACATTAGAGTTTATTATTTTGCAAATCTGACCTAAAGCTTTTGGTTGGTGTTATTTTATCCATCATACACTACAAGACATTCTAATAAAGACAAAAAGACTTCAGCACTGGCCATAAATGGTGTAATGGTGGTTTATTTAGCTACCCAAAAAGGCAGATATAATACATATCTTTACCAAGCAATGATGTGCTGGCATCAGATGCCAGTTTTGCACAAAAATGACATTTGCCAGTCTTAAACTCTTGCTAATGATGTGAATTTACACCTCCTGTAGCTAGGGGGTTAACAACTGTATGTACACGAAGACTGCAGGCACCATGACCACTTTAAATAAATGAAGTGATCATGGTGCGTGGATTAACTCTTTAATAAACTTTCCAAATGATTCAATACTGTTAGAGAGGAAAAAAAAAAACTTTCCAATTATTTCATTTACAATTTGGAAGTTTTTCCAACAGGATTGATTCATTTGGAAAATTTATTCAAATCGAGGCCAATGTGTACTAAACGTATTTAGAAAAACTGTGAAAGAAATTGAGAAAAGTGTCACCTCTGCTAGCCGATGGTTTAGCATATCTCGGTCGTTGAAACCCATGGTCATCTGGTCTCCTGTTTCCGAACCAAGAACTGTTGCAGAAAATGATAAAAACACAATTTGTATGGTTGCAAATAGTGGGCAAAGTGCCATTAGTCAGCATGGATAAAAGTACAGTACTCTACCAATTATTTCAATACCATCAGCAAGTCATAAACATACAGCAAATATGTTTCCGTGGGCAGCAGACACCAAAAAGCCCCAAAAATTAGTTTAGCATGCTAAATGGGACTGCATTGACCGCCTCTTCAGCTGCCTTAACAATACAGCATTATCAATATCAGATCTGTCCAAATGGGACACCAATGAGCCCAGAGTTCTTAGCCTATTATCTCCACATAGTTTGGAAAGAATTGATACTGATAATACAGAGGTATAAATAGAAATCAAAAGAACTGAACAGGGAGGCTGTTAAAAGGGTGTTGAGGTACCCTGCTTTTTGTTAAACTTCTTCCAGTACGACAAAAAAATAAAACAAAAAAAAGAAACCCCACTGAGCTGTAGTAAATATAATGCATTTAGTATCCCTTTAATTTATAGAGTCTGAAAGTGTGTACAGATTTGAGGAATACTTATAAGTCTGCAAATATATTTGCAAAGAAGTGAATTTGGAAAGAAAATGTAAATGTACCTTGAGGACACTGGCTGGATTTGTAAGACTCATCCAACGAACAGGAAGGTAGATCAACAAAAGCTTAGACAGAGGGAAGCAGAGAGTGGGGACAGCAAGAGAAAAAGAGAGGTAAACATTGAGCAAAAGTGTGCTCACATAGCATTTCTCCAATTACGAAGTTAAACAGCCATCCACATTAACTTGCCCAAAAGGATGAGCAAGCAAAGGGAGGTACAGAGAGTACATTCTTCAATAAAGACCTGCACCTTTAATTGATAAAGCCGAATAGGAATTCACCGTACATATTCATGGTACAAATCAACAGACTGAAAATCAGTACAAATTAGCTTGAAATTTGCCTTTCATAACAGGAACAGGACTAGACGCGTCCAAACTGCTACTACTTTTAGCATATTTAGCTTAATGTCACATTACTAGTTTAACCCCTTATGGACCAAATTATATTTACAGTAGTCCAATTACCACCCTAGTTCCTAAAGATCTTTTGCCAGTATGTAACATTATGCTAATTTAGCAACAGCGGCTCCATACAGACTTCTGCGCTTTAAAATAAAATAAAAAAATTAAATGAAAAAAGAAAATATATCGGAAAATTATATTTTGATGTAGGATGTGTTAATGAATTTGCTATGATGGATTTATTCCTCCATTGGTCTTTTAAGGGTTAAGGAGTTACATTTGGATTTTCTACAAAGAATTACATTTCCCTTTTTTCTTTGTCCTATGACAAATAAAAATCCTTGTAACATTTAATGCCATATGATACACTAATCCCTTGTATTATTTTTAAGAGCCCATAAAAGTCAAAACAAATTGGTATACATTAAAGCGCAAGTCTAAATCAATATTTAATTGCATTGGTTAATAGACATCTGCGCTACATGGTAAATAATAAATCAAACACAGAGTTTGCTACTTTTAATTGTCTTTAATTGCCGATACAATCTAGTACTGTAGTTCTATTATGTCTCACACTGTAACCTCAAGTTTGGCATATCCACAGTATATCCGTTTAAAAGCAGCAGCCTTTAGGCCAGGAGTACTAAATATCAAGAAAACGGTACAGAAACTGCAAAAATATGAACTACATAGTATTGCTATTGAACAGCAAAACTGTAAAGACAGTTGAAACATACTTTTCATATATTGGCCTTAAAGCTACATTGTAGGCACCCAGACTATCATCTCAATGAAGTGGTCTTCATGCAGCGCCCAGATGCTCTTTCTAAAAAAAAAAAAATAGCAACATTTGCATTGCAGTGTTAATTCCACCTCTAGTGTCCTTAATGGAGTTTTACTCTGTTAAACGACATTGGGCGTCCTCACACTTTGCATGAGGACATCTAACATTGAAATTCCCCATAGGAAAGCATTGATTCAAGGAAGCCTTAAAGGACCACTCTAGGCACCCAGACCACTTCAGCTTAATGAAGTGGTCTGGGTGCCTGGTCCAGCTAGGGTTAACCCATTTTTTCATAAACATAGCAGTTTCAGAGAAACTGCTATGTTTATGAATGGGTTAAGCCTTCCCCTATTCCCTCTAGCGGCTGTCTCATTGACAGCCGCTAGAGGCGCTTGCGTGCTTCTCACTGTGATTTTCACAGTGAGAGCACGCCAGCGTCCATAGGAAAGCATTGTAAATGCTTTCCTATGAGACCGGCTGAATGCGCGCGCAGCTCTTGCCGCGCGTGCGCATTCAGCCGGCGGGGCGTAACGGAGGAGGAGAGGAGGCAGAGAGCTCCCTGCCCAGCGCTGGAAAAAGGTAAGTTTAAACCCCTTTCCCCCTTCCAGAGCCGGGCGTGAGGGGGTCCCTGAGGGTGGGGGCACCCTCAGGGCACTATAGTGCCAGGAAAACGAGTATGTTTTCCTGGCACTATAGTGGTCCTTTAAGACGCACACGGTGAGTGGTGTGCATGAGGTTCCACCATCGCCGTTATTTAACAGTGGGAAGAGACCTAGCCAGTGCTTAGGAAGCTTTGGCGCTGGAAAGAGGCAGGTAAAAAAAAAAAAAAAATTAATTAACAAAAAATTTCACCCTTTAATCAGCCCCAAAGGGGACGCTATAGCTGGGCTTGACAAATTTTTTGGAATCTACGAGCCAGCTAAAAAAGTTAGGAGCCAGTTTTTTCAAACTAGCGAAGTTTAATTTACGAGATAGCTACAATTCTTATAGGGACACTATAGTCACCAGAACCACTACAGCTTAATGTAGTTGTTCTGGTGCCTATTTCCTGTCCCTGTAGCCCTTTCAATATAAACACTGCCTTTTCAGATAAAAAGCAATGTTTACATTGCTGCCTAGTAAAACCTCTAGTGACAGTCACTCAGACGGCCACTAGAGAGTCCTGTTTCAGTGCTGCACAGTGTTCAGCAGCTTTGTTCAGCGTCTCCACCCTCTGCTTGGAGGTGCTGAATGTTACCCACAGAGAACATGCACAATATCTTCCCAATGCTTTCCTATAGGAAAACATTGATTTAGCTGAGATCTTAAAGATTATCTCAACCATGAAGGCAGGACAAGCCGTGGAAAACTGGCAAGGCGTTGGAAAGAAGGCGAGTAAAAACACCTCTCTCGTGATTGGAGGGATGCAGGTACCTAAACACACACACACAAATTAACATACTGACACACACACACACACAAATTGACATTTTTAATTTTAATCCACCCAACCTTTGGGATAGCTGAGTGGACTTTTCCTGGCGTTCAGTGGGGCTGCTATTCCTGTGTGCGAAGGAGCAGTGATCTTCCTGCATCTCCTCTCTGCAAACTGCAGTAATGCCGGGGCCGAAATGACATCATATTCCGGCTCCCGACATCATTACACAGCGCGAAGGTGCAATGAGGAGCTGCAGGACAAATGCTGCTCTTGCGCGCATTGCCCAGCCTGCCACCTCCACGATCCCCAGGGCAGCCGTCTGCACACAACCCAGAGCGCCCGCCTCCACGCTCCTCAGGGCAACCGGCCGGCTCCATTATTCCCCCATCCTGCCTTTAGCTAAAGGGCTTCAAATCCCAGACGCCAGGGAAAAATTTCTAGTCACCATGGCGACCTGGGATTTGTCAAGCCCTGCACTATAGCATTCGGAATACTGTAGCAAAATTCCTACAGTATTTTCTGAATGGTGATATGTTAATTGATAAAGGAATTGCAAATTATACCCCACGCCTGTGAGGGTAATGTTACTTAACTTAAAATCCTTGGAGAGCAGGTCACAGTCATGCCTCCTTGGCCGAGATCATCACGATTAATGATCTCAGCCAATCCAATGGTTCCCCATAGGGAAACATTGAAAGGGTTGTGTGCATGTGTGGCAAAATGCCACACTGTACCAATCAAATGCTGTTCTATGAGAGTTGATTCTCTTCTTAATGTGAGAGTGCCAGTAGTAGCTGTCTGGAAGATTTGTGTTATCAGTGCAATAGAAATTCAATGAGAAAAAGAGGTCTGGGTGTCTTTAGCAGGCCTTTAAAAGAGACACTGAATCATGTTTGAAGCATGATGCTGTATTCTAATGCAAATGGTAAGAATATTCGAAAAGTTTTCTTGCTGACAGGACAAATTTGAGCATTTTTAACACTATAGCACAATTTAAAGCCTGCATGTATGTCATAACTGTTCTATCACGCATTCACAATAAAAATTAAAAAAAATAAAATAAAAAAAATAACCTGCAAAAAATGCTTGGGACCTTCATTATTATTATTAGCATTTATACAATGTCAACATATTCTGCAGTGCTTTACAATTATAGAGAGCAATCTATGAGGATTTGAAGTAGGCAGATGCAGATCTATATATTTAGATGTCTTGTCCAGGGACACTAACTAGTAAGATATTCTGACCGGAATTAGAACATCTTGGTGGTTCTAAGGCAGTTATGTCACCTCTACTAAAATTTATATTTTATGAACACACGTATTGTGTGGCAAATCGCAAATGACCAGAACTAATGTGACCGTTTAATTCCCCTAAATATAATGCAGGCAGTGCAAATTCAAATCTATAAACGTTACTACAATTAGGCACAAAACTGCAGAGTTGTTATTGCACAAGACTTAAAGTATAATTTATTTAAGGAGGGAGGGGGGCAAGGGGGTTATCATCAATTTAAATTACATAGCATGTCTGAGGCATTAGGTTAGATGAGACAGGATCTGTAATTCACTATGGATTGTTAAAATGTACTGTATCACAGGTGTCAATTTATATTCTATGCTTGACACACTAAGAAATGAAAAAAATTAAAACACACAAAAATCAAAAAGAATGAGCATTTTGGTAAAAAAAGAAAAAAAACAATCCAAAACTGGGTAATGCATAACATGTTTTTTTAAAAGTGAAGTCAGCAGGAACATTCCATTGGTTTCAGGGTGTCTGGTCTACTTTGAAACAATCTGCCTCGAAAAATTATTTCTAAGGTATAAAACAAAACCCAAACCAGGGTTAAGGTGTTTGACTGCATATTAATTATTTACAGTCACACAACTGGATTGAGGCTAACAAACAGATGTAAGCTCACCTGTCACTGTAAAGGCAAGGAGGACCTCTTCATTGTCATTAAACGCCTCTTCATCAGTCTCCATTGTTTACATGTGTCTATGTTCCTAGTGTGTGGAGAACTGATCATTGAGTGTCCCGAGCAGCACTGGAGGCTCTCTGATTAAATGTTCGAGGTGCAGGTTATAAAAAGAAGGTGTACACTTTCACTCAGGTGATTAAAGTCATAAAAAGAGCCCTGCCCATGTAACAGCAAAACAAGGAGCAGTACATCAATATGACCTGTGCGCACTATACTCCTGAAGGCAACTTCTGTAATAGGCATTTAGATTATCAAACAATACATACATTGTGGAATGTCACAAATGCAAAATAAAACAAATAAAAACAGAGAATATTAGAACGGACAAAAGCTTAGAGAAACTCTGTAGCTTGCCCTTTGGTAAATACCTGATCAGGTCTCAAAATTGTTTTTGCTCACTTGTGCCATTACAGAGAGAACGCACAAATAAAATTAAAAAGCCACCTCTATACCCCAAGTGGTACCTAACAAGTAAAAAAATGATTCTTCAGTAACTGAGCAATTTCAGAAGTTAAAAAGGACACTTAAAACAAATTGCTTAATCTTAATGAAGTGGTTTTGGTACAATCCTCTTTCTCACTTTTCGGACAATATAAAACAATGGCATTCCACAGCTTTCAGTCTGATCAAATGCTCCACATTATGATTGAGACTGATTAAACTCTCCCATGACAAGGCAAATCATCACAGACCTGGAAAGTCATTTGTCAAGATGGACTGATGAGAGCTAAGCTGTTATGGAATGTCCTATTCGCTTGACATCAGAAAAGCTCTACATAGTTGTTGATGGGAAGTATACAAGTTATTCCATGCACTAAACTGAAGCCGTGAAATAGCATGAATTATTAAGAGATCAAGTTCTATATTGTGTTTGGTTTTTGTAGCTCACAGAATATTTTACGTAGCAGGTCCAGTTTAAAAATATACAAGTGTGAAAAACAGACACAGTGAAATGTTCAAAAGATGTGTTGGAAATTTTTTTTTTTTTTACTCTTTATTTTTACCCTGCTCACAAGCATGAGTAGGCTAGCATAAAGCATCTTGGTGTGCACTTGGTGTCACAAGTGAGCAGTGCTTGGGAGTAGGGGGAGTTTTTATTTTATTTTAAGAGCGTTTTGGTTTATGTCGGGTGGTCATAGTCCGTTCGTGGTCCAAAGAGGTTGGTAATGCATTAGTGCTAAACCTGTGAGTTACTATCAGCCTGTAGGCAGAAATAAAGAAAAACTTTCAAAGGATTGGTCCTGGCTTGAGTCTCGGAATATGAGGTAGTGGATGCTCAGGTGTGACTGGGATGCTTCTAAAAAATGACTACACAACACTGTTCACATCAGCATTTAATAAACTTAGAGCAATGTTGATTCAGCCAAAGGAGTTTAGAACATTTTTTGTTTAACCATTTGAGATAAAATGAAAGATTATTTTTTTTTTTGTTCATATTGATTGCCTTTTCTTAGATCAATAAAGTAAGTAAATGGAAAGGTGAATTTGATAGACCATACGCCTTTAGTCAAACTAAGTAACTATGCTTTGCTTTCCTAATGACACTTTTAATACCCAGGCGTCCCCTAGTCTTTTCAATCAACCATACTATCTATATAAAATGGCACATAAATTACACTTTTAAAAGTAATTATTTCTTGCAATATAGGTTTAAAGGCATGCAATGAGTAACAAAGATAACAGCATAGCAGAAACAGAGAGACATTTTATATTCGTTGGTTTAAAATTCAGCAAACTCTAGTTAAAACAACAGCACATGACTATTTTGTGACCCACATATAAACTATTCTCTAGCAGACAAGAGACCTGGCTATCTATGCCTAGCCATCTATGTAAAGAAAAAATAAATATCAGCCAAAGATTTGAATAGACTTTGTTGGTTGTGTCAAAGTCGCAGACATGCCATTACACCTGGATTGCATTTATTGGCGTAGCCCTTCAGTCCTTAGCATGATAATTACTTATCCTTCACCTGTGCGTCTTAAATGCGGTGTACACATCATGTTAGTAAATAGTTAGCATGTGTATTCCATTTGCTAGTCCTTCAAGAAAGTTACCCATAAAATGTGGTCACTAAAGCCATAAAGCAAAGTTACTAATAATTTACACTGGCACTTTATACAGTATACAAAGGAATCCTCTGATGAACTTTAAAATCATACATATGTATGTAATGTTTGCAGATGTGAAACACACAGATAATCAAATCATCTCTGTAAGTTCTCTAAACCATTCCATAATTGGCATGCCACAAAATGGCTGCATTATTATAACTTCTGCAAAATGTTATATATTGCTCTAAGAGGACAATAAACAGCAGTGTGAACTCTATAACTTCTAGTGAAAGCATGCAGTGAAAACTTAAACAAAAACACCCCACACAATACAAACCCCAAAAAAAAAAACCGGTGGTCCACCACTACAGATGTGTGACATTACTCAACGTTAAAGGACCACTATAGTGCCAGGAAAACATACTCGTTTTCCTGGCACTACAGTGCCATGAGGGTGCTCCCACCCTCTGGGCCCCCCTCCCGCCAGGCTCTAGGGGGTGGAAGGGGTTAAACTTCCGTCCTTCTCCAGCGCCGGGCGGGGGATTCTCCTCCTCCTCGACTGAATGTGCATGCGCGGCAAGAGCCGCCTGCGCATTCAGCCAGTCTCATAGGAAAGCATTCTCAATACTTTGCTATGGACGCTGGCGTCTTCTTCACAGTGAGAAGCGCGGAAGCGCCACTAGCGGCTGTCAATGAGACAGCCACTAGAGGCTGGATTAACCCGAATATAAACATAGCAGTTTCTCTGAAACTGCTATGTTTATAGAAAAAAGGGTTAACCCTAGCTGGACCAGGCACCCAGACCACTTCATTAAGCTGAAGTGGTCTGGGTGCCTATAGTGGTCCTTCAACTACTATGCTTCACTGATGGAGCAGTTGCAAATACTACCACTAACAACATCAAAGCACTGGCCGTGGCTGTGGATTTTGGATCTAGAGGCAGAGAAACAGACTTTAAAAAAAAAATAATGTTAGAGATCATAGAAACCAGCAGGCAGAGTCAGATTTTGTGTGTGCCAAAGTCTAGTTCGTACCGAACTCCAAAATTTATAGAGATTTGAGAAGAAAAAGGAAAAAATGCATCAGAGACAATAAACTATCAAATGGACATTTTTTTTTGTTTAGTACATGGAGCTTCATTTTATTATTTTTTTCTGGATAAATGGGGGTGGATTTCCTATATACAACTAGGGACAGTTGCACTCTAGCACTAGGAATACAGGTTTGCATTTCTAACACTATAGTGTTCCTTTAAATGGGCTCCTCTGCAATCAGTATAATGTTGCTTACTATGATTTTTAGAGTCATGATAGACTAGCTTCTATTCAACAGAAAAGGTTTATTTATTTGATATGCACAATAATCAGGGTTTCATGACCTGATGTATCAACAAAAGTCAAGATATTCCTAGAGGTTTTCAGAGTATTTTTAAAACAGTCATCATCTTACTCATGTAACGGAAGGTCTCCTCGGACAACACAGGGGACAGGCTGCCGAGGCCCTTCGTTTGGTGTGTTGGTGACTGGATCCATTCTTGTTGGTCGTAGAGATAGAGAGAGTCCACTCGTAACTTGTATTGCGGCAGCTCATCTTCTAACATATTAACCAGTTCCACCTCTGGATCAACCTCACTGGGATAGACATCTGTAGAGAGAAGCATTGTGACGATTACAGCAGAAATCATGAATGATAGCTTGAGTAATAGCCAATACATTTCCATTCATTAAAATTATAAAATTATCTAACACACCCATAACATGTATTCTATTAATTTAAGGTGGAACTTACAACGTAATAAAAAAAACTGACATGTTTCGGTCTGTTTCGAGAGTGAATTACCCGGGACAGACTCCAGCTTGCCAGGACTGTCCTGGCAAAAACAGGACAGTTGGCAACTATGTTCTTCACCAAAAACACAGTACAAGGCTGAATAGGAATATGTAAGCTGATGTTATATATGCATTTGTTTGCAGACTGAGATAGGTAATGCAATTTGAATGATTCAAGCACTAGAACCACTAAAGATAAGTTGATTTCCTTATTATCTGCGTAAGATATTTGCATTGTGAAAATGCATTAGATCTCACATAGTTTAGTGACAGGTATTTAAGTTTACAATGATTCGAATGCATTAAATTGCTGTAGTCCCTCCAAATGCTGAATATTTCATCAAAGATCAATTAGAGGAAATCTCCAAGCACCATAATACTACAATGCCCAGTATACTTCCGGCACCATAACTACTGTATTGTGTTGTAGTGGTTATGGTGCTTGGGGTGTGTCCATTTTGTCAACACTCTAGCACCCAAAGAGTTAATGGTAAGTCATTGGTGCTCGTAGGTCTGCAGTGATCTGTAACCCAGTGCTCAAAGCTAACTTTTGCAAAGCAAGACTACACTCCTCGCACCACAGCAATTATGATACGTGTCAAAGACAAGAGGCCATATTGATTGCAATGGGAATTCTACTGAACGGAGGTTGGAATCGTCAGAAAAACAAACAGATTTGCATTAAAATGCCTTTGCTGAGCTCTTTAAAAACACAGACGTCATGTCAGAGTTAAATTACTTTAAACCCACATTCACACTTAAAATAAACCTCACACACTTATTTGTAATGTTTTATAAATGGCCTGACTTTATTATTATTAGCGCCATTTACATAGCGCCAACAGATTCTGTAGCGCTTTACAATATTATCTCTTCTTTCGTGTTTCAGATCTGAATATCTATGTGTCACTCTTATGGATTGTGGGTAAGTTAGCTTAGCAGATAAAAACCTCTGTCCATTGTCAAATAGGACTCTCCCCATAAAAAAAAGAAAATAAAAATATTTTTTACCTCTTTCTATATATTACTTAAAAAATATGGGGAATTTCAATAATAGAAAAACAAGGAAAATTAGAGGGACAACAAAAGGATTCATTTAAAAATGTGCCATTTCAAGTAGTATTCTTCAAGACAAAGTCTAGTAAATCATTCCAATAGTATTGATTTTCCAAATTTACCATTGCTAGATGTAATGTCTCCGTGGTAGATATTCATGGGGTTATCTTCAGCCTCCAGACAGCTGGTTTTGTAACCATTAAATCAGCATCTATTTTAGTGCACTTTGATCCTCTTTGCCGTTTGTGTTTTACAGATGAGTGAAGTACAAGAAGCCTGCTCAGTTTGGTTGTTGCGGTTTCTGCAGTGGATATATTTGGTTGTACAATTCTTCCGATCTATGGTGCCAGAGATACTGAGTGATCATGTTGGTATCAGGTTTACTCTACCTCTCCTGGAGACGCAGCATTTCACCTAAAAATAGAAAGATGGTTTAATATGGCTTCCAAATTTAAGAACAAGATAAAAGCTTGAACATTTTTATTGCAACACAACCAACACATTTTCTATTTAACAAGCAATGGTATTAAATAGTCTAATTTGCAGTATTATAATAGAAAGACGCACAGCATTTTTACTTGAAACATATGCTATGCATGCAAAAATGAGAAAGCAAAACCGCTATAGTAGTATGAGTGTGGAATCGCTTTATTGATGTATGATTCGTTTATCATCAATTATACCAGCAACCCATTGACCTTCACCTAACAAGCATCCAAATCTATAGCGCTTCTGTCACCTCTAGAATTATTAACTTTAAAGATCAAGAATGACTCTCACAAATTTAAAGGGAAACTCATTGAAGTGGTCTGTGTGCATATCCCAGGGTCTTTACCCTGCAAAGGGTAATTATTGCAGTTTTTAATAAACCAATAATTACCTTTGAGGGTTAACTCCACCTCTAGTGGCTGTCTATCAGATCGACCCGGTGGTTAGGTGACTTTTGATCGTCTAATGGATACTGGATGTCCTCACGCTATGCATGAGGACATCCAGCTAAAGTTCTATTGGAAAGCATTGTATCATAGGAAAGTACTAATGCGAGTGTGGCCATTGCCGCACATGCGCATTGGATCTCCCCCGCCAAGTATGATGGTAGGGGAGGAGCGCAGGCAAAGCATAAACCAGCACCGAGGGACACCAGCGCAAGACTCAGGTAAATAACAGAAGAGGTTTTTAACCCCTTCTGCACCATGAATGGGGCACTATAGTTTCCCTTTAAGAGCCATCATCCTTTTCCAGGAAAAGGTGCCTGCACAGCATGTGGTAAGCACTCTCAGAGTAGGGAATCTTTTGTATCCCGTAATTGCTCTTTCAGAACTGTGTTTCACTGATTTGCAAGTGTAATTGCTGGTTATTAGATAGGATAACAAAGTTTTAAACGAACATTTAAACCTCTCTCAGTTATATACATCCATTATTGCAACCTAATAACATGCCCATGGTATAACTCTGTTTTGGAGTGCATAGCAACATAAATAGGCCATTCTGAAACAATACCTCCATTTATAATAATACATTTAAATGGACTGCAGTCTTATATACAGAATTTAGAAATAGAAACAGGTGATTGAAGTGGGGCTCATTATAGGAGACAAAAAAAGGCTCATTATGTAAGAAGTGGGGATTGATACAGGGAATGGGGAGTAATGGAAAATATTAAAGGGGAGCTGGGAAATTCTGGGCATAGAAGGGTACAATGGACTTTGACAGTGGTAGTGTTCATTAAGAATATACCACTACATCCACCCAAACTTGTAATATACAAAAAAAGTTTTGTATTAACATGCACTTACTCAAATACACCCCCCACTAAACATAAATATAGTTACGAAGGTTTGGTTACATAATATGTATATAAAATGTATACACACACACACACACACACACACACACACAAAAATAGCAACATGAAATGCAAATACTTGTTATAACAAATCAGCGTTGGCAAATACTAAAATCCAATGTTATCGACAATAACCAGTTTATTATTATTATTTTTTTTAAATAGTTATTAATACATCAAAGGTGGGTAATGGCAGTGTCCAGCTGTGCTTTAGAATACATGTATTCTGCTATTTAAAATGACACTCCAGGCACCAACTAAAGTGAATAAAGCAGTACTTTACATTGAAATATCTATACCTATATATATATATGTAAAAAACAGATAAAATTCTTATCTTGTAATACCTTTTTTATTGGACTAACAGAATTTTTTAATGACAAGCTTTCGGGAGAACCTCCCTTTCTCAAGTCTGAAGCATTTATGAGCAAAACGACACATAGAATTCAAAGTTGAGTTGTGATACAGGGGTTAAAGCGACATGAGTGTAGATAAGACACAGGTTTGTTAGAAAATAGACACCATCTTAGCAGAGGGTCATAACTTATATATATATTTCAATGTAAAGTACTGCTTTATTCAGTATATATATACTGTGCAGCACTCCTCAGCCAGACGTCTTTACACAAAGTAAATTCCTTATTAAAAATAATCTGTACTAAGTCTGTGGTTCATATGACTCCGACCTATAAACAAGCACAGTCCTCTTATCATCGGTCCCTCTCTCCTTAGCACAAGTTCTACACGCTAAACAGATAAAAGGACAGTGATTGGCAGTCTGGCAGAGTCAAGTTGGCAGTTCTGCTCACACTGATCTACCTTAGAAATCAGGTAGATTTTCTTTTAAGCTGTTTTGAATGTGAAGAAAAAACAAACAGGAACATGAAGCCAAAATCTATCAAATGAAATTAAGTTATGTTGGCTGGTCAGAGTGTTCCTTTAACACATTCAGGTTGATTATGCAGTAGTGTCAGAAGAAATGTTCTATTTTGTTTATGAAGCACAATTGCAAATAGCTTCAAAATGCAGCAGTAAAGATTCCTTCCACTGTATAAACAGTAGAAATAGCTGTATATTGTACTTGACGGACTTATCAACTTAGCGTGATATAAGGCTTATGTTACTATGCCATCTGTTGGAAAAAACAAATGTAGTTTTATTGGACTGAGTAAAATAGGAGGTATTCATTTAAACAATTGAAATATTGTAAAATGTCAGTAGACCAGACCAGAGCCAATCAGATGGACAAAGGCAATTACGCATCTGCCAAATATTCTGTATCATAAAACAATTTTATAGGAGTTTTACTACATTACCTTTTTTATAGACTTGTTTGTGAGTGTATAAAGGCATTTTGGGCCAGAGAACGACAATATATAAAGGCATAGCATAAAACACACAGCCTTTAAAGAAACATTAACGCGCTAGGAATACAAACATGTATTCCTAACAGTTTAGTGTCTCTGTCCCTAGTTAGACAGTCCCCTCCCTGCCTCCAGCCTGTGTGTGATAATTAATAAAATAAATGATTTGCCTAACCTTTTCCAATGCCCCAGTGCTGCTCACCTCTCCACCTTCTACAACATCATATATAGCGCCCATCATGGGTCCATTTCAATGCTCCGCATAGAGGAAGATTGAGGACACAAAGCGTTTGCGCGGTGAGCATCACATGCACACCACAGGAAGACATTGAAGCAATGCTTTTCTATGAGGACTTCTGCGAGTAAACATCAGTGCTGCAAAAGCACCTATAGTCAGTAAGATAGCCACTATAGTTGGCTTTATCCCTGCAATGTAAATATTGCAGTTTTAAAAAAAAACATAAAAACATCTACAAAGGACAGGGTCACTACACTCACGTCACTTCATCGAGATTAATTGGCCTACGAGACTTTATAAAATCTTCAATGATATGTAAATAATGGATAAAAGTTTGTAATTTAAAATATACAAGAACACTTGCAGATACAATCTGTGAGATATTTACAAAAGAGGGACAAATGTAATTAGGAACCCAAAGTTACTCCCTAAGCTTGCAACTACATCTGAATGGGTTTTTAGAAAATAACAAAAATTCATGAAAATTGTAAAAGGTCACAATCAAATTCCTTTTGTTTGGACATTAGTTACATAACTAAGGAATCCATTCTCAGGTAAAATAAATCCTAAAAGGTTTAGGGGCTCTTTAACAGATAGCATGACATGCAAAGAAAACAACAATATTAATCTGATAATTATTCTGCTTAATTTTAGAATGGGGAATGAAAAACCGTTGTGTGGGGCGTAGCCTGCAAGCCTGACAAGCGGACGCCATATCTGAGAACTCCCAAACAACGGATTAAATCCAACCAAATATCCAAGCAACTATAGCCCATCCGACAGTCTTACCGCCACAGCTGGGTCCCCAGAGCCATAACGCATCGATAGATGCCTTTCTTTCATACGACAAAGCACTCCAAACCGCGGCGAAAATCCGCGGCCTACAGCACACCTCTGAGCCTGGTACTGGAAGCACTCCTCCATGGCAGCACCATACTACACTCGCAGGGAACGGAGTCCATAACCTCTCTGCTGCAACCGGAACACTGGACTGCAATGGGGAGACGATCCCAAAAGCCAAACACAGTGGCTGACGGCAGAGACATTGGGGACATGCTGAGACAGCCCGTGCAGCCTAAGCTGACCCCTGCTGGAGACCGGATTGAGGAGAGCCACCCAGGCAAGTCTACTACACATAACTGACAACCCGGACGGGTCTGCACCCACAACAAAGCAGGATTTAAAACTCCTACTTAATGACATTCAACAAGTGTGGACTGCTGACCTCAGGGCACTGATAACTGATATACAGGCCATAACTGACAGAGTACAAACCTCTGAAAAGGACATACTAGCTGCCAAAACTGACATTGTGGCCCTTAAAGAGACAGTACAAAAATAGCAAACCACTCAAGTCACACTGACACACCAAATCCCAGCCCTGGAGGATAAACAGCGCAGGAACCACATAAAAATCCGTGGCATCCCTGCTGCGGTGACCGCAGAGGAACTTCCTCATTACATATGTAGATTAATCACATCCATACTGCCCCACACAACGGCCAAAAAGATGGTTATGGACGGAGTGTATCGCATTTAAGGCACGCCTAAAACACCAACGGGAACAGCACGAGACATTATTCTCCGCTGCTTAACCTCATAGGAACCAGATCATGATGGCACTGAAGAATAAAACACCTCTAAACTTCGAAGGCTCCTCGTTAACATTTTATCAAGAGCTCACCAAAAATACCCTAGTCTGGAGGAAGTCATTGGGAACAGTCACCTCTCAGCTACGATCTGCAGCCGTACCCTACCGCTGGGGAGCCCCAGGAACGCTTGTGGTAACCCACAATGGAAATAAATCACACACTCACGTCAATAGAGGGGGCACCGGCCATCATCCAAGCACTGGGACTAATGGACAGCCATCAGGACCCACTGTCGACCACCCCCAGGGGCACGTGGGACCCTGACCACATCACCCCCTTTGTCCCGAGAGCCGGAGGATCACAGGCAACGGACGGCTGACAACTAATGGGGACTGGGCCAATGCTTATGGCCACGGCACCGGAATAAAAAAAACTTCTGGGGCAAAATCGACACAAGTCGTTATACCTGTTTTGATTTAAGATGCATTTGTATATTTGGTTTTCTGATTTCTCTTTATCTCTCTTACAAACATTCCAGACCACTGCTCTACCAGAGCGCTAGAACCTGCAGAGACAAACTCCTTGAGGCACACTGACACTGCCACCCCCCCCGGGTTAGGGGCAACACATAAAGAGGAGGTCACACATCTCCCCTCAGACGCCTTGGCAGAGCTCCTGGCCACGTACCCTAATATCACAGCCACTAGGCAAATTACACCCCACACACCGGGGAACTCCCTCAGAATACCACAGGCATACACATGGGATGCCACTGCAAACCTCCACACAGAACCTAACACCCACCACTCCTCTCAGAGGCGCTTGGAAGAAAGCTATCTCCTGTTATAATACATACAACAGAAAATGTTGACAAGCCTGTTTTATATCTTGATATTAATCCTGTTAAAAAAGAGAAAAAGTGCAGCACACCATGAATATGCTATACGGAACATTGTCAATCTCTTTCTAAAGCCATGTTATATTGCTGAAACGTATATTTACCTCTGCACTCAAAAATAAAGAATTTAAAAAAAACAAACAAAAAAAAAACCGTTGTGTGACACAGTTCCAATATCTGGTAACTCACTTCCAACGTGAAGTGTTGAATCTCTAGGAGGAAGCTGGGCAGCTGACAGTTCCCTCGTAGAATGAATGAATCACTCATACAATGCCAACAATATTTAAATCCTCATTTCAGTTATTTGAAGTGGTCATGGTGCTTGGAGTCTGTATGTGCAGTGTTACAATAACAAAACACTGCACATATATAGATACAGAACTTTGCCACTGGAGGTGTAACTCTGCTTCCAGCAGATTCATTAGCCAAGAACAAGAGTTACTTGCCGTTAATGTTTGTTCTGTGCATAAAAGGGTCTTTTGTCGGCACACATAACATTACAACTGTTGGCCAGTGGCAGCTCGCCCCCATCTCTGGCACATCTTTCCTCCTGCAGCGAGGGGAGTAACATCACTGAAGAATGATTGGACTGAAGGGAGAACTTGGCCTCGTTGTGGGATTGTAAACAAGTTTTGCTGTATTTCTATTTTTCGTCTTCCTTTAAAAGGGTGGACAATACCAGAAAATGGTTTATTATCTAAAAACAGTGTTTTAATAAAACACTGATTTGGATGAAGAAACCCTTTAAATTTGTTCAAGTGATTGTCATGGATTTAAAAGTGCTGATTTGGAGTGCACTACACTTGCACTTTATCTTACTAGTGACTTTACCAGGCGTGAAGCAGATGCATGGAGGAACATGACCAGGCACTTGAACAAAGTTTTTATAAAATTAAACATAATTATTTTGAAGGTTAGACAGTTTTGTTTAGTCAATATTGGTAAAGAATCACTGTGCATAATAGTGTGTGCGTGATCAGGGCCAGATTAATATATGGGCTGATGGCGCTGCATGCCGATGGAATAAGCCCATTGATTTAAAAAAGGAAAACTGACATCCTACTTCACCAGACACTGCGGTTAGGCGGTATGGATTTACTTGTAAGATGAAAACGAGAGATTAGCATTGGGTATGTGTTTTCTGATAGCTATATCCTGTGAGTTTCCCTCCAGCACCACCGCCACTAGATAGAAGACGCATGGAAGGTATGACTGTTTTTGTGTTTTCAGTCTATAGGATTCTGTAATTAGGCCCATCATCATTGTCAGCATAAGGCCAAATGGGCTCTAATTCTGGCCCTGTGCGTGATAACATATGCATAATAGCTCAGTAAGTCGAACGTCTTTGAATGGGAGACCAGAGATTGGCTAGAGCTCTCGAATATTTATATATTATCTAAATAATTGAAATGCAATGGCACATCTGCCTAGAAGTGTAAATAATTTTACACGCACTTAAAATAGTTTGTGGTGGGAAACAACTGCAATCAAGGTAATAATAACTACATAAAATACCGGTAGTGCTCATTCATGCAGCCACACTTTATTATATAATGTAATAAAGTTCATATTTTGGTTTCCAAAATACTTCAATGCGCCAACTTAAAAATAAACTACCTCTACAAATAATTCCTAAGAAATCAAAGTAACACTATACAAAGATACAGTTCAGAATACACAAACAGGCAGCATGAGTATGATGTAAACCAACTAAACTCACTAGCGGGACTGGTAGGCAGGGAGGGTTTATCTGTGAAGCATGGTAAAATTCAGTCACTGCAGGTGTATGTGTGATGAGTGGTTTTGTGAATGCTTGTTACTTCCTATATAGAGTATTATTTCTAGTGATTATAAAGCCATTGGAAAAGTTTTTGTGAGATCATTATTATGAGCAAGGATACATAAATACAGGTTATATAAAACATACATATTTGCCTTACATTACTGGCACAGAGGCTCCTCAATCCTAAAAGTATGTCCAGCCTTTTGTCCTATCTGGGACCCCACGTACCAAACATCACCACTGTTTTAGAGCAATATTTCTAACTTACAGGCTCTCCAAGTTTCATGAGTATGAAGAAGCACTTTGTTCACTATTTCCAGAAGGATATCATTCATATCCTGGCGACAAAGGTATGAAAGAGCAAAATATACCTATGTGGCTGCTATACTTCTTGTACAGGGAAACTTACCGGATGTTTGGGAAGCAAACTGCACATGTGGTTGCGATCATTTTGTTCATAACAAAATGTCTGTAATGGCACAAATAAGCGGGATTGAATCTGAAATGCTCTGGCTAGAGAGCGCCAACACATGGGGACATTCCAAGAACAGCCAATGGTCTTCACATAAATTGTGGAGTGATAAGCCCACTGTCACAATAACAATTAATTCTGCTGTCGCAATAATAGCTGAAATGTAGTCATTCATTTTCACTAAAGCTGTGAGTACCGTAACAGGTACACTTTTAAGAAAAACCTCATCCAGATAACATCAAGATGGTCACAATTAGAGCTTTGTCTAGCCCTGGACCTTCAAGGGTTAACTTACTACATATTCCTGTTAAAAAGAAAACCACTTATGGGAAGTGTGTCGATTAAGAGTTTAAAAAAAGATCAGCTAAAAAAAGGGAACTGACATCAATGTGTATTTTGTTTTCAATGGAACATGTTAGTTTTATAGCAAATAATTCCTTTTTTTCTTCCATGAAGCAAGAGAAATTACCATTTAAAAGAACCGCATGGAGATAAAAAACTAAAATATCGAGCACAGAGTAACAAAGTTACCTAAGCTTCACACTGCACCCAACATGTGTGGGAGGCTGGTGTGCTCCTTTAACAAAACATACAGTGTGCCCTTAAATAAAGCCAAAAAGCAATGCTTTGTATAAGTCACATGGCATATTAATCCTGCTCTGTTCTCTCCCTGCATCTGATCCCTTGGCAGTGTCCTTACAGCAGCTGCCATGACAGACGAGCTACGGAATAAAAAACAGTATTCGCACAGATTAGAAATGCTAATCAGATTCTTCCTCAAAGAAAAAAACAAAACAATAAAAACTTATTTTTGTCTCAGAAAATATATATTTGTAAGAATTGAAGATTCAGTTTCAGCCAAATTGTGGTTTGGTTATTTTTGGGCTGTCAGGCAATTAGATGGGGAAAAAACACAAAAACAATTCTGAGCCGCCACACTGCCAAATCCAGAAGTATTTCAGTTGCTTCTGAATTAACCATTTCACGCTGACGGCTCGAAAAATCAGCGAGCAAACTGTTAAAAACTGCATGTGACCCCCACATTAGTACGAAGGAGGTTTAATACTCCCATAATGAACCAATTTTTCATGTTGTCAGTGGTGGCTTATCCCTAAACAGAGAGGAGCTGCTATCTTTGTACCCCTCTCCCCGGGTGTCTCCACCCATGGGCATCAAGTCCAATTTGAAGAACACTAGGTGGATAGATTAATATCTATCCCATGATTGGAATTTAAACGAGGGGCACATAGTGTCCCCCTGTTGTAGGGCTCTAAAAATATTTATTAATATTATATTCCTCACCTGCAGCCTATGCATGACTTTAGGTCCCACCCTCTCCCCTATATATAGGAAAATTATAGAATTTTTCCAGTTTAGCTGTAGTCACATCAAAGGTATTTTAGCATACATTTTTAATTTATTACGTCATAAGTGTGAACTGTCAGGAATTCATCACAATTCTTTTCATTTCCAGCCACAAAAGCCAAAATTGAAAATTCTCCAATTCAGCTTTGCTTTCAATGTTGCTATAATGACCTAAAATGTGAAATTCAATTTGAAAACCTGACAATTCAATATTTTGTGAATAAAGTTGCAATAATATGTATTCCTCCAAATCAAGGCAAGTGTTTTTATTTTCATTCTAAATTATCATGACCTAGATAAGAACATCAACAGCAATACAATAACATCAACAATCTTAAAAGAAACCAAAAATAAATCTCATTTATGCCACCCACATCCTCCATTTCCTGGGCGGAATCCATAGCATTACTCAAAATCTGGCTACACTGTGAAACGATTTGCATACAATAAAAAGTGAATATTTTAAAAAGCCTTTGTAAGGCCTAATGACAACCAGAGTTTCCTGTTTACTTGTTTCATGTGTGTAGGTTGCAGCTTAAACAGGCAAGCATAACAGTGAGTGTGATTGTATGCTTGCCTTCATTGCGACATTTTATGTCTCAGATTTTATTCTGAAAACAGGCCACCCCAGGGTTTCTAGAAAGCGTTTCACAGCCACGTGTCTCAATCTTTCCCTTGCAATGCCAGCACTGACTTTGCCACTGCCGTGAAGGATTATCCCTTTACAAGTTCATTTAATTACTTTAGTCTTTTAAAGAGCTTGTCACTGCAGATTAAAGAATTTAAAGTCAGAATGTTTCTTAAGACTAAAATGCAACCATTTATGATGGTATTAAAACAATGAATATTAATGTCATCTCGCCACAATTCTGTATGAGAACGCCTATTAAAACAAGATGACACATCCAAAAACAAATGATGGAATTGCAATAATCAATATTAATGTCATCTCGCCACCATTCTGTATGAGAACGCCTATTAAAACAAGATGACACATTGGAAAACAAAGAACCCTTTTTTTGTGTGTTTAACCCTTTCTATAATTAGCATCCTGTTACACACATTTCAATCTTTCAGCTAAACTATAATGTACCTCAGTGTTGGCTTACTAAATATTAGAGGGTTGTTACGGGAAATGAAGTCCAGCTATAGATCTGGGAAACTACAGTTTGGCTGTCCCTGAGCTTGACTGTAATTTATAACTTCTAACCTTCATAGACTGAAACAATGTAATTCAATTTGTATTATCTGACACATTAGCATTGAATTTCCAGAATTAGCAATGAATCCCCCCCCCCACCCCCACCCCGGTTTATTATGCATGTTGGATTTTTGCATACATGCAAGCTTAGCAAATAGATGCTATATTAGTATACATAAGATTAGGGGGGGAGGGGAGGGGGGGGGGAATCTAAACCATACAAACATACTATTTTAGTTTATATGAACAAAAATATCAGAGTTCATGACACTTCTAACAGTCCATCAATACAGAGATTTCTGTAAACGGAGTGTTCATTATAGTCCAGGAGTGCAAAGGTTAATTAATGAGAACCTGTCATTGACTGACACATGAATATGCACGTCATAACCTGCTGTGCACATGATAACTTATCACATGAATTCCTTTTCTTGGAGGGCAAGGAGTACAGATTTTAACCTCTACAATCAATTTATTAATGGTTTCAAATGATCATCATTTGAATTCAATATAGCAATGTTTTGTGATTCAAGAAATGGGTCAGTATTTGCGTCGGGCAACCCAGGCCATCAGCTTGTTATGGGAATGCAAGGTACCTTTTCTGCCTCATTATCAAATAAAGATTATGTAGAATATAATTGCATTACTATCTGGCTGACCATTGATTCCTTACATTATACAAGAACATAAATACAATACTATGTAACAAACAGTAAGGCCATCTGAAGCTGTCTGTTCAGTGAAGTGTTGTTATTTGGCCTAAGGCAGGCGTCCTCTGATTATCTGTATGTGTTCTCTCTATTACCTATCACAGTGCTTTTTCTGGATTTAACCTCTGAAACACACTCTTCTATGTCACAATCATTTGAATGTCACCTCTGCAGTACCTTGCTGCGTGCTATAACCACCTAAATATCACATCTTTAATATCCTGCATTACCACCTGAATATCAGCCCTGTGTAGCAATAAGCATCTGAATGTCACCTCAGTAATGTCCTTCTCTGTGCTGTAATCATCTGAAAGTCACCGCTACAATGCCCTGCCCAGAATCTTAACCATCTGAATAGGACCACTTTTAACTGTCACCACTACAATACTTTGCTGTATTTACCCTGATCTCAGTTAATTCTGTGAATCTTACCTAACACTCAGAGACAAAATACATTATTTCTCCATACATTACAATATGGCAAGAGAGGTAATTAGGCTACCATGGAATGCATTACAACCAAACGACTATGGTCACCATGCATTTAACTTCTCTAATATCTTCCCTTCTAAATTAGAAATATAAATTTACCTTTAAAGCACAGTTTAATTTTTGTAAGATCTGAATCTGAAATCTGCAACACCTTGGTAAGTGACACTGACTCTATGCCAAGGATGACCGACCATAAGGTAAATATTGCAAGGTGTTGCAGAACTAAGTCAGTAAAGAATAATATCTGACTAACTTCTACAAGAACATAGCAGTGCAAATGATGATTTGTTATGCACCATGCATGTAGTCAACAAGGATACACAATGGGATTAAAAAGATTATTTTTTTTATTTATTTTTTTAGTCTGAATAAACTACTTTTTATATTTTGCCAATAAACGGAACTGGTATTTATAGGTGTTTTAATACCTAGATTTTGAAGCAATACAAAGGGGTTGGGTTAGCTAAATGTCCAAAGGCACTGCAAATTTTTAAACTTTGGACGAATTCTTCAAATATCTTTGGTCTATAACAAAACAAACCTATCACAAGACAAGACTGAAAACAATATGCCAGTACATCGCCACTCCTGCTACAAGAAAGAAAATTATAAAAAATACTTTCTACAATAACAAGCAAACACCTTTTATTCAGAGACCACCGCTACCAGTACTACATGCATCACAGGTATAGTATCCATTCATGTTTATGATGTTATTGTTCACTTGGATATTAAAAAGCCATATAGAAAATGTTCAATGTTAACAAAAACCTGTGTGGCTGGTGGAGACATTAAAACATATAAAGAATGCAATCTAAAAATAAGCAAAATATAAAAGCATTGATTTACATGGTTAACATCAGATTACAGCTACTTTGAGTAATGCTACGTCCAGGCATTTCCACATTAATTCAAGGATAAAACATGAATAACTTGCATTAAAAATATTATGACTTTGCTATTGTGTAAAAAAAATAAAAAAAAATAAACAACGACATTGAACACCATATGAAAAAAAAAAACATGGAAAAAAACCGAATTATAATCACTTATATTTTTAAACCCACATAATGATTTTAACCCCTTAAGGACCAAACTTCTGGAATAAAAGGGAATCATGACATATCACACGTCATGTGTCCTTAAGGGGTTAAATAGACTCATGGCTGCACCAAGAAAGATTGACACACACAATTATATGAACAATGACTAACATATCAGTTACCATAAAAATACCAATACATTATGCAATGTCACTATAGCAATATAATGTAAATGTAATACAGCTAGCCAATACTATATTTTTCAAAACCATTTTGAACCCCCATACCTTGTCTCTGGGAACTAAGCAATGGAACTATTCTGCATCATTTATATCTCCTTAATGGTAAAAGTTATTCACAAAACACTGTAACAACTACAGTGCTAACAGCAGCAGAACAATTCTGGTATAAAAACGATTTAATCAGTCTGCATTATGCAAGTCACAAAAAGGTGGAGACTTGGTGTCACCGTGCCTAACGTTTTAACACTAAACTAATTGTAGTGAACAGAAAATCTAAATGCAAAATTCCTACTAGATTTTTCCTGCTAATTTCTTAAAAATCTTGCAATTTGGTTTTCATTACACTACAATTCCCTGATTAGTGAATAAAACATGTGATAAATGATTTCTATGAATCCAGCTGTTTTTTGTTTGTTTTTTTGCCTAGGATCTCAATCATTGTCTGAGAAGTCACATTATATGAAGTGTAGGGCACAGCAGCTGCATTGCCAGAGGTTTGTCATCCATTAACACAATGCTGTGCCCAATGGAGGGGGGGAGGGGCAGAGGTCCTGCACCATGAAGTAGTGATGGCAAAGCCTTTGCACCCCATGTATGAGAGGACTACATCTCCCATGATGCCCTGCCAGCCTAAAGACTTGAGCACCATAGGGAATGTAGTTCATTAAGAATCTGTGGTCCCCAGGCCAGTCATTACTGCAGAAGCCCACTGTCTGCCCTGGTATGTAATGGTATGTGATGGTATGTAATGGGATTTAATGGGATACAGGGCCTCAATCAGAACAAGGGTTAATTCTGAATTCCTCCCCTGCTTTCATACAGGGACACGCTGCATGCAGAGGAGTGATGGCACAGGGCTGGATGTGCAGCCCCCCAGCTAGGGGCATGGGATGAGGGGGGACATGCTGGTACCCATCCCTGGTAACAGAGGGGCAGGGGTTGCTAGGTAACCCCCCCCCAACATGCTAAAGCTCAGTCTGGTACCTCACCGTCCGCTCTCCGTCTCCCTGTCTCTCTACTGCTCCAGAGGGTGGGGCTTCCTCCGCATGACGTCAGCGCAGCTCAACCAATCTCCTGGCCCCGCTCGCCTATGGCTGGCAACGTTCTCTGCTTAGAATGGGGAAGAAAGGGCAGTGGCGCCTGGATATGACGCAATGTTGCAAGTGCCCCGCCTGAGAAGCCATCTTTGCTGTGGGCAAGGGAAAAAGGAATGTAAGTACTTCTAGCAGGTAAACCCTAAAAGAAAAGTCTATGTGTGGTACAGTATGTGAAAGAAACAGACCGTGAGTTTAATGGAGCGATCTGGTTACAGCAACACGGTGTCCCAGGGACCCTGTGCATACTGGCAGCCTGCAGACCTGCTAGGGAGTACCAGCATGGTCTCCAGTCAGCTTCTGATGACGTGTTGTGGGGGAATCAGCTGGGCTGGAGGGTGTCTCCCAAGTCCATACACAGAGAGGGAGAGCCCAGGAGTCCAGAGCAGGTCAGACAGACAGGAAGTTGTGACATGAGGGATTCCCTGTAACACTGACATTAAGCCAATTAGCTCCTGGGACACAGGCAGGAGGGCTTCTCTAACAAGCACTGACCCTTGTCAATCTCCTGCACATAGCAAGGCAGCACAGGGACCTGTCCTAATACTGAGCAGCCTATTGCACAACCCCTCTAGCTGCAGGGCCATACCCCAGCCCTAATACAGAGCTCTCTGTACACACATTGCCCTCCCACCCCACTAGAAAACACAGGGGGCAATCACCCTACCAAAACACAGGACCCCTTCAAACCCAGTGTAAACCCTGATGGAGATCATACCATGCCCGGTGTGGGAAACAGAATAGTGAGGTCTCAGACTGGGGGTGTAGTGTATATAACCCCGACACTACAAGCCTTTTTATCCCAGGGTTCCCTAGATTCCTGTGGCTCTCAGAAGACAAATAAGAAATATCCGCTGTGAGATTTAGTTATTATTATTTTTGTGTGTGTGTGAGATATTTTTTTACTACCTTCACAAGCGCATGTGTTGGATGTATAGAGTAACATGTCCCGGTAAATGATTATCAAATGTATTGACTTTTCAGTGATCCAGAAGACAACTAGGGAACAGAATCCGTGGTGGACTCATGAAATATCCTCAGATCAAAAAGTTAATTCAATGTCTTGTTTGGTAAGTCTGATTAGTATATGATTCTTTATATGACACAACAGGATATGTTTAGGTTTCATTGACTAGGTTTCATTGACTAAATAATGGTATAAACCAGACTTCCCCAAACTCTGGCCTTCCAGATGTTGCTGAAATATATTAATAATAATAATAACTACAATTCCCATGATTCTCAACCTATTTCATTCATAGTATCATGGGAGTTGTAGTTCAGCAACATCTGAAGGGCCAGAGTTTGGGGAAGCCTGCTCTAAACAGTACTGGAAACTATTGCTCATTGATAAAAGTGCCTGTAACATTTGCTTGTTTTATATGTCAATGTGTTTCTTTTGTTGATCTACACAGGGTCAGTCACTAAAGTGTGAGTTGTTGTTAACTTGAAGTGAATTTCAAATGTTAGGCTAAAATAACTAAAGAGTAAACCTTGTCTGATATGGGGAAATTTTTCCAATTTGGGTTTTACTAACTTGTAGTGAATTTCAAATGTTAGAACAATCAAATTGAGAAAAAAAAATCCCCAAACCAGACATGGTTTAAACTTAAGCTATTTTAGCCTAAAAAAAATAAAATTTACTTTGAATTCTCCACAATTCCCACTTTAGAGAATAACCCTATCAGTACTGGGTTCTTTACATTTATATAATCTGTGAAGAATCCTGCAGTCTTGTCTTGTTGTCTTTTGCTCTCTCACATGCTTGTGAGTACTCCAGTAACACAGGCTTCTTGTTAGAGCGATGAAGTTAGAGGTTCAGAGAAGTATTTCTTAACTTGCTTCTCTCTGCAAACAATGCAAGACCTCGCACGTGAAAGGTCCCAGAATCTTCCAGATGGACACTCGAACAGGTGTATTTATGAAAGTGAGAATTCAAGGTGCATTTCAAATTTAACATCAAAATAGCTAAACTGGAGTAATTCTCTAAGCCAACAATATTTTCAATTTGCCTACTCTGGTATTAAATTTGAAATTCACTTTGAATTCATATTTAGTATATAACACTGAATGTGATCCATAGATCCTGTCCCTCTAGTCTGGCAATGTAAAACATTGCCATTACTGTGAAACAGCAGATTGACAGCCACTGGAGGCGGTTCCTCATTGAGACACTTCACACACAGAATAAGTTGTCAAATGCTGTAAATGCTTTTTATAGCAAAGCATTGTAGTCAGTGCATCTGTGAGAGGTAATCAATTGTTGCATATGCACAACAGATTCCTAATATTTCTTTTTGGGAATCATTGGATTGGACCACTGATCTCGGAGAGGAGAGCGCCCGGCGCTGGTTTATCAGTGAGTAAAACACGTTTTGTTTTTTAAAGGTTAACGTTAGCGTTTCCCTTTAACTTTTTATATTTGTTTCCTGAAAATATTGATATATGTTTCTGTTGGACATTTATTTGCCTTTTTGGTAAAATAATGACTTGATGTAGCTTCTGACGTGTTTTACATATGTCTGCTCCTAACTTGCCATATATAAATAAATCTTTTAATTTTTTTTATAAATTATTTTTATAATGTTGATTTTAGGTTATTGTAAATGTTAAAGGTTTGCAAGGACAGGGTCCTTGTACCATAATCACTGTTGCCTTATACTGGATACTCAAATAACGATTTTCAATTTTCCATTAATTTTGAAATTGACATGCTTTTGAAGTTTTTTGGCGATCGAGGAGAGGGGGGTTATTTAGTAAAGAGTACATTGTCAGGAATTTGCATAAATTTAAAACTTTGGCTCAATGTAGGCTCCTTTTCAGTTTGGCTCATTTGACCTTAAATGTATTTAATAAAGAGTGATTTGACTGGAAATGAGCATTTCCTGTATGATGACCACATGCTGGCTCGTTTCCCGCACATCATTGTCTGCCATTTTTTTTATTATATACATATTTCAATAGCAAAGCAGGAGATGGGTTTGTTGGAGGATTACAATAGATAGGCTGGTTCTCCTGCATTCATTCCTCTGCCACTATGTATTTTTAATATAAATGTGGTGGGGGCTCTTTGGGCACGCAATGTTTGTTATAAAAAGATAATATTGTACATACTTTGAATGGGAATATGAATGCAATATCGAGAAAAAAAAAAAGAAAAGAACAAACATGCATACAGAAATAATTACTTGGTGCGTTTTCAAAATAAACGTACAGAGATTGATCATATTGGCTAGTTTTCTGTCTGTTAAAAAGCATAAATATTCCGAACAATTTTTTTTATAAAAATACATATATATATACACTACAAAATTGTCTCTTGGCATGCATTTTTTTTCCCCTTCACATTGTAGTTTATACCTAAGGGATGAAATGTCATTGCAGGCGTCTTAGTAAGTAAATAAGTTACCTAGGAAGCTAATGGAAAACAGACGCAGAGGCTAGTCTTGACACTGCACTCAATGGTCTACGATCTGGGTGCCGTTAATAAATAATGCTTCCTTTTCAGGATTGTTCCTGCTTGAGAGGGACACCTGTCAAATCAATAAATCAAGATAAGGAGTCTACCTCCAGCATCTATTCTCACTGGGTAAGTACAGTATCTTTGCGTTATCTATTGAATGTGAGCATTCTACTGTGACATTGCCTGATTGTCTGTTAGTGATCTGGACAGAGAATTTTATTATTTACATTTTTCCATTTTTCTGAAAATCCTTGTTCGGCTAGTTATGGGTTTAATAAAAATCATACTCTAAAATGTATGAATCATGATGACCTTGAGTAAATAACCTGTTTTTTCAGCAATTTATTATTATTATAATTAGCATTTGTATAGTAAGAAGTCTATATAGGTGTGCTGTGTCTTTAAGACAAAAATGTATTTTAAAGTGCAGCAAGTGATTTGATGTGCAAAAGTGCAATTGCATTATAGTGCATAAAATTTCATAACACATATATTGTGCACATATGTGCAAAACTGTGATAAAAATACACAAAAACTCACACTAAAATGTATATGCTGGTCATCTCCATATGTGTGTGTGTGTGTGTGTGTGTGTGTATATGTATGTATGTATGTATGGGAAAATAAAATACAAATAGTGTAAATCTATATAACCAAAAACAAATTATAATACATAAAATGCACACTCACACAAGTAGAGCAAATGAGCCTGCTCTAACTGTGACCACTCCAAACATCACTCCCTCCTGGAGTAGAAAATGACAGAGACAGTCGATCCACTTCACAGATTTATTGCACAAAATACCATATAGCAGCTTCGTCCAGAATCCCCCCTTTTAGCAGTACAACAGTTCAGGTTACAAAAGTATAAAGCCAGCTTCTTTCTCTAAAGTAACCGAGTGTACCGCAATCAAAGACTTCCAGGGGGCGGAGTTACAAGTCTGCAGGCGTACATGCGCGGTCGAGCTTAATGACGCGTTTCGCCGTAATCACGGCTTCTTCCAATCTGCCCACTTTTGCCTGTCTTTTATACACACCCATATGGGCGTATTTACCTTCCCTCCGTCAATACAATCTTGTAATTGGGAAAGCGTCCGGATGTGAATAGTTGGAGTCTCTCCAAAAGTGCAAATTCACTAATCACATCTTTATTAAACATATATACACATACATAGCAATTTAATTTTCACTTGTTCTTATTTTAGCATTTGTATAGCACCAACATATTCCACAGCACTTTATAATTATACAAAACGGGGTATTAGAGGTGAAGAATGCACTGTTTAAATGATCTGACAAGCTGAGGATTTCGAGGTAGACGGATGTATATCGTTAGGTATCTTGACCAAGGGCACTTACTGGTGAGGTGTTCTGACTCGGTTTTTCAGTTCTAATTCAGTGCCATTAACACTGGTCTAATTCATGAGTGCAGTTGCTATTTTCTGTCCTCTGTTTAAAAAGTCTACTGAGCTTCCAGGGAGTTGCCATCTTGTATTACTCCATATTTCTTAGCATGTGACTTAGTGTGTGGGTGGATAAGGATATAATCACTTACATCCTGTTTGATCCCATCTTATAAGGAAACCGATAAAGACTAGTGAATTGTTAAAATGACATGGAAAGCCAGGGGGTGGCGTTATCGCGGCAAACTTTAAGAAAAGTGTTTTTTTGTGGTTCTATGACTTCCCTTCACCTGTAGTGCAAATAAAATGTGATAATGCAAATCAAAATGGATTGTTGTTCCAAAATGGCTTGTTAAAAACTAGAAACAGGTTTTCGTATTGGGACAGGTTCAGGTATGGACATTTCACTTTCACTGGCCTCAGACCACCAGCAGCAATATCACCGTCAGTCTTTAAAAATTATGCAGAGTCCCCAGACGGTGACATTGCCACTGTAGGGACGAAGACAATTCAAGTTCTGAACCAAATCCTAGCATTTGCATGTGTTTGTTTGACTGTAGCGTTTCTCTTTAAGTGCCCCCATATATATTATATATATTTTTTTTAAGGACCGGACTGACTTTATTTTAATACCCTATATGTTTACCTAACACAACAGTAAGTGTTAATAAAATGTTAAAAATGGAGGGGGAGATAATTTTTTAACATTTTTGTTTATAATCCTTTTTTTTCCCACAACCAGTGCAACCTAATAAAAAGAGCTCAAAATAGATTTACATATCAGTCCTGATTGTAAAATACCTCATGTTTAGGATCTAGATTAGTTTGCAATTCCCTGGATTCACTGCTATCAGTGTTCATTACCACTTTATCTATTTATTTCCAGGCAGGTGAACTGCCGCAGTGTTGGAGTCCTCCTGTGCCAGGAGAACATGAAATGCCAGTACGCTGCTCTGAAGCTTCCAGCTATGAACTGCAAGAGGAACTTGGTACAACATTCTTTTCATGTTTCTCAGAATTCTCTATCAGTAAAGACATATAGACTGTTTTTAAAATTAAAAGTTAGACATGTGTTCTCTAAACATGGGGTTTAAGTATCCAGGGTAGATTATGGTACATAGTTCTTAAAGTTTAATATAGCATTCCATTGGTTTCCAAGGAGATTGCTCCACTTTTAGAGTCATTATACAGAGCCCCCATAGCTTGTGACGACTGACAAGAATCGACTGGAATTATGAAACTGTGACAGAGCTCCTGTACTCCAAGCGAGTACCTCCGCCCAATCCGCTTCCTAGCCGCTTGCAGGAACCCTGGAACTCTTCCGCAGTCGCCGCAGCTTGACTGGGGTCCTTCTGGAGCTTTTCCACCCGACCAGGCTGCAGCTTTCCTTCAGGCAGGTATCATCCCCTCTGCCTATGTCGCTGCAGTCCTTCTCCAGGCACGTATCACCCCCTCTACCTATTCCACTGCAGCCCTTCTTTCAGGCAGGTATTATTCCCTCTGCAGCTCTGCTAGCAATGATTGCTATTGTCTTTACAAAGGCACTTACAGCTCTAAGGCCTAGCTCTTTTTATTTATCCCGGGGCCAGAAAAATCATGTAGCTAGCTAACAAGTCAAAAGATGCTGACACTTGGATCTCTAAAAATCCACACATAACACCCAGTTCCATATTGAACTAATATACAATACTTTATTTTTCTTGGGACTAGCCCATATGTTCATCACATAAACATTGCTGTGACAAACCTAATAATATTAAAATAACCAAAACATGTCACAAAATATACAGGAAGTTATAATGACATAATAATATATTAATAAAGGAATGGAGAAGACAATAATTAACAGAAAATATCTCTTCTGTCTGCAGAATTAGCAATGTGCAAATCTACCCGAATATGCAAATTAGCAAGCCTTGCTATTCAGATAGTGCATACAGCTGTTGCAAGACCTTTGCAACCAACAGGTGGCGTTGTACAGGCTCCACAGCCAAATCCACCAAGTTGATTGCAAGCATTAGCAAGACAAAAGAGCACACTAACCTTTAACCCCAAACAACCATATTACACACACCTTGCACCTACAATGGACACAGGGTGACTTAAACATGGGAATCATTCAGAAACCTAATTGAATTGTCCACCATAAGCTCTTGGTGATGGTGACTACTGTCACAGAAACCACATAAGTATTTTATGTATTTGTTTAGCAGGTTATCTATTCATACCTTGAGTTTTCTTGTATGTCTTTACTTGCTAAAATTAATACTAACACTTGAAGCCTGTTTCAGGTACATGCTTCCCTTTCGATAAAGCAGTATTTAGCTTTATTTTTTTAACTTTACCTCCTAATCTTCCACTTTCCAAATCAAAATCTTTTCTCAGTTGAAATGGTTCATTTTTGTCTGAAAGATGCCCAGTTTTGGCTTCCCACCTTTTCTTTGTAGGATTATTCTCTAGTGAAGTGAGAATTCAAAGTAAATATCATGTTTAAGGTCAAAATAGCCAAACTGGAAGAATTCTCAGTCACTTTAGCCCCACAGCAATACTAGAGTTGGACTGCTATTCTACATACACAGTTTTGGCCATTAATAAAGGTATTTCCTATTTAATTTACTGCAACATGTTGTAAATAACTCCCTTTCAATGCATATATCACAGCCTAGAGATGCCTAACACTACATTATCTTCTGTAATATATTTCCTTAATTATTTTCCCCTTGTCCTGCAGAATGCTTGTTAATGTATTCTGATACTCGCGCATCTTTCAGGCTTCATGTTATTGACCTTGATTGTTTTACAAATAAAGAATTATTGAAAATGTGTGTGTATCACACGTGGCACATTCTTTATCTGTACAGCCCAAGTCTGATCACTCTGAAAATGCTAACCAGTGAGTTAGTGCTGGTATCAAGACTGAGCACAGATTGATACTAGCTGAGATTCGTGATGCAGGACACAGTTTGGAAGTATTGGAACATTTCGTCTGAATTTGTTCGCAAAATTCTGTTTTTCATTTGTCTCTGTTCACAATTCCAGGTAAAGGTTTTGGCAATTTAACCACTGTCTACCTCGCTCGACACACTCCAAGTGGAACACTTATCACTGCGCGACTCACCGACCTGGAGAGCTGCTCTGATGAACGCCTGGCTGCCTTACAGGTAAACATTGTGCTGGTTTTAGAGAACATTTTCATGTATGATTTCCACCTACATGCCCATGACACTTCGGTTTCTTTCAGTACTGCTAATAAAAGGATTTATCTGTGCTAAAAACTGTAGTCTGATTTATTCTTCTGTCCACCAACATGAGATGAGTATGTTGGTCTAAAGACCTGTGCCACTTTGCCATGTTTTTTGTTGAATTATTTCGTTTTCTTGGTACCTGTGGCTGCTAAACATGCTCATCTCTTGGCATTGTGGTCCATATGTCCTGGATATGTGACTGAATACTAACCCATTTAACATTTATCCTGTGTGATGCTGTTTTTCAGAATGTGGTGGTTATGGCGCCATTGCTTCGCCACCCTAACGTTATGACCTCTTGGAAGATATTTACTTCTGGGACCTGGCTTTGGGTTATTAGTCCTTTCATGGCATACAGTAAGTGATTGTGTATATTATGGAACAATTAAGGTAGAAAGAGCGCTCTAGAGGCATGTACACTCAGAGGCATAACTAGAGACCCTCCGGATGTTACATCTTTCTCCCAGCTCCTCCATGTGTCTCTCCATGTGTCTCATTCCCTCCCCCCAGCTCCTCCATGTGTCCCATTCCCTCCCACTCAGCCCCTCCATGTGTCCCCTTCCACCCCCATTTCCCCCCAGACCCTCCACGTGCCCCATTTCCCCCCAGACCCTCCACGTGCCCCATTGCACCTCCAGACCCTCCACGTGCCCCATTGCACCTCCAGACCCTCCACGTGCCCCATTGCACCTCCAGACCCTCCACGTGCCCCATTGCACCTCCAGACCCTCCACGTGCCCCATTCCCCCTCCAGACCCTCCACGTGCCCCATTCCCCCTCCAGACCCTCCACGTGCCCCATTCCCCCTCCAGACCCTCCACGTGCCCCATTCCTCCTCCAGACCCTCCACGTGCCCCATTCCCCCCTCAGACCTCGCGTTACCCCATTCCCCTCAGGGCCCTCCACGTGCCCCATTCCCCCTCCAGACCCTCCGCGTTGCCCCATTCCCTCCAGACCTCCGCGGTGCCTGTTCCCCTCCAGACCCTCCGCGTGCCCATTCTCCTCAGACCCTCCGTGCCCCATTCCTCCTCAGGGCCTCCGGTGCCCATTCCTCCTCCAGACCCTCCCGCGTGCTTGTTCCGCCTCCTCCAGACCCTCCACGTGCCCCATTCTCCTCCAGACCCTCCGTGCCCCATTCCCTCCTCCAGACCCTCTCCCGCGTGCCCCATTCCCGACCAGACCCTCCCGTACTTTGCATTCCCGACCAGACCCTCACGTGCCCCATTCCCGACCAGACCACTCCGTGCCCATTCCTCCTCCAGACCCTCCGTGCCCATTCCCGACCAGACCCTCCCGTTGCCCATTCCCGACCAGACCCTCCATTGCCCCATTCCCGACCAGACCCTCCGTGCCCCATTCCCGACCAGACCCTCCGTGCCCCATTCCCCGACCAGACCCTCCGCGTGCCCCATTCCCGACCAGACCCTCCGGTGCCCCATTCCCGACCAGACCCTCCGTGCCCCATTCCCGACCAGACCCTCCGTTGCCCCATTCCCCGGCAGACCCTCCACATGCCCATTCCCCCCAAACCCCTCCGCGTGCCCTCCCCAACCCCTCCACGTGTCCCACTCTCCCCCAACCCCTCCCATGTGTCCCACTCCCTCCCATGTGTCCCACTCCCCCCCCCAGCCCATCCATGTGTCCCATTCCCCTTGTAGCCACTCCATGTGTCCCATTCCCCTTGTAGCCACTCCATTTGGCTACTTCCCCCCCTAGTCCCTCCATGTGTCCCATTCCGCCCCTAGTCCCTCCATGTGTCCCATTCTGCCCCTAGTCCCTCCATGTGTCCCATTCCGCCCCTAGTCCCTCCATGTGTCCCATTCTGCCCCTAGTCCCTCCATGTGTCCCATTCCCGACCAGACCCTCCATGTGCCCCCATTCCCGACCAGACCCTCCATGTGTCCCATTTCCCCCCCTAGTCCCTCCATGTGTCCCGTCCCCCCCTAGTCCTCCATGTGTCCCATTCCCCCCCTAGTCCCTCATGTCCCCATTCCCCCCCTAGTCCCTCCATGTGTATTCCCCCCAGTCCCTCCATGTCCCTCCCCCCCAGTCCCTCCATGTGTCCCATTCCCCCCCTAGTCCTCCATGTGTCCCAGTCCCCCCTAGTCCCTCATGTGTCCATTCCCCCCCCTAGTCCCTCCATGTGTCACATTCCCCCCCCTAGTCCCTCCATGTGTCACATTCCCTACTCCCCATCCACTCCAAGTGTCCCATTCCTCCTCCTCCCCAGTCTCTCCATGTTTCCCTTTTTCTCACACAGCCCCTCAATGTGTCCCATTCCCCTTCAGCCCTTGTGTCTTATTCCCTCCCAGCCCCTCCATGTGTCCTATTCCTCCTCCTCCCCAGCCCCTCCATGTGTCTCATTCTCTCCCCTAGCCCCTCTGTGGACCATTCCCTCTCCCCCAGACCCTCCATGTGTCTCATTCTTTCCCCCCAGCCCTTCTGTGTCTTATTACCTCCCCCCAAGCCCTTCCATGTGTCTCATTCCCTCTCCGGATAGCCACTTCATGTGTCCTATTCTCCCCCCTCAGCCCCATCCATGTGTCTCATTTCCTCCGCCCCCCAGCCCCTCTATGTGTCCCATTCCCTCCCATCCCAGCCCCTCCATGTGTATCATTCATTCCCCCATTCCTCCATTTGTAAGCACCAACATATACGTAGAGTGTTACAAAGACTATGTGTAAAAGTGCTGTTATTGGGCTTATAGTGTTCCTTAGGGCAAAGTATTTCACTATTTTGTCTTAAGTAATAGTTTTTCTTAAGACTGGTATAAACTTTTTAACCAACCCCCTCCAGGGCAATGAATAAATATGTAATTTACTGTTGAGAAAAATAATATATTAAATTGCTAAGTCTGGATGTAAAACAAAATGTAACTTTTGTCCACTATAGCCATCATGCCTATTCTGAAAAAACAACAAAGTGGTGTGGGATGGTTATAATATAAGTTCATAATAAATGATAAACATCACCAGAAAAAAACCCAAAAAAGAATACCAGTATATGCTGAACAAGTATCGAATTCAGTATTTAGGAATGATACTCAAATATAGTAATTTTGAAAATTTAATGAGCTTAAAAAGATAGACATAGTTATATATATTTATTTATTTATTTTTATTTTTATTTTTTAAAGTATGCTAATGTAAAATGTTACAAAGTTTAAAGGGGTATAATATAACACATTGCACATACAAACATAAAACGTTGATAAACTAAGCAGCGCTAAATTGTGGTCACTTGGATCCCTCCGGTAGAGACAGAAACAGAAAATTCCTCAGTTACTTGAATAGGTCCAGATCCCTTGTCTAATAAACGGTGTAAGTAGCATGCGCCACGAGTGAAGGTCCTTATGTCCACAAGCAAAGCCACAGAATGAAGATGGTTAGAATGAAGTTACGTCTCACTGGTGGACGTAAGGATCTTCTTAATCATCTGAAATAAAGTGAGAGCCTCTCAAAGCCTCAATTTGCAAGCGAATCAGGGTGGGAAATTATGTTGACTGCTGAAACTCTATTAGTTGAAACTTTGTTCATGTAATGTTAAAAATATATTTCTCTAAATATATAGTTCTACTAATTTCTCCAGCTATGAAATTGCTCTGGATTTTGGTGATTTCAGTATACAAGCTCTCAGACGGCAAATGTCGTCCTTGCAGGCATTTTGAAAAACTATTCGGCTAATTATATATATTTTTTTTTTCATGTCACCAAAGGTTCTGCTAGTAGCCTGCTGAAGACCTATTACCCTGATGGTATGAGTGAAGCTATAATAGCATACATTTTGTATGGGGCATTAAAAGGATTAAATTATCTCCACCAAAACGGATGCATTCATAGGTAAGCTGATGAAAAGAAACATGTTATAAATCATTGCCGGGAAGTTCATGCTTGGAAATTGAAGCTTATAAAACTGCATTACTTCCATATGTTGGGTTTATCCTATAAGCTTGAGATCTATTTAATAAGCTTAAGAGTTTTAATTAATTGTTAGAGCCATGTAATATAATTAGTCTTTGTAGATGTACTGTGATTGACAATAAAAATTTTAATTTTTTTAAATTCATAGTTTTATCCCCTTCCTCTGTTCGTTTATTAATAATTTTATCCCTTTATCATTATACTTTCCATGCATGTAAAAAGCACAGTACATCACACAGTTTATGCTCTCTTGCTTTAAGGGAAACACCAGACCTGCAGCACTTTAGTTTACTCAAATGCTTTATGTGTGAAGAGTTTGTACATAAAGCTCCTCAGATTTCACTTTGATAAATTAAAATGGTTACACTCCCTGGCTGTCAATCAGATAACCAGCCCTGTAATTTCCTGGTTTGGTTAACTCAGTGGAGCTAAACTCAAGAGGCAGCAATTGCTCAGAGCACCTGCCTTGCAAAGACTTCTCATTGAGCTGCGTTGGGAAGTCTGTGATTGGACAACTACAGAAAGTCTGGGCAGGGTTAGAAGGGGAGGGTTTGCAAAACTGTATTTAGCTATACCCCCAAACAAACAAATGCATAATTAAATGCAACTGGCTGGATGCTCACAGACAATCCTTGGTATTCCATTGATCTCTGTTGAAAAGTACACAAATGTGTAATCAGAAAGGCTCGTGATCATGTGTATGCAGCACTTCACTTACAGATTTGTGCTTCTCATGTGAAGGATGATGGTGCTGATGGGGAAATATCTCTCAATGTACCAAAGATATCTTTTGGAATGGCTATTGTTGTCAAACATTCCATAATGGTGGAGAATCACAACTATTCCTAAATTTGACACACGACTTAACAATAAATTCACCCCATGGAACTGACAGTGATTAGATGGCAGATCTTTTATAATCACACTCTAATCTAGATGTATTTTATTGTAACAAACTGCCCCTTCACAAAAAAAAACGTTCTAGCACTGAGACAAATACTTAACGTGAGTTGTGCTAGCTATCGCTTAGTTCTTCTCTACCTATTACTGCAGTGTGATGAACTGTTGATCACCACTCGCATTTTAGTAAATCAGTCAACAATGTGTCTAAAGTGCATGTGTGGCCATTTTACTGTTTTCTGTTTTGGTTGCTACACTGTCAGTAAAGATTACATTAATAGATGGACAAGCATCAGGACAATTGTTTGGAATTTAGAGAATATACTTGGCTATGTCTTGAGGACTGGAAGGTAAGAAGGAATAGTGCCTGCTTGGCTGCCTGTGACTGCCCTCATACGATAATCTATAGAGCAATATACACACTCCCCCAAGCGCATTCTTAACGTGAAACAGCTGCAGTGAAGGGGCTATTAATAGTAAAGTGCATACCATTGCTTTTAGGCTGCAGCACATGTTAATGAAAACCCTAAGCAGTGAAAGTATTTTACCTACGGCTTAGTGTTTTGGTTTTTGTTTATTAACCAGCTAAGTTAATGGTTGACTTTTGCAATGAGTTGCTGGTTAGATTCTTGCAAATTCTGCATAATTGCACTGTTTGTCTTTTGCCGGTAGCACTATTATATTGATGCTATGTACTCCAGAAGTGTAATATCCTTTGATTTAGTAATTCGGTATTACCATGTTATGACTTGTGCTATTTAAGATGCTGCTCAACATCTTTCGTTCCTTTGGGCTTTGCTTGTTTGACTCATAAGTTTTCACTATCGACGTTAATATTTAATATTTTCATGGAAAAAAGTAATGATGATGATAATAATTACAACTAGACTGCAGTACTATATAATAAAAAGAGTATTGATGCTGATACAATGAATTGTTGTATGGGAGCTGGTGAATTTAGCTTTTATACCTGATTGCTTTCTGGTTGGTTATTAACACCCTGGCTAGAGATTGTATACCGTGAGGTAAAAAAAAAAACCTTTGACGCTACAGCTGTATAAAAGCACTTTAACCCCTTAAGGACACATGACATGTGTGGCATGTCATGATTCCATTTTATTCCAGAAGTTTGGTCCTTAAGGGATTAAACATGTGTACAGGAATGTTCTTTATTAAACAAACTGCTGTCCCTAAGCTGCTCAGGCTGGACACATGCATTTAACTTAAAAGGACACTATAGTCACCAAAACAACTTTAGCTTAATGAAGCAGTTTTGGTGAATAGATCATGTCCCTACAGTCTCACTGCTCAATTCTCTGCCATTTAGTAGTTAAATTACTTTATTAACCCTAGTCACACCTCCCTGCATGTGACTTGCACAGCCTTCCTAAACACTTCCTGTAAAGAGTCATTTAAAGTTTATTGTTCCTTTATTGCAAGTTCTCTTTAATTTAGATTTTCTTATCTCCTGCTATGTTAATAGCTTGCTAGACCCTGCAAGACCCTTCTGTATGTGATTAAAGTTCAATTTACAGAGAAAGAGATACAATTATTTATAAGACCACTATAGGCACCCAGACCACTTCAGCTCAGTGAAGTGATATGGGTGCCAGGTCCCTCTAGTGTTAAGCCTGCAGCTGAAAACATAGCAGTTTCAGAGAAACTGCTATGTTTCCCTGATGGTTAACTCAACCTGAAAATAACAGTGAGAAGACACTGGAAGTCCATAGGAAAACATTGAGAAATGCTTTCCTATGGGCGGTTTGAATGCGCTCGCGGCTCTTGCTGCGCACATTCGGCACTGACGTCGGCAGGAGGAGGAGAGTTCCCCAGCGCCGAGGGAGCCCTTCAGCCCAGTGGGAGTGGGACCCTGAGGGTGCGGGGGTACCTAAAGACCCTATAGTGCCACGGCACTATAGTGGTCCTTTAAGGTAAATTACATCTTAATGAAAGTGAAACCAGTTTTTTTTCATGCAGGATATGTCAATCAGAGTCAGGGGAGGTGTGGCAAGGGCTGCATAAACAGAAACAAAGTGATTTAACTCCTAAATGGTAGTTAATTGAGCAGTGAAACCCGAGAAGCATGATCTATACACTAAAACTGCTTCATTAAGCTAAAGTTGTTTAGGTGACTATAGTGTTCCTTTAACTTTTTAAATAGTTTTTTGTTTAGTTTGCTTCTATTAAAGAACCGAAAGTTAGAATTCATTCTATAAATATCTCTTAATAGTTCTATAGATATCTATTTAAATTCTGCTACGTAATAATAATGCTTTTTATCTAATTCTGTCTGTTTGTGTTACAGGAATGTTAAAGGAAGCCATATCCTGATATCAGAAGAAGGTCTTGTATCTCTTTCTGGCCTTAGTCGTCTATACAGTCTGATAAGAAGGGGAAAAAAGGCTAAGGTGGTATATGATTTTCCAAATTTCAGCACTGCAATGCTTCCTTGGTTTGCTCCAGAACTACTGAGGCAGGTGTGTATTTCTTTAACACCCTTTTCGAGAAAATGACTGTCTAAGAAAATCAAATTTTTTCTTTTTTAAATGCCTGTTGGGAAATGTCATGAATCCCCATTCCTTCCAATGGAAATATGACAGAGTTTTCAGGATTATACCATGTCATCTTGTAATCTTTCCGCAAAGTTGAGCATACTTTACAGCCACGGACAAATATGTATTCTTGGACCATGCAATAATTTCCACGGAGTGGGAAAATATATTAAAATGCTGAAATAATCTGCTCCCTTTTCTTTGTAAGAAATAAGCTGCTAGATTTGGATTTTGAATACCCAACTTACAGCAGCACGCGTGTAAAATGCTAATAGTTAATATACTTTATACCACCTACAGTTTATACAGTGACCTGCATAAAATCGGGCATATGGGTTTTATATTGCAGTGTTATCTGTTTTGTTATGTGGTATCTGATTATTTCTCTTTTATTTGCATTAAAGGAACACTCCAAGCACCATAACCACTACAGATTGCTGTAGATGTAATGGTGCCAGGAATGATCTCGCACCCCTCTAAGTAGTCAACCTGTTTTTGAATGGCTTGGGGTAAGCCGGGCATATCTTCCTGCCTTCATGACCAATGCCAGAGAGCTTGATGCTTCTAAGCAGGAACTTCTGTTAGATCACTTGCTGAGAGCAACTATTTAAGTCTCTCAGACTGGCATTTGGGCAGTGCCCATTCAGCTGCTATGGATGTAGCCTGAGATTGACAGGGGTGATCAAAGGATATCTTTAGCAAGCTTCTGCATGGCAGTATCAGCCCAGAGATGGCTCTTTATTCCTTACTGGAAAAGGATCTCCCTCGTCAGCTTAGCAGACATGTTGGGGGTCTGTAATGCTTAAAGAAATTGGAGCAAGGAAGCCTATGCCACTACAGTGTCAGAACTGTGCCATGTTAACCAGAGTTAATAGCCTGCTGCTCTTTCTCCTCTCTCTCCCCTCCTCCCCCCCCATGTCCAAGGGAGACCCGAGAGCAGAGTTGGGCTCTGACTCATCTCTACACTCACCAAATGTTGTGGAATTGAGAGGGTGCACAACAAAAAAAACTTGCCTCCCCTGGCACCCCATGACCTTACTACGCCTGTGCTCAGTGATGGTGTTTGTTTTACTCATTTACAAAACCATTTGATAATTTTGGGGGTATATGATAATTGGTTAAACATGTTGTATGTGGTTTATCTAGTTCTTTATTGTTGAAATCAAGGTGATAAAAAGGGTTCTGTTAATTTGTCAATAAATATTTTGAATGTTGTTGCTTCAGCCTCACTGGGTAACGTACAGGGTAGAGCCCTTTTTTATTGAACCAATAAGAGCAAAAGTAAATGTCAATAATGTCCGAATATGATTGCGATTGCGCAACTTCTGTTGGCAGCTAACAATTCTAGATTGTAATCGATCCCAAAGTGTTTAAGATATGAATCTAATGAATGAGCATTGCTCTGATATCAACAGATTAAATTTTTTTTTTTTCTCAGGACCTCTTTGGGTACAATGTGAAATCAGATATCTACAGCCTTGGCATCACTGCCTGTGAATTGGCTACTGGCCGTGTACCATTCATGGACATGCACCGCACTCAGGTGAGTCACCGTTTTTATATTTAACAAGGAAATACAGATGTCATGTAATGACATATTAGTGAATGCAATAAACTTGTGAACATGGAGGTTATATTTCATTTTTTTTTTTTTTTAAAGTGTGTAAGTTGCTAGTAAACACGTGTTTACCTCCTAGAAATAATGCGTTAAGCTCTGTATACAAAAAAAAAACATAAAAAGTGGGGTGCTTATAAAACACGCACAGAGATTGTTAAAGGAAATGCATCAGTATTTCTGTCCCCACATGTAGAAATAGGATCTCGCGAGTGTCCTTCACAGTCACCCTACTTTCGTGATAAATTACACTATATTTCACTTTTCCTGTTTGCGTTTCAAATTTCTCATAAAGCAAGATATAGTGCAACATTGTAAAATGTGCACAATTATTATTATTATAACAGCCATTCCACTTTTTATTTTGTTTTATTCATTCAATGCAAAATGCCCATATGTTTTAATGTTCTAATTCTTAAACATATATTAATGTTATAAAGTTCCTGTTCTCTAGAGCTGTCAGCGAGTCTGGCATATAATCCCATATGTAGAACACAATCAAGGTCTTGGCGCAATTAAAACAAATTCTGATACAATGACCTGCTCCTTTATAACACAGATATCTATGATGTAAAATGTAAATTATTTTTTAAGAACCTTTTATATATCCAAAAGTACAGTGCTGTTCATTCACAATTGTGATATATAGAGCGGTACATATATAGCAACATATAATATAATTGTACACGTCCCTGCTATGAAGGATGTTAGAAAACAATTGTTCAGAGTCTTTAGATTTTTTTTTTCAGAATTGAAATGTCATGAAAAGTATTGAAATTGATAAATAATGCAATCATCTCCATTAATTTAAATATGTTTGCCTTACGATGTGTAGATACAGTCTAACCGTATGTTGGAGAATTTATCCAAGTCACTCAGAACTTTTGATCTCAGCACATCCTAATGCTAAACATTCTATGTCACTGTGCAATATCCATAGATGCTGCTTCAAAAACTGAAAGGCCCACCGCACAGTCTTCTGTATGATAACACGTTTCCCTGTGAAGAGTCTCCGATGAAAATTTCCCGTTCAGGAGTAGATTCAGGAATTGGGGAGAGTGTGGTTGCTGCAAGCATGACTCAAACAATGACAAGTGAAAGACTAAGAACCCCCTCTCCGAAAACATTTTCATCAGCCCTACAGAATTTTGTTGAAATTTGTCTGCAACAGGATCCTGAAAGAAGGTAATTGATGTAAATGTGTCAGTTTGTCTTTCTTTTTTTTTTTTTTTTTAGTTAAAATTATTTGTGTTGAAACGGTTACGTCTGATATGATGTAGAAGCTTTTATTTAGAAATAAATATTTATTGATAAAGAAAGTAAATTAATAACTAAAACAGGATAGAATTATCAGTACATCCACACATAGCTGTTTGTTTGAGGTTACCCATAGACTCCTTATGCCATAAACATTCCAATCAGCTGTAGTAGTTATGGTACATAGAATGTCTCTTTATTTTCTTGTACTTAATTTTTTGTATTTTCATTATTATTTACCTACATCACAGGATGACTTTGTATTATGATTTGCTCAGCAATTATACAGAATCTGCTTGCTCTAAATGTATTTTACTTTTCTCTAGACAATAATAAGGTTTGATTTTAAAAAAAATAAAAAATTAAAAAATCCAATCAGACATTAATCGTAGTAAATAGAATGTATGGTCTACAGGCAAATTTCTTGATATGATAAATAGGTTTCGGGTATTACCAAAATTTGGCCAAGACTACAAAGCCATTAAATTGCACTGAATGAAATAAAAGCACAAAATTGTGGTGACAAGCCAGGGGCACTCTTAACAATTTTTAAGTGAATGCTCTAGAATGTAAGGTCATTGAGCAGGGCCCTCCACGTCTCTGTTCCTGTACGTCCAGTTGTCTGGTTATAATTACATGTCTGTTAGTCCACCCATTGTACAGCGCTACGGAATCTGATGGCGCCATATAAATAATAAAACAATAATTGAGATGGTTGTATAAGGCAGGACATACAGTGTTATAGAAAAGTCAATACAATATTATTAACCAGCATTAACTTTTTTTTAATTTTTATTTGAATCCACTTATGGATGTTTGCAAAAATTAAACTATGTAATAACAGTTTTATTTGAACTCTTTCACATTGTGTAATACCCTAATTTTATTCGTGCCTTAGAAGAAAAGATCCTTTGTAAAGACTTTGAACTCCTGGTTGTTTTGTTTACTGACCACATATCAGACTGCCTTTTTAGTTTTATATTTTTCTTTTATTTTTGTGCAGGCCTTCGGCAAGTACTTTGCTGTCTCACGCTTTCTTCAAACCAGTAAGTCAATTCCATCTCAGATCAAAATATTTTTTCTGGCCCTGGTTTGTCCCAGTATAGCCCACCCCTTCTACATCAGTTCCATCAGTTCTACTAGGTCAGTTTTTAATATGTTCAGGTTGCCCCATACTTATAAAGAGATTCTTGACTAAGGAAATATAAACGGAAAAGTATAGCAAGTTTGATTTCTATATAGAAATAAATATATTAATTAAAAAAAAAAAAAAATGTAAGTTTGCGTAAAGCCCAGCACACTGTTATTGTCAGCTGTGATGAAGTGGTGTAAATTCAGGTCTGTCACAGTGTAGCTGAAAATCATGGTTATAGTAGTGGCAGGACCAGGGACAGATTTACATCACAAGCACCTGTAGAAACAGAATTTACACACAAACACCAAAATAAACCGTTTCACTAAGAACATCCATAATCTAGATTACTATCAAATAATAAATAGAAAGAACAAGTGAGAAATAGAAGGAAGGGGTTTAGCAGCTAGAGAGGTGTGTAGCCAAGTGTAGGAATAGGTATAATTAACTTTTTTTGTTTTGTTCAGGGACATAGAGGGATAGTAGGAACAGAAATTGCATGGCAGCATTGTTGAATGGACAATTACATTATCAAGGTTAATTACTAAAGAGAGAATTTCTGTAATTGCAGAGTGAGTTCAATGTGAATTCCAAATTAAAGGCCAAATTAGCTGAATTGAAAGCAGAGAATTTTTCTAATTTGGCCTAAATGTTTTACTTTAATTAGAATTCCTGGCCTTTCTCACCGTGAATAATTCTGTGAGTGGGTGCGTTCTTACGTTTTGTATTCCACAGGTAAGAGAACAAACACATGGCACATTGGCACAGCTGCTGCCTTCTCTGGCACAGCACAAAATTCAGCGCTCGGTCGGACCATCAGTGAACTGGAATAAACAATACGGCTCGATTCAATATGAGCACAGAGAATGGACGTTTGAATAATACTGTTTACATATTTTTTCCTTTTCTTGTTTTTTTTTTTTTTGGCCATGTTTATAAAATAGTGAACTGTGAAATGATTTCAACTTCTGCCTGATGAGATATATATGTGTGTAAGTAATATACATACACCAACCGTGCTATCTGCCTGAACAGAGCATAATGTGAATATGCAAGGATTGCACTACTGATCTTCAAAGCTTCAGTGAGCAGAGAATAACACTATTTAACATGATGTGACCTGTTGTTGCATTTGAATTCTATTGTAAAAACTGTGTTTCTGAACGCCGCATAGTTGTTGTTTTTTTTTAATTTTTTTTTTATTATTACCTGTTGTATGAATTTAAGGTAAAGAAATATCCTAGCACAACCTACGTGTGATTTATAATGGAAAACAAGTTACGTCTATCTAGATGACCTCAGCCACTCCATTGCTTTCTCATAGGAAAGCATTGTGAGCCTAGAGCGCATGCACGGTAAACCACGCTGCGCCGATCAGATGGTCACTATCAATTTGACAGCCATTAGAGGCATATAAACCCTGACAGCCACTAAAGAAATTTAAACCTTGCAATGTAAACATTGCTGTTCCTGCAGAACATTAATGTTTTACATTGCAGGGAGATATGGCATCCAGACCACTTCATTGAGATAAAGTTGTCTGGGTGCTTATAGTGTCCCTTTAAATCACAGTTAACAAGGTCTACTCCAAATCAAGATTGAAGCAAAGTGAACAGAAAAACAATGTTTAAGAGCATCATCTATTACTGGTTAAACTCTAAAAGTTCTGTAGTCACCATTAGGCCTTCTCAAAAGGATATTTTTTTGCCAATTTATTTTTCCAAAGATATTTATTGGATTATTATTTTTTTTTATATATAACAAGGAGACAAGGTATCCAATTACATCGATGATGAGCGTTAACAGAGTTAATATAGAAGTTTCTGTTTACTTATCAGGTCCCAGGTTTCCCAGTCTCCACATGGGGAACAGAAAGGTAACATGAAAGAATATGCAATCTAACCCTACAAGTGACCCCAATAGCCTGTTATTACTGACAATGTTTAAGAGGTACTGTAATAGTTATTTTTGTTATTCAGTAACTATTTTAGATAAATTTATTTATTTTTCATTTGGAGAAATACATTACCAAAGGCACAGTTACTGCAGTTTAAAGTGGACTGCCAATCTGGGGCTGAAATCTGCAAGAATTCCTAAGTGACATGACCACTCTATTCACTTAAGTGAATAACATTTTGTTAAACTCTGTCTAGACTCTATACCAGGCATAGGCAACCTTCGGCACTCCAGATGTTTTGGACTACATGCTTTGCCAGCATTATGGGTGTAAGAGCATTATGAAGGATGTAGTCCACAACATCTGGAGTGCCGAAGGTTGCCTATCCCTGCTCTATACCATCTGCTCTCAGAATTTCCCCCTATTTCAGAAAAGCAAAGTCTTCCTAAACTGAACTCATAGAAGCTGCTGTTTGAATGTCCAGATTCAATTTAAAGGAACAATCCAAGTACCATAACCACTAGCGCTCACAGTAGTAATTATGGTGCTGGGATTGCCCAGTGTACTTAGTCAGACTGTTTGCTAATGGTTTGACTCCTTCCCTGGGGTCTACTTAGTGCTGGTCCCTTCCTCTGCCACTGCTAAAAGACCTTTGCCTGAGCTAAGCCCGTGTGAAGACTTGCACTAAAGGGGCAACAGGGCACTCTTGGCACCATAAGCACTACAGCACACTGTAGTTGTTATGGTGTTTGGAGTTTTTCTTTAAAGGGAAACTTCTAGCACCATAATGTCTAGAATTCTGTTTTGCATTTATGGTGCAGCCCCTCAGTGTGCGTTAATCTGTTTTTCTAGAGGTTTGACAAAAAAAAAGACAGGATACCCCGGCACAAAGTCTCAACCCCATCTTGCATCATTGCATGACAGAAATACTTTACCCATAGAGTACTTGTACAATAACCTATACGGAACGTTGCAGTGCTCAGTGTGCCTTTAATGTTCCTTAAAGAGGCAAGAAGTTATAGAAAGGGGGCTTCCTTGTTTCTAGATAGCCTCTGGGAATACCTTGTTCTAGTGAACATTCATCCCTGGAACAGAAATGACAGTTGAGTCAAGTTCATTTTTTACGCCCCTCACCGGTGGTCTAGTCAAGTGCTTTAAATTTGTTCACATCACTGCACTATAGACCAGGGTACCCACAGGAGGAAAGGTATGATGAGCTTGGGACAGTGTCGCATGCATTTAATGAAAAAGGTAAATAGCCATTTCTGTTTGTTTCTAAGTTACATGTGTTTAGGGATAAACGTGAACTTTTAAAATTAGATCTTTTTTTATTATGACATCTTTAAATATGTAAATGACTGGTATGGAATATTGATATCATTTTATTATTTCTTTGTTGTTGTGATGGTACTGTGACTATATATAGCTAAGAAATATTTTCATATATGTATATTTTCATTGCAACTGATCGTTTACTGCATCTTCAATATTTTGTTATCGACGTTATAATAAGCGCTTAGAATTGCCTGTAGCTTTTGAAATCAAATTAACGTGTTATTTTTATGTGGAATTTTATTTATTTTTATTTTTTTTGTCCACTGATGCACCCAGTGCCCTGTCCCACTGCATATAGTAAGCCGATCAATGAGTCAGGAATAAAAATCAGGAAGACCGCTTTTAGAATTGCAGCTGGATGCATTTGCATTTAAATTGGTAAAATGTTGAATTGTGACAAGAAGTGCGTGTTAAACATTTCTTAAAGAATACACTGCATGTTTCTCTGTTTTTCAAATGAGATGAACTCACTTTTTTTCCTGAGAGTAGTCTAGTCACTCTATACAGGCTCCAAGGTTTGAAAATATGAAATCAGGGATTGTAGCCAAAGTGGTGGCAGTTAGTAGCGCAGTGCATGTGACTGGTAATGCGCAACTAGATATATTTGTTAAGGGCTGTCAACGTGCAGAGAATTGCAGAAGCATTCTCACGGGCAGAAATGACTGCATTGCTGCATGAACATGAGCCCTGGACAGGATTTCCTAATTGGGACTGTTAACTGCAAGACCTACACCACTGGTATTTCTGCTGAAATTGGGGGTGGGTGGGAAATTACAAACCCCAATAAAAAGCTAAAATCTATATCTATTAAAATTACCTAAAAAAACTTTAATAAAGTAGACAAAATAAAAACTATTAAGTAGTCAAATGGGTAGTAATTCCTCTGGTATAATTAGGGGTATTTTGTGAATAAAACTCTTTAATTGTTTGGGGTATTTACTTTTTATGACCCTGATATTTAACTTGTGGTATAAAATATAAACCTTTGAAAAAATATTTCAGCTAACTGGACATATAGACTCCAAACACCATGACCACTTCAGATCACTGAATTTGCATTTTGCTTAGAGTAACCCTTAATAGTCCAAATCTCAGTAAATTTGTCATTTTATACAAAAGAAATTGTGTTTTTAGTTTGTGTTTTTTTAATTAACTTTTATAACAGTCTGAGCACAAGTGAATTGGTAAGAATTACTAAACAATTCACTTAATAAATTCTCTTTCTATTCTATAAAGGGAATTATAACTAGACCTGAAGCCAGCTTTTTATGTTGGCGATGGCAATATTGCAAAAATAATAATAATAATTGGATTGTTTTAAAGGACCACTATAGTGCCAGGAAAACAAGTATGTTTTCCTGGCACTATAGTGCTCTGAGGGTGCCCCCACCCTCAGGGTCCCTCTCCTGCCGGGCTCTAGTGGGTGGAAGGGGTTGAACTTACCTCTTTCTCCAGCGCCGGGCAGGGGACTCTCCTCCTCCTCGGCTAAATGCGCACGGGCGACATAGGAAAGCATTCACAATGCTTTCCTATGGACGCTGGCGTCTTCTCACTGTGATTTTCACAGTAAGAAGCGCGGAAGCCCTCTAGCGGCTGTCAGTGAGACAGCCACTAGAGGCTGGATTAACCCTATTATAAACATAGCAGTTTCTCTGAAACTGCTATGTTTATAGAAAAAAGGGTTAATCCTAGCTGGACCTGGCACCCAAACCACTTCATTAAGCTGAAGTGGTCTGGGTGCCTATGGTGGTCCTTTTAAAAGAGATTCAGTCTACTTTTCCTACAGATGTACAGATGTTATCTAAAGTATTGAGCTATATTATCAGGTATTGACACAGTGAAACAAAATTCTTCCAAGGTCTGCTATCAATCACAGTATTGGCTGATCAGGATAAGTCAGGAAAGTGTTAAGTGCTGGAATACATGTGTTTTCATTAAAAAAAAGGATACAATGAATAAGACAAACAGGGTGATTTACTAAAGTGAGGATTCAAATGAATTTTTGATTTAAGGCCAGAGTAGCCAGACTGAAAGAGTAGCTGATCTAAATAATTATTCCACTTTGAATTCACACATTTGTAAATCATTAAAGTATTTATTTTTTATTTCACTTATAACCACTACTATGTGTGTGCCTTATTGTTTATGTAAGCTTTTAAGAATGCCAAAGTGACACATGGCTGCTTTTAAAGTATATTCCTGTATGTAATATAAACTTGTTTGCATTTTGCTGGAATGTATAATTATATATTTTTTTTCTATGCATGCACATATGTTTATAAATGACTTTGGATCCTACAACCGGGTGTGATGTCTTTACTTTACCATTCCGTAGAATCTAGACAGGCAATGAATGCATACCTATTGCTGCCAATTCTCAAAATCTAACTTTAGGTATATTGACAGTCGGTACAAATATTTTTAAGCAGAATACAGAATACATGTCCTGTGTTTGTGTTACCCTGCACAAATTTAATTTAATGACATGCTTGTACTGTGTTTACTGGTGGAACCAAGATAACGCAGGACAAAAGTGGGACACGGTCGGTAAATGGTGTAGTGTATATATAATACACAAGATCCAGTGCACTCACCTATCCACTAAACAGCAACTGGGGGTGGAAGTACGGGAGCCCGCATGGGTATCACTCTTCGCTCTATCCCACTGCGCACTGTTATCTAAGTGCTAAATCATTGGATGTGCCTAAACTGCTTTTAGCTTTGAGACTTCATAGTCTGTTCCCATGGTTTGTACTGCGGTTGTGTGTGTATGCCGCTACCCCTCATGTACCAGTAGTGTTAAATACGTGTTCTTGTGCAAATACATCCCATCTTGCCTTCCCATCCATGGTGCATGTTGCGGTTGCTATGTGTTTATACGCCATGGCCTCATACTCCCAGTTTGTGATTTGGGTCCCCAGGGCTTGTTTTGTTGGGGCCTGTAGTTTTTTTTCCACGCCCTCGCGAATAGTGGGACTGCAGCAATCAATACCCGGAAAAACAGTTTCCCTTTTATTTTTGTACGGTGTGTGGTATATATAAATAATAAACATTGCTCGAGTGTTAATCTGCAATTGGTTCCTAGGACTTAATTTACCATCCCCATCACTATTACCCAAAACGATCTGATCGCTGCTAAATACGACTTTGACAAAAAGATCGTCAGTGTACGCAACAAGTACTGTAATTTAGGAAGTACCGACATCTTTACTGCAGCCAATCTTCCCAGCCATGATAAATATTTCCCTTCCCAGCCTCGTATCGAATTTGTCATGTTTTGGAGTAATTTAGTTTAAACAGGTGTCAAATATACAAATATTTTTAAGCAGAATACAGCATGTCTTGTGTTTGTGTTACCCTGCACAAATTTAATTTAATGACATGCTTGTGTTGCGTTTACTGGTGGAAGAAAGATAACGCAGGACAAAAGTGAGACACTGTCAGTAAAGGGTGTAGTGTGTGTCTGTGTGTGTGTGTAAATATATATATATATATATGGCTGTCGGTAGGCACTGTTAAGCATGTATATGGCTAGTAAAGGGTGTGTAGTGTCACAAAAATTGCATTATCCTGCTTTTGGTCCTATTTCAAGACATTGGCATGCATTTGTCTCTCCAATAGCCCTATGTTTTAATCTGGGGTTCTGCCTTCAAAACCACACATAGCATTTTCTACTCACTTACAAAGACACGGTGGAAAATGTCCGTTAAGAGGAAATGGATGGATGAATTGAGAAAAGAGAAAGTTGGGTAGCAAAGGCATACCCAACATCTCAAATGAACAAAGATGGACATATTATTTTGTGTGAGCTAGGGCAGGAGGATGGCCTAAGAAATTGTAGGCGACTTACTAATATATGCAACTAAAATGTAATTTACAAAAAGAAAACAATTCTTATTTACACAGACTGATTTCTAAAAACACATCTATTTTAGTTTAGACACATTACTGTATTATTGCTGTGGAACTCTGACACCAAAAATACCAAGATCCTACAAAAGAGGGATAGATGGACTTGGGCCAACAATAGGGACACTTGGGAGGTATGCAAAGACACTTGCAGACTAAGATGGATAGAAAGACACTGGAAAAAGAACTGACAGAAAGAAGGAAAAGAGGAACTGGCAGGAGGAGAAAGAGGTGGGGAAAAAGATTTAAAGGAGATGTGGGGGACATGCGAGGGTGCCTAGAGAAATAAAACTTACAGCACCAACCCTGTCATATGTGCGCATTTGAGAGAAAAAAATGTTTATAGCCGATATAGAAATTGACCAACTGGATTAGCCGTATTATGCCGATAGATAAGATGCCAAAGTACAGTATGCAACGATACTTTTTTTTAATTGGACTAACATTGTACTTAAAGGACCACTATAGTGCCAGGAAAACATACTTGTTTTCCTGGCACTATAGTGCCCTGAGGGTGCCCCCACCTCCCGCCCGGCTCTGGAAGGGGGAAAGGGGGAAAATCTTACCTTTTTCCAGCGCCGGGCGGGGAGCTCTCCTCCTCCTCTCATCCCCGTCGGCTGAATGCGCACGCGCGGCAAGAGCTGTGCGCGCATTCAGCCGGTCGCATAGGAAAGCATTATCAATGCTTTCCTATGGACGCTGGCGTGCTCTCACTGTGAAAATCACAGTGAGAAGCACGCAAGCGCCTCTAGCGGCTGTCAAGGAGACAGCCGCTAGAGGGAATGGGGGAAGGCTTAACCCATTCATAAACATAGCAGTTTCTCTGAAACTGCTATGTTTATAAAAAAAAAAATGGGTTAACCCTAGCTGGACCAGGCACCCAGACCACTTCATTAAGCTGAAGTGCTCTGGGTGCCTAGAGTGGTCCTTTAAATGACAAGCTTTCAAGAGCTTTTCTCTCTTCCTCAGGTCTGAGACAATAGCACAGGAAGAGGGGGGAAAAAAAATACCTTTGAAAGCTTGCCTTTTAGGTTCTAGGTTAGTCCAATAACAAAAAGGTTTATAAAGTATCACTGTTTAGTAGATATATCCCCTATTAAAACACGCATGCATTTAATAATGCATTTTTCCCATTGGGGGTATATTTTAAAAACGCTTGCAAAAACTTCAGATCTCTTGTCTGCTGCCTTTACAAGCTCTCCCCTTCTAACCCTGCCCAGACTTTGACTGTTCAATCGTAGACTTCCCAATGCAACTCACTCAGAAGGCAGTTGCTCCAGGTCACTGCCGTTGTCTTAAATTTAGCTCCACTGAGCTAAACAACCAGGAAGTAACAGGACCGATTGACAGAAAGGGTTTGTTTAAATCTTTAATTTTACATTTACACTTTGAGACACTCTTCACGTAAAATATTTCACCTAGCAAAAGTGCTTTAAGGAGACTGGAGTATCCCTTTAAGAACCAATGGCTTAGAAAGAACGCCGAATGATATCATGTGGTCAACAAACATAATACCTTGGAACTAGCTGTATGATATTCGTAGAAGGAATTGGGAAAATTAGCAAAATATGCTACTGATCAGTCGAGGATGAAACGTAGCATACTAGTAAAATCAGTTTGAAATACCTACTTCAATGCCATTCCATTATTTCTGTGAGGACGTTACAAGTGACATTCTAAAATGGGCAAATGATACCTTCTATTGCTTAACAATCCAATGTCGTTATATTTTCATTTTAAAAACAAGCTTAAATTTATTTATTTTTATGAGAAAGTCACATTAAATCATCAGTTCCCCTCTCAGACATGTGACTGTATATTTCATAATTGTCTATCAATATATTCATACATTCAGTTTAATAAAGTATATTGCCAATAACAATTTGCATCTTATAAACTGCCAGTTAAGGTATAGTTATGTGCGTCTTGGAAACTTGTATAATTGAAATGTGCCCCAGGGTAGGAAGTATTACTGATAGTGTTTCAATTTTATAATAACAAGCTACTAATATGAATATTGATGGGAGATATGTCCACTTTATAGTAAGCAAACTCCACTGCATTGAGACAATGTATCCATTTGAATAAATCACACATGGGACTGTATTATGCTTTATGCAGAATGGTATTTATTAAATGCTGACATTTAATAAAATGCGTACCGATCAAAAATAAATAATTTACACAAACATATAAAAACAAATAAAATGTTATAAAAATATACTGTTTATAAAATGTATAAAAGAAGGTTCAAAAAGGCATCAGTTGGAACATCATTTTTTAGGCTTGAATTTTGATCCCTTTTTCGATGTCTTGCTGTTCCTCATCTTCAAATACAAAAATGGCCTCTGGGGAAATAAATAAACAATACATAGGTTTTTGTATAGCAAAGCATAGTAGAACATATATAAAAAAAAAGAAAGAAAATACAGTAGAACGCTATACATTAAATTTTTAATGTCCACTCTGTCATGCTTTTTATTTATCAATATCAGAAATAATGCATGCCTGGTTGTATTAGATCTTAATCCCTTTAAACTCTGATGAATGTAGTTAGGAAAACTATTCCCAAACTGCCAACCACATTCTTCACAGCAAATGATTGGCTAATGTCTGGTACAATGTTGGGATATCATATTGCTTTTTGTTGGCTACTTTGTAGCAATTGCTGACATTAAGAGGGGCATTCCAAGTATCGGAAGCATTTGATGGCTTATGGTACGTTATATTGTGCATAAAATCCTATCTACATTGTGCTAGAAAATTTATATTTTTAGAGGGAAAAACAAACTATTTAACAATGGGCTTTTCTCTCAGCCGATCGTCCATGCCTAGGCATTGACCACAGGAGGCCTTTCTTCTCTCCTAAGCATAGCAACCACAGCACATGCATTGTGGTTGCTATGGAAACTCCCTGCCTGGTTTTCTAGGGCTGGCTAAGGAATATAGGAACGAAGGTGTTCCTTGCTTCCCCAAGCAGGGCAAACAAAAGAATACAACAGGTGGTAACGGAGGAAAGTCTGGGGGTGGTTGTAACATGAGTAATGTCAACAAAGCAGAGCTGGAACGGAGGAAAGGTGAAGAATTCTCTATATTTTTACACTGAATACTTTATAATATATGTTGTATTCAATGTATAGGAGAGCAATTTCAGGTACATTTATTTTTTTACAACAGGTTCACTTGAAGCAGCAGACTGTACAACTGTAGCTATGATAAATTCTAGCATGTTCATCAGAGCGCTTTACAGTAAATCTCACTATATTTCAAGTGATGTCATACCTTCACTGTGATCTAGATCTGGACGGCAAGACAGGAAAAGCCAGGCCAATCCAACCAAAAGAGCAACTACCAGATTTACCACGATCCATGGCTGAAGGATCTGCGTTTCAGTATCTGCCTGCCTGAGGAGAAAAAAAAACAAAAAACAGCAGCAGTCATTATTAATGAGGCTATATTACAAACACAGAGGAGCTTCGGTCTTCAGTGTGAAAAAAAAAATAAGCACTTTATTTGAGCAAGAAGTGTTATGATACTCCTGAATAGGCTTCTTAAAGTAAACCTGCCGTGCTAATATGACAGTGTCCATGGATATTCAAAGACATTCTAATAAACGTCCTGCAAGGGGAGAGAGGAAAGATATCCGTCTTTGGTCTAGCTTTCCTGGAGTGACAGTATTGGTTGTCTGCATATTACAGTATTAATTTATCTGAGCGATGTATGTGTGCGTGACACCCTCACAGCACCACTTGATTGGAAGGAATGTTGGAGCACAACCTGGACTACCCAAACATCATGAATCAATCACGTTATCTGCCTCTGGAAGCAATGCGGAGGTAAATGTGCTTTATAATTCCCTCCGCTGCACTGATTTCCCAAGTAAAACAATTCAATAGCATTTAATGGGGTGAAGGAAGGAGGACCCGAGGTTAAAGAAGAATTGACACTTCTTAGAGAAGCAGAGCATTGACCATTTGACCATGGTGGAAGCTCTTGGCACTTTAGATGTCCTCAATCTAAAATGTCCACAACACTCAGCCAACCATAAAGCACAGTGGGAAATTTAGTGATATGTTCCAAGTCTTCCCTCAGCCCGTCCCTCTGAAGAGAGGGGAAGTGAGGTCACCAGATGAAAATCAGGCTGCCAGAAGAACTTGCCGGCAGTGTGGGATTTAAAGGTAATATTTTATTTATTTATTTCAATGGGAGTGAGGGGGAGTATCATGACTCCAAGGTTTACTCCAGCCAAAACCCATGTTTTGGTTGGAGTAAAAAGTTCAGCTATTTGCCTAAAAGGCATTTGCTCTCATATGAACAAGCTCCCTCTTGTGGATGCTTATTATAGCAGCACTTTGCTTATAATATATCTGTGACAGCTACATTTCAAGTAATCTAGAGATGAATAATCTTTTTTTATATATATTTTTTTCCTTTTCAAGAATAAAATAGGAGTTTAAAAATGGGCAAAAGCAAATCCTTGTATATAGCAAGCTTTGATTCACCAACTGGTTCTTAACACACTTTGTTTGTTTGAATGTTTATCACCAATTTAAAAGGTTAGTCCGAGGTTAATGTATCTGCACATTATTTTTGTAGTGGCTGATACTGCCAATGTGGAACCTGAAATCAATATGGCTGAATATTACACTCCGAATACCTGAGAAGCAACTAAAAAATGTTAAGCTAAAATGGCAGAATGTTATACAATCTCCCAAGAAAAAAAATCAACAAAAATGGGAATTTGTAGCCATTTAGCCTTAATTTTGAAAGCTGATTTTCAAGGGACAACAACTCACTGTTCAGGCAGTAAACTTCTTTATTATTTGCGCAAGGTTCTGTAATATAGAACTGTAGACTTATTTTCTAAAGTAAAGGTGCAGAGAACCTCGGCCATTGCAGTTTGTAGGAAACATATTTATGGAAACGTCTTTAGGCCATTGTAAAATTCTTACCATAAGCTGCCATTCTCGGTTGGTGGTGTGTAAAAGTTAATCCGATCACTTGTCATCTGTTGACTTAGGGCCAGGATTATTGCAGCAAAATACACTAAAAGATTTAAAATAAATAAATATGAACTATTGCCACAAATCACAGGTCATTCAGGAAGCATTTATTAAAGGGGCATAGCAAGGACCATAATCACTACAGCCAGGGTCAGATTAACATAGGGGCTGATGGAGCTGCAGCTCCAGGCCCAGGCCCAGGCCCATTAAAAACATATTTTATTTATTTATTTATTTATTTATTTTTTACACACTACTCTTGGGTTTGCCACCTGACTGGTATTTTACCAGCAGAGCCAGTATTTGAGGCTGCCTGGCTGGTGCCAATATTGCAGTCATACTGGCAATACAAATGCAGATATTTTTCTCAGTATAAATGGAGATTACTCTGCAATACCAGCACCAGCCAGTAGGAGTCACTGTGTGTGGAGAGAGGCAGGGATAGGAAGTTACAGCATATTCTTCCCTGCCTCTCTCTACTCACTGATCCACGGGGGGAGCAACTACACAGCACAGAGAGTTCAGACAGCAGCTCCCAGTCTGCAGACAAACTACAGTTTAGGGAAGTGAAGGATGGGGGGAGGGGGGAGGCAGCAGGGAAACTAGAGGACACTGTAAACATAGGGAAATTGGGAGACACATTGGGGCATGTAGACACTAGGGACACAATGTCTCCCAGTGTCCCCATGTCTCCCAGCCTATGTCCCTAGTGTCTCAGTGTCCCCATGGCTCCCAGGGTCCCCTAGTCTCCCAGTGTCTGTGTCCCCATGTCTCCCAGTGTCCACAAATATCTGTCTCCCAGCCAGTGTCCCTAGTGTCTCAGTGTCCCCATGTCTCCCAGTGAAAGATGTGGGGAAAGGCTGGGAAATGAAGGATGGGGGTGGGGAGGCAGCAGGGCAACATAGGGACACTGAGACACTAGGGGGCACAGACACTTGGGGACACTGTGAGACACAGTGGTTGGAGTAACATTGGGACACGGAGACACTAGGGACACAGTATCTCCATGTCTCCCAGTGTCCCCATGTCTCCCAGCCAATGTCCCTAGTGTCTCAGTGTCCCCACGGCTCCCACTGCCCCCTAGTCTCCCAGTGTCTATGTACCCATGTCTCTCAGTATCCCTAGAGTCTCATTGTCCCCATGTCTCCCAGTGTCCCCAAATATGTCTCCCAGTGTCCACATGTCTCCCAGCCAGTGTCCCTATTGTCTCAGTATCCCCATATCTCCCAGCCAGTGTCCCTAGTGTCTCAGTCTCCCAGTGCTCCCACATTTTTCAGTGTCCCCATGTCTCCCAGTGTCCCCAAGTGTCTGTGTCCCCATGCCTCCCAGCCAGTGTCCCTAGTTTCTCAGTGTCCCCATGTCTCCCAGTGTCCCCTAGTCTCCCAGTGTCTGTGTCCCCATGTCTCCCAGTGTCCCCATGTCTGTATCCACAAGTGCCCCTATGTCTCCCGGTGTCCCCAAGTGTCTCAGTGTCCCCTGGTGTCCCACTATGGTCACATGTCTCTCAGTGTCCCCTAGTATCCTAGTGACAAGGGAAACATTGAGACATGGGGACAAATGAGGACACAGACACTGGGAGACTAGGGGACACTGATGCTAGGCTGGCCTTCCAATTCTTTGGACAGACATGCCCCCTTTTTTGGCATGTTCGCCCCTTTTGGCAGTTCTGGTCACGTGATTCACGTCAGTGACCCACCCTTTTACCCCGCCCATTGACTTCCTGCTTCACTGGACACTGCTGTTAGAGGGTATGGATTTACTTGAAAGATGAAAGCATAAATTAGATAAAGAGATTAGCATACAGCATTTTCTTATAGCTGCATCCTTCGAGTTTCCCTCCAACACCATCTCCATCAGATACATGACGCTTGGGAGGTATGACTGTTTTAGTGTTTTTGGTCGAGAAGATTCTGTAATTAGGCCCCATCATAACTGTCAGCACCAGGCCCACTGGGCTCTTAATCTGGCCCTGACTATAGCTCTTTGTCGGACTCTTTGAGAGGCATTACCCCAAACTTTATGCAATTCTTTTTTTGTAATTGTGTGTGTTCCACATAACTGCAGAGGGGGAGCACTATGGGTGCTTAGGAGAGATCGTTTTTTTGTCAAACTGTTCCCAAAAGGAGTATGACAGAAAACTGGAAGACAGCACTAAAACTACAATAAGTTTAATAAAATAAATAAATAAAATTCTCTCTCTCAACCCCAATAAAGCTCATAAAATGTAGTTAAAACAAACTTTTTAAACAAATTATTATTTTTTTAAATGAAAATAATGGGGGTTTAGTTACTGTACATGATCATACATGTTATGTACGTCAACGTACCCCATTTTTGGAAGATCCTATGCTAGCACACTAATACCTGCTGTTATAAGCCTGCCACAAGGTATGATCATTTATTAATTATAAATGATAATTAGATCCTGGTTATTTATTTTATTTTTTTATTTTGTTAGGCGTTTTCTGAACTTTGAAGTTGGTCTTTAGTGAGTGAGTGCATGCACTGGATCTTGTAGATTGTAGAAAATTGTGGAACTGTAGCAGAATGTTATACAAAAAACTAATCTCTCCAAATTGGACTTGAGATAAGAGAATTAAACGAAAATGCAAATATCACAAATGCTAAATAATCGGTCTTAAATAAGACCATGCATAAAAGGCATACATCAATAACATATTACAATTATTTCATAGTCACAGATTTGCCTTTAAAATTAAAATAATATATAGATAAATCAATAATTTGGGGATGACTTAGAAGCAGAGCACTTACAGAAGGAAGCCACAGCAGACTGATCTAGTGTAAGAAATCGGTGCAGTGCAGCTGAGGCGCTTGCCAGATCAATCCTAGAATGATAAAAGTACAATAATATTAGCTGACCAAAATAAAAACATTAGAAGTAAATATATAAAAGAACAAAGGCTTACTGATAAAGTAAACAACCTGTCGAAGGCTGAGATGGTGCTGAGAGCCAACAGGAAATATAAGAAGCACTGGGATGGATATGCCAGTCCTTTGTAAACCTGGAGCAAGTTAGAAGGCGAGGAAAGCTGGGTACCCGAAAGCACATAGATCACAACGATATTCCACACGGTGTAACCCGCGAGAAATCCGCTGCTAAACAGCCCGATCACCCTGCAAATCAGGCTCGAGGTTAGACACATTGCTTATTATTCTGCTAATAGAAACCAAACCGAATGTGTTCACATATACCTGAAGACTCGGTGTACTGAAAGAGAGACATCCATACTGGTCCAAGTTGGTTTAACATCCATGAAAACATCCACTTTGTCGGCAGTTTTAATGATGCTGGATCGACTGGCTGCTTGAAACCTCCCTAAATTAGCAATGAGAACACTAGGTTGAGAAAAATACATCGAGACACTGTCCCACAAACCCTGCTGAAATCAACAGGTAACAATGTGAATGTAAAGGAATGTTGCAGAAAAGTAGCAATGCTGTAACAAAAATGTACATATATAAAATAAAAAAATAAATAAAAAAATAAAAAACCCAACAAGGAATAAGAATTAAACAGTGATTTGCTCAGAAATTTTATTGCAGGATAAAGTGCTGAAATCTACAATTCCTCATCTATGGAATTCTACAAACTTACGATTCTTCTCTACAAACAGTTTGCCCACAGGCTGGCTGGCCAAGGATGGTGATATATATACAGGATGTGGCTCTGGTGTCTGAATCTGCCCATCAGGAATGATATCTTCTTCTTCGACACCAAGTTCGTTGGGATATTCCTCAGGGGGACGAGTTTTTCTGTAGAAGAGGATAATGGTCACTGCACCAAAACACAATGAATTTTACCATACTAGAAAGGTGGTTGTGTCTACCATGTGATAAATAGAACATAGGCTTTCAATTTTTTAGGTCTCCGTATATTTTCTTGACTATTCGCTTGTCCTACAGTAAAGATTTTCACAGCTTTAAAGAACAATATTCTATTTCATTAAACCTTTTACCACTTGTTTAGATATCCTGTTTTGCTCTATTGACAGTTTTTATCTTCCCGGTAAAAAATTATAAAATGATAATTTTACCATGTAAAATTGAATTATAATGCTACACATGTATCATTTATTTATTTATTTTTGCTCCAAATTCTTTTTTTAAAAATGTTTTGGGTGGGAGAGGGGTGGGGGCACCAACCGTAACCAACAGATCATAAGTCTATAGCAATATAACTACTGCAATAACCCATGGTAATGGTGATTGTGTGGCTTAGAGAGCCTATTTAAGGTAAATTATAAATCACAGATTTTTGTACATGTAAAATTAAAGGAATTCTACTAATGGAATACTTGTCTTGGAAACATACCCAGCGGTTTCATAAATATCTGATTTTTCCACACCACCTACAAATCATTGTATCCAAAAACAAAGTCAAGACTATATCTACCAAGTAGGGATCGACCGATATTGATTTTTTAGAGCATATACCGATAATTTGCAAATTTTCAGACCGACAGCCGATAACAATATTATGTACATTTACCGTTTTGAAAAGAGAAACCATTTCTACACAAATCTACAGTTAACTGAACAGGTTTATTAAAAAAAAAATTCTGCACATTTTTTTTTATTAAGTGGTAAATGCACAAAATAATACATGCCAGTCAGATTTTTTTGTTTCAAGAATATTTAGTATTCCTCTCCCTTTCCCCTCCCCTCCCTTCGTGTACCTCTCCCCTCCCTTCCATGTCCCTTAGTGTTCCTCTGCCCTCACCTCCTCTCCCTGTCCCTTAGTGTTCCTCTCCCTTCCCTGTTCCATAGTGGTCCTCTCCCTCCTGTCCTTTAAGGTGTGTGTGTGTCCACCTTAGTGGTCCTCTCCCCTCCCTGGTGTGCCTCATTACCTCTCTTTTAGCATGACCGAGCGCAGTGGACCGCGGTACAGGTGTTTCTGTTTCCTGTACCCGGCAGGACTAACAGGAAGTGCTCTCTCAGTGAGCACTTCCGGTCCTCTCTGCTCCGCTCAACCACACTACACTTTGAGACTGGTAGGGGGAGCGCTGTGTACCTCCTTCCTGTGGGTCACTCAATTCATGCGTCCCCCGAGGCAGTGTGCCCCAAGACGGCCGCCTTATGGACGCACCGGCCCTGCATGCGCTTGGCCACCACCGCCTCTCACATTTGCCAAAATCCAGAATATCGGCCAGACCGATCATTGTTCTATCCCTACTACTAAAAACAGGCTCATATTCAACTCTGCGATAACTAAACTGCATAGAGACATTTCCTTGTTCAATGCAAGGTTGGGATAGTCAGTTTGTGTAACATGTGTACCAACATAATAAGCACAATCTAAAAGCAGGATATATTGGAGTATGCACTGTTTATTTAATACAAACATAATGTACATATAGTAAATGAAGATCTATCACATGCAACCAAGTTACAGGAACAATTCAGAGTGGATTAAATAACATTTTCCCCTTTTAAATATTAGAGGTAATTCTCACCCACAATGTTCCTTTTGCAGAAATACTACTATTGGCTGTAGGCCAATCCTTGTACACTATTTATTTATTCTAGTAAAGCAAGTATGCCATAAACGTCTGCATTGAAAGAAAGAACAGTGGTGGATGTGTATACACAGAGAGCTACCAGCTACTTGCATTGCGTTTAGATTCCTCCAACACCAACGTCTATATTTGTGCGCTGCATGCATGCAAGCACTTCTGTAGGTATCCCATAAACTACAGTTAAATTTCCCATTTGCTTTAACAAGAAAAAGCTACACAGGGGTTATGGGAAACATACAGTGTCTACCTTATCTTAGAATGGGAATGGGAGACAAGCTGGGAAAGACAGTTTTTAAGATGATGTAGTCTTTTTAATTGCTCTGGCTGCCCTTTTGTGCAGAACAAATTCTCCAATATCTAAGGTACTCAAATGGTTCTACATGACTTGAAAAGTAAGCGTTTCTTTTCAGACCTCACCAACCTATATTTTTTTAGCACTCACTTGGCTCTGCGACGTGGCTTGCGAGCAGTGCTCTCCTCTGTCGGCTGGTACTCATTACCATTCTGTACTACAGATCCTCTGGGAAAACTTGGCTCATTGAATGAAGTTTCAGACTCTGATGATGAAACAAAGCACATAATGTTTACATTTCCTTAAACAAAGAACACAGATTGCACATTTGTGTTGCTATTAAAAATAATATATATAACAGACGGGCATTGAAACCTCTGAAAAAAGTCCAAGTTGGACTGAAACGTTGACTGTACCTTTGCAGAAATAAAGGATATATTGCACAAGACTATAAGCCCTCTGAGTGCATTTTTCCCCTGTGCAGCATGTTTAATGTTAATGCGGTAACAGGGTAATCAGTGATACTGTGCATGTAATGGATTTATCTGGGATGGAAGCCAAACTGAGTGCAGGCACGAGCTAACTGTGCTGGGTGGTGATAATGGAGACAGCAGCCACCAACCCACTAAAATCAAAGGTTACCTAGTAATCTAAACCGTTACTCTGGTTTATTAACTCTGACAATTACACTGTTACATATCCCAATAAGGAACTAAGGGAGACATGCTCCGCTTTACCTCCTACCTCTGAAGAAGCAAACCTATTAACCTACAACACTTTATATGAATGCAACTAGCCTGATCATACAGACCACAAACTACATTAGTATGCAATATATTGAACTCAAACATGGGAAATGAAAAATTGGAAGATTAAAAAAAAAAAAAAAAACACACACATTTGCAAAAACACAGTAGAAATGCCCATGAAATCACAGTACTATTCTATAAGTTTCTTCAATAATGTGATTCTATGACAGACAAAAGCAGAACTTAATATGCAGATCTTTTGTCTGAAGACTTCGACAACTTTTCCGTTCTTCCTCAACCCAGACTTTCTGTGGTGTCCAATTATAGGTAATTGAAAAGTCTCTGGGCAATAGCTGCCTTTCACGATTAGCTCCACTGAGCTAATTAAACCAAGCAGTAACAGGACCAGTTGTCCGATTGGTTAATTTAGAAAAATACTAATTTCTATTGAAATCCCCCTTCCCGATACACCGGGGGGCAGAATTAAGCTGCCATGCTGAGGTTTCGCACTGGAGATGAGCTCCGTGCAAAAGCTCTCTCAAACGGCCAGAATCAGGGCACAAACTCACCAAATTGACAACTAGGTGACCTGGAGAAGGGAGCCCTAACACTGCAGAACCAAGCAACAAGCATCCCGACCAAAATCGGAGGCTCCAAACTGGGGATCGACCAGAGGCCTACTAGAGGCCTACGCAGACAAAGCGATAGACTACAACCACTTACCTGGAGGTCTCACCGGAAAGGGATATCCCGGCAACTTAAGCCTGGAACACAGCGAATCAACTACAGAAGTGACTGTCCAGCACAGCCGGAACAGCACCAGCACCCATCGGGTCACTGGGAAGCAGCTAAGATGGCCACCCAGCGAAGGCCACAAAAACAAAGCACACATGCCCAACCAACCTCGAACCCCCTGGGGGAATGCGACCGATTCTGCGTGAGCCTCTGGACCATGCTGAGCAACCGTGGAATGGCTCACTGTCTGGCGGTGAAACTAGTGGCCACATGGCTCCGTCCAGTGACCCGGCGGCGCCATTATAGGTATCCACTACAAGCAACCAGAACGGCAGCCAGACCCTGCAAACACCGACGAGCCCACGGGTGGAAAATGCCACTATGCTGCAGGAGCGACCACACTGGTCCCCACACTCGCGAGAACGAGACTACCAAACCAGCCTCCCACATAAGCTACTCAACGGCTCCGGGAACCAGCGTCCAGCAAAGCTCACCTCCATCCCTCCAAGTCACAGCTGCAAACCGGGGAGCTGCACGGCTGAACACCCCACTGAACACCACTGGAGCTGGGCCCCAGTTCGGGAACGCCTTCAAGGAGACAAACGCTGACGACAAGAGACATGTCCATGCACTGGGCATCGGCTGAAGAGCCTACCTCTGTGCCTCTCAAGTAAACATGCCACACTTGCATCTGGAGGGCACGTTCACAGCCGGCAACAACTATCGACATATGGACTACCCACACCTCGTAAATATAAATATCACTGCATAGACTAAATGTTTTAAGTGGACAGTGCTGGCCAAACATATAGCCTAGCTACACAGAGATGCCGTAAAGTATGCCATAGACTACCTCTTGTTATTTTTTGTTTAGTTTAGGACCAGATAGTCTAAGCTCTCATCTGCGATTCATAATCACCTTTGTGTCCACTTGTAGTTAAGGTGCAGCAGATTAGCATGTTACCACATACCCAGCAGCAAAATAGTCTAATCGCAATAGCCTGAGCCACGAATTAGTATTTTGGTACAACATTTATTGCACTGTTCCAAGAGATGCCTCAATATTGTTTTAATGATGTTTTATAGATACACAAGCGAGAACTACACTGTTGAAATAATAATCCTAATAACCTAAAATATGTGCCTGACTAGCATATGTCACAACCTGTATTGCAAATGTTTTTCAACCTATCCCAACGTCGCTGTTGTGGCGCACCAGGGCTACTTGTTACTATTGTGCACAACAAAAATAAAGAATTAAAAAAATAAAAAAAAAGGGGGGGGAAATCCCCCTTCCCCTCATTTTATAAAAAGGACAAACTCCTCACACATAAAGCATTTCAGCAAGCTAAAAGTGCTTTAAGGGTCTAGAGTGTCCTTTTACCTGGTGTACCACTGCAGGCTGTTTTACAGATACTAAGAAGATTTAACCCATGGCTTCCCAGACACTGTTCACCTCATAGTTCTTCGTTAAAGGTAACCAAATTAACCCTCACCATGCATCCACTACTACCATCACATTAATTAACCATATTTTGACAATTAATAAAAAACATTTTTACAATGGATAATGAATCATAGACACTAGACATGACAGTACCTATTTAAAAAAAAAAAAAAAAATTCTACCTATTGCTTAGTTTGCGTTATTTTTCTGTTTGGTACTAACTCACCTTGGGGCAACTTCTTTTTTTTCCTCTTTCGTTTTTCTGGCGTTAGAGGTTCTGTGCTCTCAGAAGCCCTAAATGCTGTTCCTTGCAAGATATCCTCTGCACAAAATGCATAATCAGAGACACAACATTTACTTGTGAATATTTTCCAAGACAAAAATTACAAAAGGACACCAAATGTATATATGAGTATATCCATTTATATTTTCTCCTTATTAATGGAACACTATAGTCATCAAAACAACTTTAGCTTAGTTGAGTAGTTTTGTTTTTATATATTATGCCCCTGCAGTGTCACTGCTCAATTCTCTGCCATTTAGGAGTGAATTCATTTTGTTTGTGCAGCTCTAGTCACACCTCCCTGCACATGACTTACACAGCCTTCCTAAACATTTCCTGTAAAGAGTCATCTAATGTTTATACCTTCTTTATTGCATAGTTTGTTTAATTTATCATTTCTGATATCCTGCTCTATTAATAGACCCCGCAGGAGCCTCATGTGAGTGATTAAAGTTCAATATGTTCAGATATCTTTGGTACAGTTTGTACTGAAGGTTACTCCATTAATGACAGCCAATATGCAGTTTAATTTAATTTAGGCAGGTGATCTGACTACCTAGAATAGTGATAATTTTCTGGACTGTATTTGATTTGTAGATTTAGTTTATTTTTACAGATCATCTATTTGTAGACGAATTAGACCACCAATTCCATTAAGAAATGCACACACTTTACTCTCAATTTAAGACAATGGCTACCATAGGCACCACAACTGCTTACAATTAAAATGTTCCGTGTTGTTCCTACCAACTTAATAGGGTACCCACATAAGCCATCTCCGTGGTTCAACTATAGCCAATATTCCGACACAAAAAAATAATGTCATCAAGGCATTCTGGAAATACCACGTGACCATTAGGTTCATGGTTTACAAATATCGCCAGAATAACTCAATGATATTATTTTCCCCTAACACGAACATCATTACTATGCTTGATGTAGTGGTTATGATGCTTTGGGTGTTCCTTTAATTTTTACATTGATCAAAACAATATTCTTCTTCTTGAGAAAAGATGGCCACTGATCTCTCTCTCTCTCTCTCTCAGCCCACATGCTGCTACCGGAGAAGAAGTCTACTCTGATTCTACGCAAACAGTTAGCCCCCTGGCAACAACGGTTTAACATTTGATTTTTCTGTGGTCCCATCACCTTCAAGCAGCCCTGTACTTGAATGTCCTAATTTTGTACGAGACTTGGGTTAAACCATGCTATACTTGTAACAGGGTTTGCTCATATTGCACAGGGACATGGTTTTTAATACATAATTAGAAACAGTTATCTGCAAATTTAAAATAAAACGAGAGATATTTACCTGATGTGTTGCTTGCTTTAGGTTTTTTCTTCTTAGGCCGACCAAGTGGAATTTCATCTTTAAAGTAAAATATAGTTACAATAAATGAAAAGGCCACAAAATGTAAAGGGGGCGGGGGGAAGGGGAGAGAGGAGGAGGACAAGCTGTTATAAACACAACATCTATTTAAATAACGTAATTTCATACACTATATACTTACCCTGAGGTGTACTTTAATCACAGAAGGGGTACAATGCAAACATGAAAAAAATAAATGAAAAAGCAATGTGAAAATTGTGAATTCAGATTAGTTCTGATAGATATTACTGAGACATTGTGCAGCTCACAGATATGGTAATAGCCATCACTAGCAAAATGGTTGTAGCATACACCACCAAAATATTCAACAAAAAAGTAAAATTCCATGTACACATTTGCTAGCAGTATGTATAGTATTGTTATCGTTAAGTGGCATTTTTGCACATTTGTAACAATTTAGTTTTAAATTCATGTGTGCTCCAAAATTAAAAGGACCATTTTGTAGAAAATATATTATACATTTCCACATGTTCGTGTTACCTCTAAACAATTTAATGATTAACCTATATAAAAATTATTATTATTTTTTTTTATAAACTAGAACTTTCAAACATGTTTATCCAGTCAAATGCTGGCTAATATGCCAATATATATATATTTATTCACAGTGAAGTTAACAGCAAGAATGCCAGAGACTCAGGGCTGGATTAATATAGGGGCTACTTGAGCTGTAGCTACAGGCCCATGCCCATAGAATAGGCCCACTGCCTGCTAGTAAGAAGGGATGGGGTGGACTAAACAAGTGAGTGCTGGGAGACACAATGGAACTGTCCCCAGAAAGCGTTTAGCGAGTGCTTCATTAGAAATCTTTGGGCACTGAAACAGCTCTGTCTGCATGGCCAGTCCTTAGTTGGCCAGCCTGCGTGATTGGCAAGCACCCTGGCATGCATTCACACTAGGATGAACTTACAATTCTTCACCCACTCTTGCACCCTTTCTGAGGAGCCTGTATCTCTGGGCAGAGCCAGTGACGCGATTCACATCACTAACCCACATCCTTTTAACCCGCCCACCAACATCCTACTTCACAGAAGTCCGATGTTGGGGCTATGGATTTGGTTGAGAGATTAGCATAGTGTATGTGTATTCTAAAGCATGCATCCTGGGAGTTTCCCTCCAGCAGGTATATGACACTTAGGAGGTATGACTGTTTTAGTGTTTTTTTTCGGTCGATAAAATTCTGTAATTAGGCAAATCGTAATGGTCAGTCCCAGGTCCAATGGGGTCTTAATCAGGCCCTGCAGAGACTGATGCTCACAGCTTCCCTGACATAAAATAAAATGATATTTGGTACAGCCAACATAGAGACATACCTTGGCATGGGAGGAAGCACGCGTGGTGCTGACTGCGAGAGTGAAGACGGGAAAAAATAAAGAAACAAAAAAAAAAAGGATTAAATATCACTAGAATAAATATTCATTACGTACAGAAAAAATTATATCTGAAAAAATATCCAAACTGGCAATTGTGGCCCAAACTATGCAAATTAGTTTTTCAATTCACTATTGATTGGAAAACCCTCTTAATCTGTTTAACAGCATTTGTCATGACTCGCAGTGCAGATTAAACACGCCACGAAAGATCAATAGGCTCGGTAGAAAGATTAGGCTAATCACTTATTCTTTAATTAACATTGTATGATGTGCATAAAAATAACATAATTAATATTAATACACTTAACGAAAAAAAAAAGTATCAAGTAATTGTCTTTCGTCACATGTAAATAGAGATGCTATGCACAAGGGAATATCATGGAAAGATTATTGCAAAAAGGCAATAAAAAATATATTTTTTATTTTTTTATTTTACCATTCCTTTAACATACACACCATCATTCTGGCAGACCATACATTACATTTAAGATGGTGTAAATATGGACAGAGATAGACCATTCATCCTCAAAGAGTATGCAACAGGATAAACAGAAAGAATGTGGGGGACATGTTAGCGATAACAACCCCCTCAGTCAGATTGATTTAGCTCCATTGATTGCAGCAACGTATAATTCCATTCATATTATGATCACTGGTGTATCGGGAACTTCCTCCTCAATACTACATCAGAATTATTCACTAACCGTGTTATTTACTAAACCGTGATTTTTTGGGAACTCAAAAAGTGAATTAGAATTTTAAAACTTCCATTTTGGTCTTACATTTAATTCCCAACATTTTCACTTCAAAGAATAACACTGTTAATTGCAAAATGTAGCAAATTAAAACCGGAAGGCAAAATTTAGGCAAAAATAATTGGTCTGTAAAAAAAAAAAAAAAAAAAGTTAAAAAATAAATACTTTTTTTTTTAATAAACGTCAACTCAACTATAGTCACAGCTTGGCTAATTCATCCTACATTCAGATCATAATTTGCCACATTATGGAGTTTAGTGATGAATGCTGTAAGAATGTCCCCATAAATATGTGTTTCTGAGGTACCCCCAACATAAAAAAAGTCAATAGAGCAGTTATTGGAGATTCTTGACATAATATAATATATGACATTTCTCCAGGCCCTAGTAACAGTAAATAAAACACCCACATGCTCTTTCTGTCCTTTTGCAAAATAAAGATAATAAATGCAAGAGACAAGAGTAAACACTATGATATAGTACACTTCTCTTTTCAGTAGATTTTTGACAATTGTAGCCCGCAAACTGTTGCAGGGCGACAACTCTTCAAGGCTGGCAAAGCATCATGGGAGTAGTCATTCTACAACCGTTTGGGAGAAACTGCTCGGCCACACCTCCTCTAGTCAATATTAGGTTTATAAACCTGTTTCATTACTCACTGTCTGAAAGATAATCGATAATTTATCTATTGTAAATATCGAGGGTTCTATTACTGAAAAACTTACCATTCGCTTCTTTCTCTTCATCAAAAGTCAGTATCCATGTAGGATGAAGGACAGTTCCTTTACACAACACTGCTAAACCATATCCTCTTAAATCTCCCACAGAAATATCCCTCAAGATAAACTCTCGGATTACAAGGGTTAGGACCTTCTGTCCTTTGTGCATAGGTCAGAGCATTTATACAACAGCGTGTGACTAAATCCCAAGCACAACAATGGTTGTGTAACTCTTACTGTGCCAGACATATTCACCAACAAAATTTTACAGAATAGCCATGAGAACATGCTTGCGGTTTATAGTGATACCTGTAGTAACCGGCCAAGTTGTCTGCCATTCCTGGCCTTCACATAGCTTTTAACAAGTTGTAGATATGGTAGTAGGTGTTAATTGAATACATTTAGCATTAAACATACTACACCAGATAAAATAAATTGGGAAAAGACAAGGGGTTTTACTCACTTAAGTAAGTGTTTATTAGTGATGTCCAGAACGGTTCGCCACGGACGGCGAACATATGCGGTAAACTTTGACCCTGTACCTCACAGTCAGCAGACACATTCCAGCCAATCAGCAGCAGACCCTCACTCCCAGATCCTCCCACCTCCTGGACAGCTCACTAAGAATGCGGCTTCACAATGAATGTAAAATGGATGCTGTCCAGGAGGTAGGAGGGTCTGCTGATTGGCTGGAATGTGTCTGCTGACTGTGAAGTACAGGGTCAAAGTTTACCGCATATGTTCGCCGTCCGCGGCGAACCGTTCGGGACATCACTAGTGTTTATGTCCCCCTAGCAATGAGAACCTGATTGATAGCTTTGCCATCGGTGTACCAACTTTAATGCCGATGACACAGTTATTTGCTAAAGTGAGAATTTTCAGGAATTGAAATTGAATTTCAAATTTAAAGCCACAGTAGCTGAAACTGAAGCATAGCCAACTTGGAGACTTTTTCCAGGTGTCTATTTTGGCCTTACATTTGAAATTGTAAAGTGCTGCGGAATATGTTGACGGTTTATAAATAATATTACTACTAGTAAAAAATTATGGAAGTTCTCGGTTGGTCGTCTGTTTCCAGAGACACCAAAGAAAAGTCCTCCAGAAGCACAGCCCAAACAGGTCATTAAATGCATTTGCGTTGCCATAAAACATTCTTCGGAAACACTCTACGTATAGACCATCCTAAAGAGGGCTAGTCAGCATGGCTGTCAGTTAGCCTGGAGAGCATACTAGCCAGGCTGGCACTTCCCATTTTAGGTATCGGATATTGGGTTGACTAGAACTGAAGGAGGGTGCATGTCCAGGCACTATTTACATATATTTATTCATTTAGAACTATTATATTATCAGTTGGCTGCTTGTGAGAAAGGCACCTGTTAACCTTTGCACAGCTGAGTGGTACCTCTGCTACCTGCTAATGCACTCTGTAAAAGGTACCTTTTTCCAACTGTTTTATGATTGGGGAGCTACTGATTGCCTTAAAACATCAGCTGACTGCTCTAAGCCAAACAGTAGCACCCCTCTCCGAGCCTTCTGAAAGTGGAAGGACAGGGGGCAAAGAGGAAAGGTGTTGGACCACATAATTAGGGATTATACCGTTCATGAACAGTTTAACGCATAAAGGTAAGCCAGGGACTTGCTGGCACCATAACAACTTCATTTGGATTATGTTGTTAGTGTGCGAAAACTGCTCCTTTAAAGTTTTAGCATACAAAGTGAAATATGCATTCTACATCATATAATATACAATCATAAAAGGTTTCCAACACTTAGAGAAATGTTATCAACAACAATTAAAACAAATGTGAGAAGGGTAGGGAAGGGGCAACAGGGAAATGAGCACACTTGTTCCGCTCTCCGATACAAAGTTGCTGCAATTGTAGGTAACCGAAAATATTATCAACGGCCATGCAAGTGTCAAACTTATTCTGAAAGAGATCTCCAACTTCTCATTTAAATGAATAAATTGTCTCAGCTACTTGTATGTGTGCGAGAGTCTCTTTGAATGTCCTTCAGAGATCCCAGGAAATCCACACTGTCCCAATGGTACCGTTCTGAGACACCATCTCCCCTGTCAGAGTAACCTGGGCAATGAGATCCGTTTAAGTCGGGACATTTATTGGTCTCCAAAATCTTGCTAAAAGAATAATGTTAAAAACCAAAATGTGAAAGGATTAGTCATCTCTTGGTTTTAGGGATTTCCAAAGGAATAAAAAACATTTATATTAAATCTAAAATGTATATCAGTATAATCCAACTGATATATTGGATAGGCTTGCTGTGTAGTAATTGAAGGGTTAATAGTCAAAAGTGTATGCTTAGCAATAGAATCGCTTAGCAGTGCAGTATAAGTAGTGGTCTTTACAGACTAAGTGTAGAAAGTTAGACACAGTGAGACTTGTCAAATGTATCCCTCTATTAGGGACTATTGTGTGATAAAAGTGGGGAGGGTGCACAAACTTGGCTTGGGCAGCTAAAACCATCAATATATCACTGGTCCTCCAGATGTGTGCATTCAGGGGGATTTTGTGTTACTTTCAATAATGGATTATTCACTAAATATCGGGTTGTGGTGAAAAACCCACAAATCTTAAATGGCATTCAATATGCAAAACTGTCACAACTGCTAAATTGGACAACTTTCCAAACCAACACTTTCCCCCTGAAATTTACAAATCAGTTTTCGACTACAAGTTACATAGTTTCCCAAACCATGGATCACTCAACATTCTAAATTCTAGAATTCTGCAAACAGTATGAATACAGTTCTCTCCATCAAAAAGTGGAATAAGCACCTCATGATTAGCATATAGAAATGCCAGAGCGTTCAGTAAACACAGAGAAGCTTTGGTTGTTGTTGTTGTTTCCAAGCAATATTACACTGTGACCAGATATCATGTTAACTCCTTCACGGCTAACCCAGGTCCTGATAAGAGTTAACATAGCATACAGCATTGAAGTCACTGTGCTCCTGATTTAAATATATATATATTTATTTTGCAGATTTTTGTTGTGATCCTCGCTGACCCCCTGAAACCAATAACTCCACTTGGTGTCATATGGACCAGAATCACATTAATTGTTCCTAGCAGCTATAGGGAATCTCTGATAAGGCGAGCTATATTAGAATAAAATGCTGGTATTGTGTACAGTTTGCAGGCTCACCCGGATGCTCTCCATGATTGGGAGGTCCACACTTTCTATGACCTGAATCCCTCACTCCCAGAATGGAAGCACAGGCAGATAATCACAGCAGACGGGCTCCAAGGGAGGGTATTTAAACGGTCGCCATGGGAACAGGGGCACGGAGTGTACTTCCTGGGTTAGGCTCAGCCCTGTAAGTGACATGCAAGTGCTCCGGGGGGAGGGAGATTTAAACGACTCGAGCAGTCTCAGACCAGCGTGAGAAAAATGGTTTATTTACAGGAATACACCCAGCAATGGGGGGGGGGACTGAATGAAAAATAAGTAGCACCTATACAAATATGACTTGTAGGAAATTGAAATCAGAGTGGCGAAATTCAGGCTTAAAGGAACACTCTGGGCACCAAAACAACTTCATTGAAATTATGTTGTTATGATGACAGAAGGGCCTTGGCGCTGGCTCACCTTTAGGGCTTAAACCATTCAAAAACAGTGTAAGCCCAAAGTCTGTGCTGGTAAAGGTGTATTTTAGCGTATTTTATTATTTGCCGTTTTTCATTCAGAAGTGATTAAGTGGCACAATAAGCAAAATAGCTAACTCCAAACAATAAAATACACCTTTACCCTCACATTTTAAGTAAGACAAATACAATATTTGTTTATTTATTTATAAAAATATTTTACCATGGTGGGTACATTGAGATTTCTCTCGTTTTCAAGTATGTCCTGGGTCCACAAAACATTGCATTGTTGCAACAGGATTCAATATTACAAAAATACACTATACAAACAATATATATATATACACACATATATAAATTTAATACATGACAGGTGCATTCTGTGCTGAGGTATGTTGCCATAGATCTCTCAAAAGAGTTTAGATTGAATGAAGATTTGACTGTGTCCCTGAGGTTATTCCATAATTGCGGTGCTCTGTAGGAAAATGAGGATCGAGTCACTTTATTTTTGTATTGAGGAATGCTAAATATCGTGCTAGTACTGGATCGGAGGCTATAGGAGGTGGGAACAGCTGGGGAGATCATTCTACTCGGGTAGCGTGGGAGCTACCCAGAAAAACTCTCATGCACAAGGCTGGAAAGATGAAGAGTGCGTTGGGATTCCAGCGACAGCCAGTTTAGCTCTTTTAACGTGTCACAGTAAAGTGGGTGGGTAAAGTAATTACATTCTAGTACAAAGCAGCAGAACGAATTATATAACGTATTAAAGGACCACTATAGTGCCAGGAAAACATAATCGTTTTCCTGGCACTATAGTGCCCTGAGGGTGCCCCAACCCTCAGGGTCCCCCTCCCGCCGGGCTCTGGAGAGAGGAAAGGGGTTAAACTTACCTTTTTTCCAGCGCCGGGCGGGGAGCTCTCCTCCTCCTCTCCGCCTCCAATCCTCCTCCTGCGCACGCATTCAGCCAGTCTCATAGGAAAGCATTTACAATGCTTTCCTATGGACGCTGGCGTCTTCTCACTGTGATTTTCACAGTGAGAAGCACGCAAACACCTCTAGCGGCTGTCAATGAGACAGCCACTAGAGGCGTTAGAGGTTGGATTAACCCATTTATAAACATAGCAGTTTCTCTGACACTGCTATGTTTATAAAAAAAAAAAAAGGGTTAATCCTAGAGGGACCTGGCACCCAGACCACTTCATTAAGCTGAAGTGGTCTGGGTGTCTAGAGTGGTCCTTTTTTTTTAAAATTCTTTATTTTTGTAGTGCATAAGCTCATAACAGACAGTTGGGAGGTACCCCAAAGACATTCCTCCAACGCATTATATAGACACTTAGACATAGAGGTACATGAGAAAACTTGCACAATTTTTATGGTTAAGGATGATTAAAATAATAAACAGTCATAGGTCTAACAGCTAACCTTGACTCCTAGCTGGAGGTAACCTCGCTGGCATATCTAATTAGCTAATTTTAGGCAACATAGAACAACATTCTGATTGAGTGACACAGGCTTAGGCTTTTGTACAAGAGTGAAGTACCTATGGTTATTATGGGCTAGCTGCGGGGTTAACCCCCGGCACGCCTCTAGTTACGTATTGTATTTCTAGGCATGGGTCGGCAGCCAGATATTTTCAAGGGATAAGAGATAAAACCACGATGGCACGGAAGGAGATGAGGCAATGTTAATTTCTATAAATGCCTAACTCATTATGCCATAAGGCGTGTGTGTAACTTAAAGGACCACTCTAGGCACCCAGACCACTTCAGCTTAATGAAGTGGTCTGGGTGCCTGGTCCTTCTAGGGTTAACCCATTTTTTAATAAACATAGCAGTTTCAGAGAAACTGCTATGTTTATCAATGGGTTAAGCCTTCCCCCTAATCCTCTAGTGGCTGTCTCATTGACAGCCACTAGAGGCGCTTGCGTGCTTCTCACTGTGATTTTCACAGTGAGAGCACGCCAGCGTCCATAGGAAAGCATTGTAAATGCTTTCCTATGCGACCGTCTGAATGCGCGCGCAGCTCTTGCCGCGCGTGTGCATTCAGCCGGCGGGGAGGATCGGAGGAGGAGAGGAGGCAGAGAGCTCCCCGCCCAGCGCTGGAAAAAGGTAAGTTTTAACCCCTTTCCAGAGCCGGGCGGGAGGGGGACCCTGAGGGTGGGGGCACAGGGCACTATAGTGCCAGGAAAACGAGTATGGGCACTATAGTGGTCCTTTAATAACCTTGCAAAAGGGAATCAAAGTTAGTGCACGGGCCCTGGCTACATGCAATTCTAGTCCCTTACTACGCTAACCTTTTTTTTTTATTCTTTATGTTCCAGCGCAAGGCATGGAAAATACGTAGGCATGTCATGGTAAGGAAATATGCCATACTGGTGTTAGGGGGTTCACAGTAAGGTCTTGCACAATTTATATTTTAACGTGCTTGCATAGACTGAGGTGGTTTGCGAGTTCCCCTTTGTATGGAGGGTGTGTGGCTGCGTAATGTTTCTCCGTTTACCTAAGGGTGGTGTTTCCCTATGTTGGGGGTGCAGGTGAGCGTTACTGGGCCGGGGTTTCAGCATGTAAGCGCGTGTATCAGTGGCGTACATACCAGGGTCGCAGGGGTCGTGGCTGCGACCGGGCCCAGCCCACAAGGGGGCCCGGCTGCCCCTGCGACCCGGTATGTACCCACTGGGTCAGCCTCTTCCCCTGGGGGGTCCAGGAGGCGGCCACCTCAGGACCCCCCGAGGCTGGCCCTGCTGACCCCGGCTGGCGGGCTGGCTGTCTGGGTGGCCGGTGCGCGAGGAGCACTCTCCCCTGTGTGATCCTTCTTCGGCTCCCTCGTGCACCGCACTGATACCGGAGCCGGAAGATGACGTCATCTTCCAGCGCCGGCATCCCTATGTGGCGCGCGAGGCAGCTGAAGAGGGAGCACACAGGGGAGAGTGCTCCCTCGCGCACCGGCCACCCAGACAGCCAGCCCGCCCAGGTCGGCAGCACCTCTGGACCACAGGGAATCCCCCCCAGCTCTCCAAAAGGTAAGGAGGCTGGGGGGGATTAAAAATTTTTTTTTAAATGTGTGTGTGTTAGTGTTTGTGTGTGTGTTTGTGTGTGTTAGTGTGTGTGTCAGTGAGTGTGTCTGTTATTGGGTGTGTGTCTGCTAGTGAGTGTGTTACTGTGTGTGTGTCTGTTATGAGTGTGTTTGATGTCTGTTAGTGAGTGTGTGTTTGTCAGTGAAAGTGTATGTTTTGTGAGTGTGTATGTATGTCTGTCACTGAGTGTGTCTCTGTCAGTAAATGTGTGTGTCTGTTAGCTAGTGTGTATGCGTCTGTTCGTGAGAGTGTGTGTGTGTCTTCAGCATTTACCATTCTCCAGCGTAGGACTCCCTTGGTGCTGGGGATCCCTCCGCCTCTCAGCTCCGAATGCACATGCGCGGCAAGAGGATGCTTTCCTATGGACATATACTACATCCCCATAATAAATTACTGGCATTAGCATTTGTTGCACTATCTGTTTCCTTACTGTAGGGCTTAGGCAGGATTTGTTTCTGTACAGGGGGCATAGTTTTGGGTAAAGTTTTGCTTAAATCACACCTGAACGAAACAGCAAATAATAAAATACACCTTTACCGTCTATGATCACTGTGCTGCCTGTCCTGTTATCTGAAATCCTAGACAACAGAAGGCTCAGGTAGGGGTGCTGCTGTTAAGCTTAGAGTGTTCAGGTGACAGTCTAAGACAAGGGTTCCCAACCCAGTCCTCAAGTACAACCTACCAGTCCAGGATTTAGGGATTACCTTGTTGTGTCTTAAGTGTTTTTTTTTTTTCTTCTTCTAAAAATACCTTAGACACAGCTTAGGTAATTCTTAAATCCTGGACTGCTAGGGGGTACTTGAGGACTGGGTTGGGAACCACTGCTCTAAGACAATAAGTAGCTCCCCATTCATAAAAGATGTACATACTTGTTTTTGTGAATGGGACGCTACTGATTGGCTTATAGCATCAGCTGACTGCTTTAATCAGCGCACCCCTCTACATGTCCTGGCCTCATTTTATCTTTATAATGTCTTCATAGACGGCAGTTGTCACCCAGGCCTCAACCCAGTTTGCCCCTGGTGCCAGCATCGACGTGGTGCCGTCTCTTTCTGTGTCAAACCATTTTCAAGCATTATAACTGAGGGTGCCCCCAGGTGCTCATGACTCTACTTCCACAAAAGTATTATGCTAGTGAGGGGCTGAGCTGCTGGCACCAGTGGACCCTTGCTTTCTGTCAAACTACTTTAAAAGTTTGACACAGAGCCATGTGATGCCAAAAGGGGTAACGAACTGTAGTGGTTATATCTTAGAGTAACTCTTTAAATAGCTAAGCTATGACTACAGCAGAGTTGAAAAATGTTCAAGTACATCTTTTCTGGACTACTTTTCTGTTTAATTTTCCATTCACATAAATTATTCACCGTTTAGAACACAAATTGAAAGGTCTTTAATGATGCAAAACAATGTTAATGCTTCTCATAGAAAAGCATTGGGTTCAGTGCTTCTCTGACAGGGTCATTTAATAAAGTATGAATTGCGCGTAGTTCAAGGTGAAATTT